ATATGTTGTGTTTGTAAACACCTGTTTAAGAAAAACTTGTTCTTTATCTGGCAGCTTACTGAATGTGTTCGGAACAAACCCGTGAATACAAATGAGGCGAACACTGGCGATCTACCAGTTGTTCGTCTCACCAGTTACGTGGATCACGAGGATTCGTTGCGTCCATTGACACGCCCCTATGGTAACCTGTTCTGCGTCAGACATGACTCGAAATGTTACATTGTGTCAGTATGGGGTGGAATAATCTCCTGTATAGTCCTGCTATTTATAGACGTTTCTGGAAGCAGGAATATATTAGAATAATATTGAATCTTAATAGCAACAGGTTTATACTGAGCGAATAATACGGTGTTGTATCGATTGTTTTGAAGGTGAAGTTGTAAGAGATCAAAGCATATTGTTGGGTTGCATGAAGGTTTCTAAACGCCGGCCAACAGCGGGGATCTTGGTCAATTTAGTTACATCTTACAGTTCTCTATCATGCACACATACTTACAACCTTTGGATACACTTACATATATTACGAAATATTCGAATTATGTTTAAACGTTTAAGAACACGTAAGATTTGTTTTGTATGAAATATAGTCTCGTTCATAATGTAAAACAATTACGCACAAGAGGAAAACTATTTTCAAATTATATAAGAAATGAATGAATAGGGAGAATCAATTGGGTCGCCATCATCATGATCATGATCATCATCATCATCATCATCATTTGCTGACATACTAGTCATTACAACTTCTTTGAGTGGCATTGTTTAGAAGTTGAAGAGTAATATACAATATTAGTCGTTACAAGATCGTCTGTATAAGGTAGAGTGCAGGTAACTCGTCAGGATGTTAGCGTTAATCTGTATTTACCTCTCTTGGAGACCTACAGTTCTTACGCCATTTTATATATATGTAAAGGCCTTACTCCAATATCCTGACTACACGCAAACACATCCACGCCCCCAGACTCCACTCAACTCCATCCAACAAGCCAGCCCGGCGTCCGCCACTAGGATAAGAAGTAATTATCTGCGGCTTTTAGCTGAAACCATACCACCGAAAGGTCACTCATCTGTGACCATGTAGGTATACTCTTTTGTCATAATTTGCTTATTTGACCTGCCAGTCAAAATTGTCTATTGTCTGATATACCTAAATTAAAGAATTGAGTTTCCAAACCATGTGGCTTTCAGTGCTCTGTTACGTCACTGGACTGTTAAACATTAAGTATTGTCGTCATCCTACATGTATCAATCGGATTATTATGTATTTTCATTATTGTATCTGTACAATGGCTCTTTCTGCCTGCACTGTCGAGGGTGACAACAAATGGCTTGTTTTTAGGTTTTCACCTGGACTGTGCAGTCGGAACTACAACTCTGTTACCAAGACTTTTATTTCCGATATATATTATTACTATCCACGTAATTGTTACTTGTAAACAGCAATTACCACCGCCAAGTCTTACATTGGCGCCCACGTGGGGCGAAGTGTCGCAAGCGTTCATAGTACTCCTCAAAGATTAAAGATATACACTCATTGGCACATAAGGCATAATTTTTGTATCCTATACTCCTACCCATATAGTTGCCTTAGTCAGCTAAGAATTCTCAATACCTCAGCCTCAATCTCCTATTTTTGTCAACATGTCCTCGCTCACGAACTACACCTATATTATTTGTCAATGAAAGTTGACCCAAAGCGATCAATTGGAATAATTGGGCTCCCGGAGGGAAACAAAGCGGAGTCGGTTGAGGAGGAGTTATCTCCTTGCTATGGGAAGGTGCGTGTTCTCCAGGTGCTTGATTTTTTGTTTATCAGCTGCACCTCGTGGAGTTCTGAGCCCTCAAGTCCCTCCTGAAGCTTGGGGACTGTACTCATCAGAGGAGGAGTATCAAGTTATGAAAGTAGACTTAGTTCAGGAAGGATCCTCTCTAGAAGACGTCGTGGCCAGGGCAGTAGATCAGGCCTGGGCACAGCCTGATGATGGAGGCGATAGAGTCGCAGATGCCGGACAACTGCTATTACGACGGCATCCATCAGCTGACCAGCACCGGATCCATCAAACCGAATCCGGCAACTCCCGCACCTGTTCCTGCTGGCGGCTAACACGATGTTGCTGCTGCCCACACCAGAATCCCCGTGCAGGTAACTCGTCAGGCACAGCCTTATTTCATCTCTTGTATCCCACTTCACATTTCTTTGTATAATTCCCGTGTCCACATGCAGCATGTTCTGTGCCAAGCGTTAATCTCAGACCCTTGCGTCCTTACCCCGACTACACGCAAACACATCCACGCCCCCGACTCCACTCAACTCCATCCACGCCCGGCGTCCGCCACTCACAGCTGAAACTACACCACCGAACGCCATGTAGGTATACTTTTGTCATATTTGCAGTTGCTATTGTCTGATATACGAATTGAGTGCTCTGTTACGTCACTGGACTGTTAAACAGTGGCAAGGGTACCTATGTTACAGTCGCTGATTCGTGCATCTGTATTTACCTCTCTCTTGGACTAAACAGCAAATTAGGCCTACAGTTCTTACACCATTTATATATAGCTGCCTCGCTTCAACTCATTTCAGATACGAGGTGAATAGCTGGGATATGATATCATAATGATTTATGTATCACCCGCTGAGTACTCTCTTCAAATATTAAGTTCACATATGTCAAGATTTGACATCACGGTCCACTGCTTTTCCATGCAGAAAACGCGAATCCTGAAGTCGTTTGTATGATATTGCATTAACGTTACTTCATAAACACAGTATACAAGGTACAGCCGGTCTGTACATCATCAGGGTCAGTTTTACTTCATATTCGCTTTATTTTATGATATAGTAATGGGTTATTAGGAAATATTGTGGTCACATATTCAATGTTATGACATGAAAAAGCTATTTTAATTTTATGGTATAATATAATATTTATTGACATCACAGATCGGATATTCAAGTTTCAATCGATGACGTGTCAAGGATGTGTCATCTGGAAGGGCATGTCACGATGTAGTAATATTGAAATTGCCACGATAAACATCATAAGCATGTTTCTATATGGTATACCAGGTATTGACATTATGGTTTCGTCACAAGTTCTCATTGATATGATAAAATAGCCCATACATTTGAACTGATGAAGAATTGTCGAAGAAGTGAATAGGAAAAAGGACTTTACTGAGGAGAGATTAGTGCAGAAATGAGCAATGCGGGGTTTCTCATTTGGAACAGAACGTGGCTTTATGCAAATTAGTGTGCAATGATACTGTATTACAAAGGACACTTTTAAATTCCCATTTTGAAATTAAACTTAGCTTCATTATAAATGATAGCTGACGTACAAATTAATAACTTTAACACTGTTAAGGATGACGGAGTTTCACTGTCACTATAAAAAGAAACAGGTAAGAGGGGTCGTCTCAAATGCAAAACCAGGACGGGTGTCGCAGACGGTGGTTGGGGTTGGGCTGGAGGATAGAGATAAGATAATCCGTTAGGGGAATTAAACTGTGGAAAAAAACGGCATGTCATAATAATGTACAAATAATATCCAGTCCTGTCGATCTTCGGGTGGCAATGTCACCTATGTATTTTGAGACATTTAATACGATGGTTGCTTTTCTATGGGTATCATCCTCTTTTACATATCTCAACATAAACTTTATGAAAGAAAGACACGTAAGATGTTAATCAATAGATGAGACATGTTCAACACACATGAAAAAGCATGAAATATCTTTGAAATGACCCCTTGTGCCTGTAGGCAGCACATGCATTTCATGCCAGTCGACGGTCCGTCGTCATACCTGGCTGAGCGACCTAATTGCCATCCATAGTCTGATCTATTGTTTTCAGCAGCTATTCGTAATGTTTCCCGATTTTACGATTAAACATGCTTTTCTGGATATCCTATTACGCATCTCACTGAACGCCCAGTTAGGCCGATGTGGTTTATTTCGGCATATGCTATTTGCAATAGTGGAAATTTTAGTGATACAGAGTAACAGCCTAAAAACAGTTATTTTTCTATTTCCGACAGTACTTTAGTGCCTCCTCTCCATACCACCCCCACCCCCACCTACCCAGATATATAATGCTATCACAGACTAACCCATATAAACACACAGAGACGCCACACATGCACAGACAGACAGAAAAATGCAAGAACACAAACACAGAGACGGACGGCCACAGCCACACTGAAACACATACACGTACAAACACACACATAATGCATGAAAGTCGTCTACCAAAGCTATCGTATAATATGATGGTTCATCTAGATAATATGGGTAAAATATCTTTGGCATCACATATTAGAAATCTTTTGTGCTCTCATGGATATGGATTTGTATGGATAAGCCAGGGTGTTGGCGATGTCTGTATGTTTTTTGAAAGAATTTCGTGATCGAGCTGAAATATGTTTTATCAGGAATGGCATTTCACTCTAGAAAGTAGCTCTCGTTACGAATTATATAGAACATTTAAAACTCTATTACAACCTGAACTGTATTTGTCCAAACTTACTTTTAAGTGTAACAGAAATATATTTGTCAATATAGGATAGGCTTGTTGGACTTAATGGTAAATAGAGGCAGAAAATTGTCCATCCCAAAATCTGAAAGATCTTGTCCTTTATGTAATTCTTCAGTAGAAGATGAAATACATTTTACTCTTGACTGTCCATTTTATGAAGATTTACGTTACAAGTATATCCGAGAACGTTATCTGTCGGAACCACCACTGATAGCTTTTACAAGTATTTTAACAACTAATAATGAATCCACCCTGCGTAATCTATCTCTCTATGTTAAATGGGGCGGTGGGGTAGCCTAATGGTTAAAGCGTTGGCTCGTCACGCCGAAGACCCGGGTTCGAATCCCCACATGGGCACAATGTGTGAAGCCCATTTCTGGTGTCCCCCGCCGTGATGTTGCTGGAATATTGCTAAAAGCGGCGTAAAACCAAACTCAGTCAGTCTATGTTAAATATGCATATATTTGTCGTAACGAGCACTTACAATTAACCATGTCTTAATGTATGTAACTCGCTTGTATAAGGGCCGGTGGTCTAAAATACATTAAACGATTGTCTTGTCTTGTCTTGTCACACAATCCCAGGCACAACAACACACAGACAGACACGGGCGCACAGACAGGCAGAGAGGCGCACAGTTTTATGCATACACGTGCGGCCCCTTATTGGGATAATAATGCTTTCATTTAGATGTTGTTTATATGTACGTATCCTCAGTGAGAGACCTGTGATCTGAACCATGTTTCCGTTATTACGGTAAACCTTGTATACGACGGCTGCAACAGCAGTATATATGTCCTGTTGTTGACGGACTGGATTACTACCAGGAGTCATGTGACCAAGTTTGTTTACCGACAGCTGCATGACTTTCACACCAAGAAGCGATGTACTAGTTTAACGTTTAAACCTTCGGGTCATATATCTTTGCTTGATAGCCGCTTTCGTGCCTTGTATCAATCGTTGTACTGCTATGCACGTTTTAGTAGGGATGTGCTTTCATAACATACACGTGTTTAGAACCACGCGGATTTACTGTTATACACGTGTTTAGTAGGAACATGTTCTGATGACATTCACGTGTTTCTAACATCTTGTACTGTTATACATGTGCTCGGTACCCACGTGCAATACATGCGCTGTGTACAGACAAGGCTCACTACTGAAAACTGAACAGGCTGTATCGTAAACACAGCTTCCACTCTCAAGTCATTCAAGCATAAGTATTAAAGAAAAACACATCATCATCATTAACTCCTGTCTGTGAGTCACGAGTGAAAACTTGAACGTCTTTAAACGTGTCGTTCTTTTTAATTAATTGATCATATGATAATAACTCACACCCACACCAGTTAGTATGGACCTGGGTGCCGTTGTACAAAGCGATCTTAGCGCTAAGGTGACTGTAACTCCCATACTTCAACATAGACCTAAGGTAGTCTTACCGCTAAGGTTGTTTTGTACAACGGCACCCTGTTCTGCAGCTCACCGGCTGGGTTATCTCCTGGTGGGTGTGCGTGTTGACAGCGTGTAGCCCACTTCCCTATCCTGACACACACTAACTTTGTTACATGTACAGAGACTTAAGCTTGGTGGGGATTATTAAAATAGATCTTTCCGTGAATTGATTACTATCATTAGATTTGATTTAAGATATGGTTGCTTTTGTTAAAGGACGGAATATTCATGTTAGCTTTCAAATCTAGAACAATTGGGGAGGTATTATTAACTTCTGTTTGGGATTCGAGGGTGTTGACGGTTGACATTTGTGTTGCTCAAGGCAAGAAGGGGTTCCATAGTAAACAAAGTTGTATCTCACGTGTGACAGGTTATTGAATATTAATCCATACATGCGAATGTAAAATCAATACTAGCTCGTCTAGGGAGAACATAAAGGTCAGTGACCTTGTGCAGGTGGCAGATTGAACCCGGACTTCACGATACATGTGGCCACAACCAATGCGGGAAACAGACTACATACACTCCCTGTAATGTCCCATACTGCTACCTCCACATACACCCACGCTATATCTTCAGGCTACACACCTATGCTTGTTGTTAAGGGCGACTAAAGTGGTCGGATGGGCTTGGTTCATTCATGCTATCGAGTATAACGATGCACAAGATGTCAGTAACTGGATTGTCTGGTCCAGGCACAATACATTACAGCTGAAATGTTGCTGAGTACTCCATAAAAAAAATAACAACAAAAAGAACCAATTGAAACACACTCATAATGGATGACTGCTGCACTGTAAAACTGATGTGCTGAATGTAACTGTCCCTTTAGTTACCAACAAACACTGATAATGGATGACTGCTGCACTGTAAAACTGATGTGCTGAATGTAACTGTCCCTTTAGTTACCAACAAACACTGATAAAGTGAACAAGCAAACAAATCTTTGTTTATATTTCATTCTTGATCGGATCTTGGTTTAAGTAAATATGTATAATGAGTCAGTGTAGATTTCAGTTAATATATAAATATAAATATTTCCTGAAAATGTCAGCTGATGTACACAATCCCTGACGGAATCAGTAAATATTCATAATCACTGGAAAAAGTCAGTAAATATACATATTTACTAATTATACATATTTACTGTCACAATATAACCCGATGTACCTGCATATACGTAAAGGCAGCATCGTGTTAGTCGTTTTTGTTCTTAAATAAGGTAGTAATCTTGGGGTGGGGGATGGTGTAATATTAGTTATTCGCGAGGGTGTTGTTGAAGTCCAGCCCCTCGTTGTCTCATCTACGTGGGTCGTTTCAAGTCGAAGGAAACTGTGTGATATATGATTATATAATTCGGAAACAGAATATGTGCTGTAACACATTACCGGGACAATACCTCTACATTGGAAACTGCAGGCGTCTGTGGGGGAATAAAGGGCTTTTAACACACACCGACAACATAACTAATGTGATCAATAGTTGCCGTGTCCACGTAGAATAAGTTTTCGTGATACTTACCTACCTGGGTCGTCTTGACCTATTGATTTTCACCACGTACGTGACAGCGTGACATGTTCGTATGGCGGACGTGACAGCTCGCTACTGTGATTGTTCACTCATTGTGGAGACCGGAGCATGAGGGTGGGAAATGTGCGAGAATGTAAGAGAAGCTTGGGTACAGAATGTGTGGTTGGGTCGGGGTAGGAGGTTAGGGAGCCAGGGTACAAAATGTCTAGGTAGGGTGGGAAGGAGACATCACGTGTGCATGTGTGTGTGCGTGCGTATGTACGTGTATGCGAGTGTGTGTGTGTGTGTGTGTGTGTGTGTGGGTGGGGATGGGTGGGGTGGGGATAGGGAAACTGGGGCACAGTGTGTGTGTGCGTGCGTGCGTGCGTGCGTCCGAAAGGAATAGAGAAACTGGGGCACAGTGTGTGTGTCTTTGTGCGTCTGTGCGTGCGCGCAATGGGGATAGGGGGATTGGGGTACAGAATGCATCGGTAAGGAGATCGCAATGGAGATCACTTCATGCATTTTATGACAGTGATATCGTTTAAGACATATGTCGCCCAGATCTATTAAAAGTTGTTTTAAAATGGGCGGAAATACAAACTACTGAAAGTGTTGAGTTTAAATTTCCGTGATTCGGCTGATTTTCTCATAAAATGGCTGGGTTTAATACGGAGGGGAGCAGGGGTGGTAGATTTTTGGTTAACATATATAAACATATGCACTGAAAATATAGTGTGTGTGTGTGCGTGTATGCGTGCGTGCGTGCGTGTGTCTGTGTGTACCTGTGTGTGTGTGCGTGTGTATGTATGCTCTCGTTAATGCAGAGCTGATAATGATATGGTTTTATTCGCATAAAGGTCACTCACAGATATACTGAATATGTATACAGATGGTACATGAAACATTCATAATAATTCAGAAAATTATTAATAATAATAGTGTCGTAGTGTTAGGTTGTCTTGAACCATAGCTTTATGTAAGTAATCGAGTCTTGACAATCCAGTGATCAACAGCATGAGCATCGATCTACACAATTGGGATACGATGACATGTGTCAACCAAGTCAGCGAGCCTGACCACCCGATCCTGTTAGTCGCCACTTACGACAATCATGGGTTGCTGAAGATCAATTCTAACCCGGGTATTCAAGGAAGTTTCTACTATATACATACCGACCATGTAACCAGTGGCTGAAATAATTTGCTGTTTAAAACATAAAAAGGACAAAAAATGAGAAACAACATTGAAATATAAAGAAAACTGTATACCTATGAACAGTAACTGCTAAACATGGCGACATTTCGAAGTCGCAATCATTTATAGGGAGCAGCATAGAAATAGGTTACCGCAGCTAATATTCTAGTATTGAACATTACGGGTGGCAACTTTGTTTTGTTTATGAACAACACTGAGAACAAATTTGACAAGGTCAGCTTGATGAAAGAAATGTATGTTGACGTGTGTTCGTCACGTGACAGCTTTTCTTCACCTGCTGTTTGTTACAACATAAAGAACTACAGCACGAGGTCCACCTGCATATAGACGGGACAGGTGACTATACAAATATACTCACCCACTCACGACTACCGTATTATCTCGTGTTAGCGTTCAGTGACATTAGTGCATATTTCTTACGACGTGGACACAAATTAGCAAACATCCTCGTACTTGCCCGTAACTTCATCTTGACTCACAGTTTTTTCAAGTTTAGTGCATGTACAGAAATACCGTTAATGTTAATAATTATTATGTGATATACGGTACAATAGCCCCTTCGTGCAGCTGAAGTGATTTACATACGGAAGTCGTTGTGAAGACGGGAATTTCTCACGGATAGACAGACTACGTCACCTATTAATGCGCCTGACATTGTGTAAGGTATAGTTTCACATGTTGATTGCTTGAACGCACTCCGTCTACCCGCCATCAAACAGCCGACCCCTCCAGCTGACAACTTTACACCCATATACTGCTGCTGACACAATCTCAGTAATGACTCCGGTCAATTATCTCGGCTTGTTTGTTCAAATATCGTGGATGTATTGCTCCAGTGTTTGCAGACATTAATGTGACTGGCGGTGTTCGGGGGTCAGTCACATACAGCAATGGAGGCCGAGTCTGACGGGTGATCGTGCGTGGGGGCCATGATCACTGTGCCTCTCGTGCTGAACCTATTGGCCACCCGGTGTCTTCTCTCAATAATCCTTTGTTTTGTATTCTCTCAAACCGGCAAATTTGGACGTTATGTATTCTCTAACAGACACACGGTGTCAGGTGCGTGCGAGTGCGTACGTGCGTGTGTGTGCGTGCATGCGTGCGTGTTAGTGAGCGAATATCACTCTGACCAGTCAGTTATGACACCACGTTCATATTACAGGCAGATATGCGTCAGTGAATATTGTTTTCAGCTGCAGTAAACGAAATTCTAGTTAAACCTGTGTCTGGGGTTGTGGGGTAGCCTTATGGTTAAATCGTCCGCCCGTCACACTGAAGTCCCGGGTTCGATTCCCCACATGGGTACAATGTGTGAAGTCGATTTCGGGTGTTCCGCGCCGTGATATCGCTTGAATATTGCTAAAAGCGGCGTAAAACCCAATTCACTCAAACCAACGTCATCCTGTAACATATGTTATACTTGGGATTACACTTTCTTAGTGAAGTAAAAATTTAGTACTTTTCGAGTTCAGTCGACTGGAAGTCACGGTGGCTGAACGGGTTAGGCGGCTGACTTTGTGTGCTGGCGATTAGGTGCCTGACTCTGAGGGTGTGGGTTCGAATCCCGGATGGGACTGAACTAAAAAATTACTAGAATTTGTACTTTACTAAGAAAGTGTAATCCCAAATATAACATATGCTACATTTGACCACTTTCTAAAATGGCATAATCATAATGTCATCCCCTGTACTTGACCGAGTGTGACCCAAGGTTGAACCAGTGAGCGGCTGCATGAACGACGACATCGTCATTGTACGATGACGACACATCACTCATTAGCAGGGTTGGGCCTACAGGGGTATATGGTGCTTCGACAGCCCCTCGGGGTCACACCTACATGCCGGCACAGGGGTGTTACTATGGCGTTACTTGATATCGATATCGATCAGTGAACCAGGTACCCGAACATCGATTTAAATATTTTGGCCATTTTCACCTCTCCGTGTGTCTAATGTCGACCGTGTTTGTCATGTATTTTGACGACTGGGAAGCTCTTTGAATGCTCTGACCTAGGAGTTGAAACATTCGCCGTCTTTGTCTGCACAGTTCGCAATATTACACAGTATGCGGCGAAGTCTGCCATCAAGCATTATCATATTAGTCACGCAGTCATTCAAACTACTCGTCAGTCGGGGAATCGATTCAACACAGGCCGACCGCCAAACAAAGACCTGCTACCCCTATAAGGCAAAGTGGCTCCGCCCATCACGCATGGCCGTCGCTAACCCGCAGAGTAGAAGGTAGAGACGCGACTGCTGGAGACTACACTAACATCACGGACAGGGGTGGTCACCTTCTGGCCGGACACACAAGCACAGTTTCACACCGGAGACGGATACTTTTCACAAGCAGCAATTTAGTGGGGTAAATTTGTGATTTTCTTTAATCTTCATTGTTTGTTATCGGTTGCCATATAAGCGTTCAGCTGCAGTGGTGAGATCGATGTTGATTTGGGTAGTTGCCAGTGATTGAGGTTGTCGATTAAGACGGGTGTAGTGACTGTGTATCAGCTATCGCCTTGTGGTGACACTGTACCCTCATTACACATTCAGTCGCAACCAACCATACACTTTAAATTATACACTTGCAGATTTACTGAGAACATAACCGAACTCCCGAACTTGTAGAGAATGTAGCGATGATGACAGTCAAACCCCTCGTGTTTCGTGCTTGTATTACGGTATTTTGGAGGGTCAACCACGTCTCTGGTTAGTCAGTATTTAGTAATAATGTTTATTTTTCATATTTCAAGAAAATGCTGTAAACATGGTATGAAATCTTTTTAACGTGTCAACACATAGATGTGAACATGGAGTTATATTGTATAACGTTACAACCGATGGGTGATTTACGCTGCTGGTCGAGGCTTATGTGTGTTAGGCCAACTGACAGCCGAGCTCTACCACACACCCGAGCAGACAGGAAATCTTCTTACCCCGATATTAACACGCGATCAGTAGTGAGTGTAAGCCGGTAGACGCCTCGAGACCTTAGCTGTAACGCTGTAATATGTTAACCTGAGAGTACAGGCGCTTGTCATGGTCGGATAACAGCTCGTTAATCCTATTAGAACCCAGTCAGATATATATTAATGTCTTAAAGACTGCTAATCCTTTTGTTCATAATCCTTTTTATTGCGTAATGTAATAATGAATTAATTTAACAGTCACTGTTCCGATGTTTTAATTCAAGTGACATTAAGAGTATCTACCTCAAATGTTTCCTTACCAACGATCTTTGGTAGTTGTGTTTTGTGAGATGTGAATGTGGTGTTTGTGTTGATGTGTTTTGTGGAGCTTTAACAAAACACCTTTCACAAGTAGGTGCCGTTTCAGTGAAGGTATTGAAATACACATGACACAGATCTGACACAGTTTACTGTTGTTGTGAGTATGTCAGCAAACATGACATCAACCCTGGTGGGTCTTAGCTGAGTCGAATCTCGCTATTGATGAACAGAACACTATTCACAGCTCACTGGCGTTTGCACAACGCATTGACAGGTTTAAAACCAACCCTGCTAAACAAGTTGTAGAAGTCGCCCTATACGACTTGTTGGCGCTCGTTACTTCCGCGTCTGGGTGTACCGCAAGAGGTAACACATCATCTGTGTTTGTGGTGTGTCCCTTGTGCTATAGTTGTCTGTGAAGACAGGCCTTTGTCATCCTTGTGTTCAGAGAACACTGGTCTCTAATGACTCACCCCCACCCGAGTGGCGGACTCCGTCCTGATAAACTGTGTCCGATGAAGCACAACGGGGTGATCAACCATGTCTGGGGTGTCTCGGTGTATCTGCTATTGCACAAACACTAGCATATGGTTGCGTGGGGATGTTGGCTGTGTGAAGACTCTTGGTTGTAAGAAGACTCTCTGTTGTATGAGTTTTGGTTGTATTAAGAGTCTTGGTTGTATTGAGACTGTCGGTTGTATTAAGACTCTTGGTTGTCTGTGGGTGTTGATTGTGTTCTGATGCTTGGTTGTGATGAGACTTGGTTGTGTGTGGCTGCTTGTTTCAAGCCCCTGGTTGTAGGTGGTATGGCCCTGGAGTTTGACAGCGGGTCCAATTAGAGCTCCGTTACAGCACAACAATGCAACTACCGTCCCATCTGTCACGTGTTGATGGATGGTTACAGAATCTGTGTTGTCAAGAGGATAGAATTACTCAATTCTGAAGTAATTAGCCTCATCAGAAATGATGACGTTGACTCATTCTGATTTCCCCCATCTCAGATAAAGCGAAATACTTTCCCACTTGATTGGTTGCCCATCAGTTTCCTTGTCCGACAGTCTGGTCTTCTGGTGAGGAGACAAAGGACAAGAAGGCAGAAGACATAGCAACGTCCTGCCCCAACGGCGATAAGAATTATTCACTATGAAAATGAAGGATTCTCCTTGGAAATTATATTGTCAGAACATCCGTATTATGACATACAATATGATAGATTCCCCATGTGTGAAACCCTGTACGTAAGATTCCCAAAGTGTGACAGTTTCTATGTAAGATTTCCAAAGTGTGAGTATGTAAGCCCACTTCAAACACAGAATATTCATATTTACCATCGTTTCTAATCGTAGAATATTTGTAGTTTTTTTAAATGGCTAACATTACTTACAATCGCTAGCAGCTGAAGGGATGGTATAAATCCAGCTAGAGAACCGTGCAGGAAGGAGAAGTATTGTCAGTCCCCACGGTCCATAGTATGGTGACCTAACTTCCGTTGCTAGCGACCTCTTGCCACATTTTATCTCGCATCGTTAATTGTTAGTGTATGATTTTAATTTTGTTTGATCTAGTTTTAACACATCTGTGATAATCTAGTAATTTTACTGTCCTTCGTTGACAGGGTTTTGTAAATTACATATATACTGATGTAAAAAAGAAAGTGCACACCTGGTGTTTTGAGACTATCAACAAAACGTACATATTTTGCTAGTAATGTTCCAATTGGGTACTATATACTAGTATATGGTGTTATTGCAACACGTACACAATGTTTGTGAAATGTGAGTCACAATCAAAACACTTTTCTAAATACTACGCTGTTTTTAGGAAAACATTTTACCAAAGCATCAGGTGTGTACTTTCTTTTGTACGTCAGTATATTTATCATCAATTTAGACTGACTGACTGAGTTTAGTTTTACGCCGCTTTTAGCAATATTCAGCAATATCACGGCGGGGGACACCAGAAATGGGCTTAACACATTGTGCCCATGTGGGGAATCGAACCCGGGTATTCGGCGTGAGGAGCCAACGCTTTAACCACTAGGCTACCCCACCGCCCCCATCAATTTAGAACTAGTTTTAGTCACGATATGGCTGAAGTATTGCCGATGTGACTTAAAATCTTAACTCACTCACTCACCCACTCCAAAGTGTGACAGTCTCTATGTAAGATTCCCAAAGTGTGATATCCTGTGTGTAAGATTCTCCATGTGTGTCAGACTGAATTGGACTCCAGGTGTTTGAGAAAATGGTAAAAATATCTTGCGCTACAGGTGGCATTTTCCATCACACATTTTGTTTTATAAATAGTAAGTATTTAATTATTATAAACACAGGTTTAGAGAATAACACATACTGTTCAGTGGATGTCACATGTTTGTAGATATCTAGCCAATTGCGGATGCTTTTACATCAAGATTGTAAAACGTTGTCATGAGCAAACAACGTACTTCGGAGTGCTCACGTGCTCTGGTTACTTGGAGTGTCCATTGTATATGTTATACCTGCATATACACACCTCTTTTCAAGTTAAATAACACTACATATTGCCAATGGAATGGATGTGACAATCACGTTTTAGGGCACGTTTACTTACTTCATCATATGACGTTAAGAGGATAGTGTACTGCAGATTTTGACAAAATCAAGGTAAGATATTTCTGTAACTTCTAAAATGTGATTTGCTCTTACATACAATCCCTATATAAGACATTGTACTGGTTTATCAGTTGCTAAAAACATACAATCTTGTGCTAATTCCATATATTAGGCTTAATCTCAAGAATTAGGGCTGTATCTCATACCAACAGTCTTTCATTCCGTACCGATACCTGTGTACATAACAAACAAGAACAGTTACCAGAGTTATGTGTATTCTGTATCAGAACAATCCATAATGAACCACCTATCATCTGTTGTACTTTCCATGTCATTTATTAAAGTGGAGAACGGGAGGGTGTGGAATGATTTCCTTGGCGTACACCTCAAAATCCTGGAACGATTGGTATAACGCTTGATTTAATGTTACAATTATATAGTTGTTCAACTACCTAAAGACATTTACGCTTGGTCGTTCTAAGGTTAGGGATTTAATAGACTCTCCAACAATTCGTAAATTTAGAATGTGTCTTACTTATCTTGCAGGTACAAGTGTTAATAGTGTGAACAGGTACTCGATAACTTGAGATCAAATTATTAAATATGCCTCACTAAAGAGTCATGTCTAAATTCATCAATTTCTGATGATATATGTCGTTAGAACTTTTCATTATCTTCTAATATATAGTTTTTTTCAGAAAAGCGTTGCCATTAATTAGTTGTTTGGCTTTGTGGCTTTCATTAGTTTGTTGGGTTGTGAAGAAAGTATACAACTCCGATATCCAATATGGACTTTAGTGGTAAGTCTATTTTATTGGTTTCAAAGATTTCAAAATTGCTTCAGGCAAATATTTTTGTTGGCCAATAAACATGAATGTGTGAACATAGTTGGTGTTCAGAGAAATACCCCTGCTTAGATGATATGTTATATGTGCTACGTGCAATTTGTCATGTCATGACATTTGACATATGTAGTTTGTGAAAGGGAAACTGAAGCCAGTGTCGGACTAGTCTGGCCATTAAATAACAACCTTCCAGATATGTATATGACAAACATTTAACATAACAAACAAATACTGCTCGGAAGGGAGACTGCTGCTATGTACTCTTAACCTATGGGATCACTTGGCTAACCGCATGTACACACACGCGCACGCATGCACGGACGCGCGTGCTCTTTCTATGAATAATTTATCACGTTGGTCCTTTTATTCATTTACACGATGTGTTTTTGAAGGGAAATGATTTTGAATCCACATTTCAGTTATTAAGCAATAGTTTTCTCGGATTTCATGCGAATCGTTCATTTAATCACAAATTCAATACGAGGTAGATAGGGGATAGAGGATGAACTTGTTTAAAAACATCAAGTAAGTCAAATGTTCCTTATAAACGAAACTAATGAGATCGAGGATGTGTGATCCCAGTTGTTTGTAAATATACATCCCTCGCAGTCATTGCTGATGTTTGAACAGATCTATGTCAGCAGGTGGCAGTGTTTACTGCTGTGCCATCTTATGTAAATAGGAGTCAATGCCCTCGCCACATTCTACTTGTTGATAGAATCTTGCAGACAACACAGCGAGCAATAACACATTCAATCTGAGATATATATGTATTCATAAACTGCTTGTAGATATTCCGGATGGGTTATGATTATGGAGAGACTTTGTCGCTTTTATTTATGGATATTTTCGCACTGTCACGGTGTTCTATGGGACATATAATCTTATAAATACTACCCCCTCTACTGCTCTAAATATAGAGGTGTTATTGAACACGGACCATGTGGCTCCGAGGACCTGTATGCTTGTGTCCATGGTTGGCGGTGTGGTCGTATATTGTTGCTGTGGAGCACACACACAGGGACGCGAGCCGTCATATGATTTATTCATGTTAAGAGAGGGTAGACATTAGACAGGGGAAAACATAACCTATAAAGTGTAGTACTGACACTTAATAACGACAGGAATATCTTGGATGGATGGTATTGGGAACCCTTTGTGAGAGGTAATAAATATTTCAGATACAGTAAATTTATAGAGTATCGTATACATGTATGTGTGTATGTGTGTATGTGTGTATGTGTGTGTGATATCTGTTTGCTATGTACACTGTTATCTTGCAGTATAATCTGTTGGTTCCTTTGTTTTACACGCAGGATGTATTTATAACACATAAAGATACATGCACTTGTAAACACGCACTCTCAGCCTTCCCTTACGTGCGCGCCCCACGCTGACACCAACATCGCCAATGCGGGTACTCGCGTCACCAACAACACCAGTGCGGGTACTCGCGACACCAATAACTAAAGAGCGGGTACCTTCATTCGATAGTGTATTTAAGTACCAATCGCATGTCCCCAAACATACCCTTTCTTTGACATGATGATTACCACAAATAGTGCCATTTCATTTTTATCTGAAGTTTTAAATGGGTTCTTGTTTCTCCACTTTATTCGACGTCTGCTTGTAAATGTCCGTACAGTTTGCTTGGATACTGGACAGAAACATGTACTATACACAAGATCTGTGACAAAAACCTGCTTCTTACCACGATGACATTACCCCTTATCGAAGTTTGTATTGATTGATACTTTCAATATAGACCCAATATAGGGGGTGCACAGTTCATTTTCACGCGTTTTCACGAGTGTTTCAATGGTCATTTAACAAACTTTCAGGACAAGAGGGGGATCTGCTTATGCTGAGATGTGTATTGCTTCACAGGATGCCTTGTCGTATTTTTAGATCTGACATTGACGTAAGAGTCACGTGTAATCGTGGGGTGACAGTTCTTACACGTGATGATTCTGCCACGCCGTTAGCACTCAACGGGTCCAAAGTTCTCAATTATACACCTGGTTAAGGAATACATTCTACGACTGTCAATGTGCAGTTTGTTTGATCCACAGTTGTAGGAGAGGGTTGGTCATCGGACAGGGATCCACAGGTCCAATGGCCGTACTGTCATCAAAGGTGCATCTTCACAGCACCTGGTAACCCGAAAGAGGTGGCAATATTCACAGTGTTTACCCTTAACCCTGAAAAACTGCAGGCCCAAAGGACCGAGAGCCATAAAAAGTTGCGGGTCCTGATCTGAATGTGTAGGCCCTATATGGAAATAATATACTCTTACTTATTAGGAATGAAAAAGCTGTCGGCCATAAGGGCCTGCAAAAAGCAAAAGTTGTGAGTCTGAGTGGTTTTCAGTCGGCTTCGGGCCTAAGACCGACGTTAACTTAAACGCTGAATATTCAGATACTTATGGCTAACCTTTTCATGAAATACTGCACGTAAATGATATTTATAAATACGTGTAAAATGTTGTGTCTGTATTTCAGGACCCACAGGAGCTGTTTAACCAGGGTCGGCCACAGCTGAACGGCCTCCACATTGACAAGTATCAACACAAAGTGACTCTTACGTAATGACAATGGCACATACTGCTACATGAATGGTGGCAATCAATAGCAGCTGGCTGTCGACTCGTCATCAGTATTTGTAGACTGATCACTTACAGGAAACAGTAAAGGTCTACAGTAGAAGTCTGTCTGGCAGAAACCAGCGGTTTGGAGACGTGCTGCAGTGTTCTGACAAGATGTCTTTCCTAACAAACATTTTTAAAAAGAAGTCGAAGAGTGATGAGAAGAGAGAGGAAGAGCCCCAGGACCCAGAACAGAAGGATAGGAGACTAAAGAAGCAGCTGTCCATCTCCAGGTCAGGGCGGTTCAAACAGAAGAACCGCCAGCGAGGGGGCGTGGCCGACAGACCGGATCTGTTCATTCAGAGGGATGAAGAAAGTAAATCAGATTCGAGATCTCAGACAGGCACGTCCAACTCCCCCGGTAACAGCTGCAGGGAGGTAAACGGAACTATCATCCCGGGTGGCGTCAGGTTAAACGAGCAAGTGGCGTCATGACCTGGGATTAAGGTCAAGGTCGAGTTTCAGTTCGGACATTCTACAGACTCTTCATGCGCCGATTATGATTACTGCAAAGGTCGAAGTTTGGACTATGAGAATGAGATGTGATTTGTACTTGGCCTCTGTGACGTAATCAGGACTGTTGTTGGTTGTTACCATGTACGGCGTTGTGAAATATGGATAATTGTCAACATGAAAACCCCTGAAATTCAACGACCAATGAAAGTGTGGATTGGAGTGCAATGATTATGGATATAGCAATAGCTTACTTTGTCTGCTTGGCGCGTGAAGTCGCCCACAGCCCCGTCGGCCTGATCTCTGATCCATCCGTGATACCGTGTCTTCCAGACGTGACGGAGGAAGGTTTGTTTCCTCCTCGGCAGATGTGGGCGACACCTAGCGGCAGTAGTGACTGTTCGGAGGCCCCGTGCCCGCTGGAACTGCTTGTTTAATGACTTTCTAACTTGTCGCTCCTGGGAAATGTTCATGAGTGTTTGTGTAAATAGAATTATTTGAATAGTATTTACATATCAGTATACGGACAGATTGTGACTGGGAAACTGATTGTTACATGATTATGTTACTAGTTTAAACGTTCCTTTACGTTGCAATTTCTCACATTTTTGCCCATGCATAATCTGTCACTGAAAAAGTGCGAAATCATTTTCCCTTTCTTTGAAAAAAAAATTGTTACATAAACATTGAAGCAAAAAAAGAAACCCAAACAAAAACAAACATATTAACTACCCCGCAAAAAATGTACTTGTTACCAAAACATCGTTTTTGTGAGTTAATTCAAAGTTGTCTCCAGAACGTTCCGGGGAACATTTGATTGTTACATGACCAGTCCAGTTGTGGTTGACGCCAGTTTCCGGGCCGGTGTACATATAAATCTGCTGTATGTTATAGTCAGTATTGTCTCCAGACCTTTCTTGTGATGTAAATGAATGAGATTTGTAGATATATCTAATAGACTGAATGTTGTCCCCCGGGTAGACAGAGTGTTCCTCACAGCGAAACCTCGTTAATCTGGACGCTAAGGTACCAGGTAAATCACCTGCATGATCATGCAGGAAGCGCTGTCACTCTCTCACTCACACAGACACACACAGACACACACAGACACAGACACACACACGCGCACGCACGCACGCAGGCACACACGCACGCGAACAAACGCACACACACATACACGCGCGCACACACACACCACACGCACATACACTGGATTAACGGGCTCCGAAATAACGAGGTTTACCTGTGTGTTATCTAATTCTGTGGCTGTTAAATAGATCGGATTATGAGGGGCAAAGCTTTCACATTTATTCCGGATAATAACTGATGTTGGCGTCCAACCACGTGCTGTCTTTACGGAGATCAGGTTTCTGCAGGCTGCCCGGCAGTGATTGCTTTTGTATACATGTGGCATGGTCATACTTTCTCACGTTTAGCTTTTGTAATATTTATTTTTTATTCAAAAGAAAGTATTTTGTTGTTTACTATAGTGCCTTGAAATAGTTATGCGCTCGCACACCCACCCAGACAGACACGCGCAGGCATGCGCGCGCGCACGCACGCAAGCACACAGACACACAGGGAGACAGGCAGACAGACACACACTTTCTCGCTCGCTATCACAGTTTCTCACACACATACACACGAATGTTTACAATGTATATTTGGACAATTCATCATGTTCTCCACTATGTCTCTATCACCTGTTTTGCTGTTTTGCTGTTTAGCTGAAGCAATAGGAACATTTGACATATGTTTAACACATACATCCACCTAGACAGACACAGTACAAGTTGTCATACACAGTATTTAGTATTTGTTGGTCCATGTTCAACAGTGCTTACTGCCTCACAGATTAGCTCGTAGACTAAGTATGTTTATTTTGTTTGTTGTCTGAGAATGCAGGTACAAGTATACAAAACAACTCATGTAGTTGCCATACCACTGCATAACTAGCCCATGGAAATCTGCCACCTGAACATGGGAACGTGTCGGACTAACTGCTGGATATGTCGAACTACTTACTCGAATTGTCGAACTGATTGTTTGCTCGCTATGTCAGTGTTTTGTTCGGTATGTCTTATCTGATGTTTTGTCGGAGGTTGCTCTAAACGTTACGTTTCTTCTCCGACTGGCTTTTGTTGGACATGTCGGACTTGCCAATATGGAGTCGTACCGGATTGCGGCCAACGTATGTAGGTCAGTCACTAGTACAGACATAGTGCGAGACAGCGTGTGCCTTATACGTCACTTAATTTAATGTATAAAGTTTTGGATCATTATACATGTGTTGATATTTTTTCCTAAGTTGGTATAAAGATCTTACTTTAGAACCACGTGACAATTTAGGTTCATTTGAACACAGGTGATGGTGCAGTCATATGATGACAGGTGATGAGGCAGTCATATGATGACAGGTGATGGTGTAGTCATATGATCACAGGTGATGGTGCAGTCATATGATCACAACCCTTGTCTGTGTTGATTCACCGATGTCTGTATTCAGATCGTGATAGCTAAGAACTGCACTCTGCATTCAGATCGTGATAGCGAAGAACTGCTGTCTGTATTCAGATATCGAAGGACTGCAGTCTGTATTGAGATCGTGATAGCGAAGAACTGCAGTCTGTATTCAGATAGCGAAGGACTGCAGTCTGTATTGAGATCGTGATAGCGAAGAACTGCAGTCTGTATTCAGATCGTGATAGCAAAGAACTGCAGTCCGTATTCAGATCGTGATAGCGAAGAACTGCTGTCTGTATTCAGATAGCCAAAGATTGCTATCTCTATTCAGATCGTGATGTCAAAGAACTGCAGTCTGTATTCAGATCGTGATAGCGTAGAACTGCAGTCTGTATTCAGATCGTGATAGCGAAGAACTGCTGTCTGTATTCAGATCGTGATAGCTAAGAACTGCACTCTGCATTCAGATCGTGATAGCGAAGAACTGCTGTCTGTATTCAGATAGCGGACTGCAGTCTGTATTGAGATCGTGATAGCGAAGAACTGCTATCTCTATTCAGATCGTGATAGCAAAGAACTGCAGTCTGTATTCAGATCGTGATGTCAAAGAACTGCAGTCTGTATTCGGATCGTGATAGCGAAGAACTGCAGTCTGTATTCAGATCGTGATAGCGAAGAACTGCAGTCCGTATTCAGATCGTGATAGCGAAGAACTGCAGTCTGTATTCAGATCGTGATAGCGAAGAACTGCTGTCGGTATTCAGATCGTGCTAGCAATTCCCTGTTGTCTGCACACTAATCAAGATTATTGGCGTGTCATTTCTGTTTGTAAACAGATCATGAAAGCTGTTCACCCCTGTATGTGTCCATATCATAGCGAGACACTGATGGTAGCTTTCACAGAACACTGGGCGTAGAGAAGCAGCTGTCTTTATACCTATGCATTGATATACGAGTGGCGGTTGCGTTGAGGAGTGGCGGTTATTTCTCATGGCAAGGTCTCCGAGCGGTTCTCGGCGTGTGTCAGATGTGAACCAGTCGACCGTAAAATCCAACCTGAATGATTAATGAGCCGTGTCCAGGTATTTACCTGGGTAGAAGTAATGAGATTATCATGACATAAACTTGTGCTAGTTGGTGACATGTTTCCGTGTCACATGTTTGTCACCAACTTTACAACAGGGAGAAAAGTCGGAGCTCTTAAATGAACACATTCTGAACAAACAAACAACATTTGTGTTTACAGTAGCAACGTGCATACAACATGCACACAACATGTACGTGAAGGCTTTAGGGTAGAATACTCATTGTTGGATTGCATGCATGCATAGTGATCCTGAATGAACTTTAATATAAGCATGCATATATTATACACGTTTGCCTCGGTGACAGAATCACTTTGTTGCTAGGTTGGGGAGAAAGTAAGTCTCTATTTTGAGAACTGATAAGTTCTCTGCCGTGTTTAAAACAACACCACAAGGGGGTTCGTGCATCTATGTGTGTCAGGGAATGGTGGTTGTCTCAGCTTTGAGGTTATGTCCACTATGAGAGTGAGGACATAAGCGATCGAATGTGTTGATATCAGAGATCGAATGTGTTGATGTCAGAGATCGAATGTGTTGATGTCAGAGATCGAATGTGTTGATATCAGAGGTCGAATGTGTTGATATTACAGATCGAATGTGTTGACATCAGAGGTCGAATGTGTTGACATCAGAGATCGAATGTGTTGATATCAGAGGTCGAATGTGTTGATATTACAGATCGAATGTGTTGATATCAGAGGTCGAATGTGTTGATATTACAGATCGAATGTGTTGATATCAGAGATCGAATGTATTGACATCAGAGATCCAAAGTGTTGATATCAGAGATCGAATGTGTTGATATCAGATCGAATGTGTTGACAATAGAGATCGAATGTGTTGATATCACAGATCGAATGTGTGGATATCAAACAGTGAGTGTGTGGATATATGAAACCGAGTATGCTGATATTAAAGATCGAGTATGGTGATATCAGAGACCAAGAGTAGGGATATAAGAGACCGAGTATGGTGATATCAGAGACCGAGAGTAGGGATATCAGAGATCGAGAATGGAGATATCAGAGACCAAGAGTAGGGATATAAGAGACCGAGTATGGTGATATCAGAGACCGAGAGTAGGGATATCAGAGATCGAGTATGGAGATATCAGAGACCAAGAGTAGGGATATATGAGACCGAGTATGGTGATATCAGAGACCGAGAGTAGGGATATCAGAGATCGAGTATGGAGATATCAGAGATCGAGTATGTGGATATAAGAAACCGAGTATGGGGATATCAGAGATCGAATTTGCTGATATCAGAGACTGAGTACGGTGATAACAGAGACCGAGTGTAGGGAGATCAGAGATCGCGTTTGGGTGAGTGAGTTTGTTTTACGCCGCATTCAGCAATATTCCAGCTATATGGCGGCGGTCTGTAAATAGTCAAGTCTGGACCAGACATCCGAGTGATCAACAGCATGAGCATCGATCTGCGCAAATGGGAGCCGGTGACATGTCAACCAAGTCAGCGAGCCTGACCACCCGATTCCGTAAGTTGCCTCTTAAGACAAGCAGGGGTTAGCCCGGTTACTGAAGATCACTATTCTAACCCGGACCTTCACGGGTAAGATCGAGTATGGGGATATAAGAGACCGAGCGTGGTGATATCAGAGATCGAGTATGGGGATATAAGAGGCCGAGCGTGGTGATATCAGAGATCGAGTATGGGGATATAAGAGATTGGATGTTGTGAAATCAGGGACCGAGTGCAGGGATGTCAGGGACCGAGAGTAGGGATATCAGGGACCGAGAGTAGGGATATCAGGGACTGAGTGTAGGGATATCAGGGACCGAGGGTAGGGATATCAGGGACCGAGTGTAGGGATATCAGGGACCGAGTGTAGGGATATCAGGGATCGAGGGTAGGAATATAAGAGACTGAGTGCAGGGATATCAGGGACCGAGTGCAGGGATATCAGGGACCGAGAGTAGGGATATCAGGGACTGAGTGTAGGGATATCAGGGACCGAGAGTACGGATATCAGGGACCGAGAGTAGGGATATAAGGGACCGAGTGTAGGGATATCGGGGACCGAGAGTAGGGATATCAGGGACTGAGAGTAGGGATATCAGGGACCGAGAGTAGGGATATAAGGGACCGAGTGTAGGGATATCGGGGACCGAGAGTAGGGATATCCGGGACCGAGAGTAGGGATATCAGGTACTGAGTGTAGGAATATAAGAGACTGAGAGTAGGGATATCAGGGACTGAGAGTAGGGATATCAGGGACCGAGTGTAGGGATATCAAGGACCGAGAGTAGGGATATCAGGGGCCGAGTGTAAGAATATAAGAGACTGAGAGTAGGGATATCTGGGACCGAGTGTAGGGATATAAGAGACTGAGTATAGGGATATCAGGGACCGAGAGTAGGTATATGAGGGACCGAGTGTTGGGATATCAGGGACCGAGTGTAGGGATATCAGGGACTGAGTGTAGGGATATCAGGTACCGAGTGTAGGGATATCAGGGACTGAGTGTAGGGATATCAGGGACCGAGTTGGCTGAAACTCAACAAACCACATGCGTAACATAATTTTTAAAAAATTAGTTGGGTTAAGAAACTATAATATTTCCTGCTAATGCTGGGCTGATAATTGACGACACCGCTTACGTCCTTGACCAATGAATAGAGGGCTGCATATTTAATGAGAAAGCAGTACAGACTGCTTTGACTTCTATTCGTCGTACGGGCCACCGTGATAGAGCATGAATCTTGCAGACTGTTGCAAAACAAACAAACACCCTGGAAGCGTTTCTTTACTGAACGTTTTGTTTGTTTTACAAACCTGACTAAGTAAATCCATGGCAATATTTCCTTACAAAAGCACAATAATAAAGACTAATTGCATTGTCGGGTATACAAATATTGTGCGCTGAACGTATTGTCTTCGAAATTAAGGAAGTTGAAACCACTTTGATCCGTGACACATAGGACTCCGACACATGGGCCTCTTATTTCCGTGACACATCACCCACCACGCGGCAGAAATACTGCAACCTCCACCATATCCATCCCCACGTGAATGCCACAGTGCCTTTAATAGTGGTGTCCACCCTCCGCAGATATACTCTGACAAACATCGTTGGTGCGTGGTTAGGGTGCACAAAACACTCACTCACTCACTCACTCACACGCACGCACGCACGCACACACACATGCACGCACGCACGCACACACGCACGCACACACACATATGTAATGTGCTGATCTTGATATGCAGAAACTGATACTTTAATCTGATTGGACTGCCGGGAACTTTATTTCGCCAAATATAACTGGACACGTGTATCATGTGCGTGTATAGGCTGACAAGTGAACCATGTACCTGTATACTTGGATCATGTGTATAGCAGTGTATAGCCGGACACGTGTATCACGTAGCTGTATAGCCGGACGTGTATAATGTACCTGTGTACCGGACACGTATCACACCTGTATCACATGTGTATCGTGTACCTGTATAGCCGGACACGTGTATCATGTACCTGTATCACGGGGCACGTGCATCGTGTACCTGTATAGCCGGACACGTGTATCATGTACCTGTATAGCCGGACACGTGTATCATGTACCTGTATAGCCGGACACGTGTATCATGTACCTGTATAGCCGGACACGTGTATCATGTACCTGTATAGCCGGACAGGTGTATCATGTACATGTATAGCCGGACAGGTGTATCATGTACCTGTATAGCCGGACAGGTGTATCATGTACCTGTATAGCCGGACAGGTGTATCATGTATATGTATAGCCGGACAGGTGTATCATGTACCTGTATGGCCGGGCACGTGTATCATGTACCTGTATGGCCGGACAGGTGTATCATGTACATGTATAGCCGGACAGGTGTATCATGTACATTTATAGCCGGACAGGTGTATCATGTACATATATAGCCGGACAGGTGTATCATGTACATGTATAGCCGGACAGGTGTATCATGTACATGTATAGCTGGACAGGTGTATCATGTACATATATAGCCGGACAGGGGTATCATGTACATGTATAGCCGGACAGGTATATCATGTACCTGTATAGGCTGACAGGTGTATCATGTACCTGTATGGCCGGGCACGTGTATCGTGTACATGTATAGCCGGACACGTGTATCATGTACCTGTATAACCGGACAGGTGTATCGTGTACCTGTATAGCCGGACAGGTGTATCATGTATATGTATAGCCGGATAGGTGTATCATGTACCTGTATGGCCGGGCACGTGTATCATGTACCTGTATGGCCGGACAGGTGTATCATGTACATGTATAGCTGGACAGGTGTATCATGTACATTTATAGCCGGACAGGTGTATCATGTACATGTATAGCCGGACAGGTGTATCATGTACATATATAGCCGGACAGGTGTATCATGTACATATATAGCTGGACAGGTGTATCATGTACATATATAGCCGGACAGGGGTATCATGTACATGTATAGCCGGACAGGTATATCATGTACCTGTATAGGCTGACAGGTGTATCATGTACCTGTATGGCCGGGCACGTGTATCGTGTACATGTATAGCCGGACACGTGTATCATGTACCTGTATAACCGGACAGGTGTATCGTGTACCTGTATAGCCGGACAGGTGTATCATGTACATGTATAGCCGGACACGTGTATCATGTACCTGTATAGCCGGACACGTGTATCATGTACCTGTATAGCCGGACACGTGTATCATGTACCTGTATAGCCGGACACGTGTATCATGTACCTGTATGGCCGGGCACGTGTATCATGTACATGTATAGCCGGACAGGTGTATCATGTACCTGTATAGCCGGACAGGTGTATCATGTACATGTATAGCCGGACAGGTGTATCATGTACATGTATAGCCGTATCATGTACCTGTATGGCCGGGCACGTGTATCGTGTACCTGTATGGCCGGGCACGTGTATCGTGTACCTGTATAGCCGGACAGGTGTATCATATACCTGTATGGCGGGGCACGTGTATCATGTACCCGCATAGAAGGGCACTTGTATCGTGTACCTGTATAGCCGGACAGGTGTATCATGTACCTGTATCATGTATCATGGACACGTGTATCATGCACCTGTATCACCGGTCACGTGTATCGTCTTCCTGTATAGCCGGACACGTGTATCGTGTACATGTATAGCCGGACACGTGTATCATGTACCTGTATAGCCGGACACGTGTATAATGTACCTGTATAGCCGGACACGTGTATTATGTACCTGTATAGACGGACAGGTGTATCATGTACCTGTATAGCCGGACAGGTGTATCATGTACCTGTATAGCCGGCACGTGTGGAGAATGCATGTCTTGGCCACGAGGACGGACATTCACAGACAACCTTTCAAGAGTTACCTCCCTTAAACGAAGCATGTCAGCCTCAACAGTCAAGATTGGACAAGAATATAGGTTGAAGACAGTAGTGGGATACAGATACACTCCCAGTGTCTAGCACCTTTGTGCGCTGGTAATCAGGTGCTTGAAAGAGTGGGTTCGAATCCCGGATGGGACTCAAAACAAACAAAGTAGGATCTGTGACAAAGTGTAATCCCAAATATAATCTTCAAAAAAGTAGCGGAACTTCCTTTTTAATTTACGGTTGAAAACAATGGGACATATATCTGGAGTCAAGCAATGTTGATATGACAACAATGAATGTTTTGAGAGTGCATCACCACCTGCAATTCCTTATGACCATAGTTGTTTGTACTGTAATCGCTGTTTATGATCGGTGTTTGACGTGAATCTGCATGTGGACGTTTTTCATTTTCAAACAAAAAAAACACTAACAACTGTTTGATGCAAGATGATTGTCAAAATTAATGGTGTACAGTGACTTATCGACCTTCTTGAAAACCATAAAATCAAGAATGTTCCCCCATGCATAGGTGGATCCAGAGGAGGGAGGGGGGAAGCAGCCCCCCATGTTGAAAGTTTGTTAAATGACCATTGAAACCCGGGTAAAAATGAAGTGTGCACCCCTCCTTTTCTCAATAGTGTGCACCCCCTTTCTCAAAAAGCTGTATCCGCCCCTGCCATGCACGTGTATGGGGCTACTGCGTTGTGCACCTGCATCCCATGCGTTGTGTTTAGGGGTGGTGAGAAGTGGTTGTGCGTTCATAAGATGTCTGTCTTTGAAGAGTTTAACGCTTATACTTCCTATCCAAATTGAATGTTCAGGTTCCCCTACTCTTCTGGACGAGTATATGACACATGTAACATAAAACCATTTTCAAAAAGACATTGTGTATTCGCGAACCAATATTCCAACCGACGACCATGTTTGCACACCGAAGCTAACTATGTCACATATGTCAGCCATATACAATCAACAGAGAAGAATACATCTTTATTTCACTCCTCCCAGTTGATTTGTGCTCCAGCCCAGCCCAGGTTCTCCCCCTGGTTCTGCTCCTCCAGCCACGCCCTCAGAGGACGGAAATACTCCAACAGTGCATCCGCCGACACTGCACGTGACCCCGTCAACTGCTGCAGCGCATCTGGCCAGGGCTGACTGGCGCCAAGACTCAGCATGTTCCTGAGGGGCAATAAGATGGAGTAATTCTTGGAATTATTTAAATACGTTTTACTAAAAATCCTCAGAATAAATGAGTGAAAATTGCTGAAGGACGCAGTGGGCCAGATAGATGAAGGAGAGGTGCATGTAGGTGGGCATTATGGATGTATGGGAGGTGCGTGTAGGTGGGCCATATAGATGTAGGGAGGTGCGTGTAGGTGGGCCATATAGATGTAGGGGAGGTGCATGTAGGTGGGCCATATTGATGTAGGGGAGGTGCGTGTAGGTGGGCATTATAGATGTATGGGAGGTGCGTGTAGGTGGGCCATATAGATGTATGGGAGGTGGTGCGTGTAGGTGGGCATGGATGTATGGGTGCATGTAGGTGGGCCCCATATGATGTAGGGGAGGTGCATGTAGGTGGGCCATATTGATGTAGGGGAGGTGCGTGTAGGTGGGCCATATATGGATGTATGGGAGGTGCGTGTAGGTGGGCGTGTAGGTGGGCCATATAGATGTATGGGAGGTGCGTGTAGGTGGGCCCATATAGATGTAGGGAGGTGCGTGTAGGTGGGCCATATAGATGTGGGGGTGTGCGTGTAGTGGGCCATATAGATGTAGGGGAGGTGCGTGTAGGTGGGCCCATATAGATGTAGGGGAGGTGCGTGTAGGTGGGCCATATAGATGTATTGGTGTATGGGAGGTGCATGTAGGTGGGCCATATAGATGTATGGGAGGTGCGTGTAGGTGGGCCATATAGATGTAGGGGGAGGTGCATATAGTGTGGAGGTGGGGCATATAGATATAGATGTAGGGGAGGTGCGTGTAGGTGGGGCATTATATTGATGTAGGGGAGGAGGTGCGTGTAGGTGGGCCATATAGATGTAGGGAGGTGCGTGTAGGTGGGGCCATATAGATGTAGCGGGAGGTGGAGGTGCGTGGGTGGGCATATATGTAGATGTGTAGGGGAGGTGCATGTAGGGGGTGGAGCCATATAGATGTAGGGGGAGGTGCGTGTAGGTGGGCCATATAGATGTAGGGAGGTGCGTGTAGGTGGAGCCATATAGATGTAGGGGAGGTGCGTGTAGGTGGGCATATATAGATGTAGGTGCATGTAGGTGGGCCAGGTGGTAGGTGGGCCATATAGATGTAGGGGAGGTGCATGTAGGTGGGCCATATAGATGTAGGGGAGGTGCGTGTAGGTGGGCCATATTGATGTAGGGGAGGTGCGTGTAGGTGGAGCCATATATGTATATGTGGGTGGAGCCATATAGATGTAGGGGAGGTGCGTGTAGGTGGGGCATATAGATGTAGGGGGTGCATGTAGGTGGGCCCATATTGATGTAGGGGGAGGTGCATGTAGGTGGAGGCCATATAGATGTAGGGAGGTGCATGTAGGTGGGCCATATAGATGTAGGGAGGAGGTGCGTGTAGGTGGGCCATATATAGATGTAGGGAGGTGCATGTAGGTGGGCCATATATATATTGATGTAGGGGAGGTGCATGTAGGTGGGCCATATAGATGTAGGGAGGTGCATGTAGGTGCCATATTGATGTAGGTGGAGCCATATTGATGTAGGGAGAGTGCGTGTAGGTGGGCCATATTGATGTAGGGGAGGTGCGTGTAGGTGGGCCATATAGATGTAGGGAGGTGCGTGTAGGTGGGCCATATAGATGTAGGGGAGGTGCATGTAGGTGGGCCATATAGATGTAGGGGAGGTGCATGTAGGTGGGCCATATTGATGTAGGGGAGGTGCATGTAGGTGGGCCATATTGATGTAGGGGAGGTGCGTGTAGGTGGGCCATATTGATGTAGGGGAGGTGCGTGTAGGTGGGCCATATTGATGTAGGGGAGGTGCGTGTAGGTGGGCCATATAGATGTAGGGGAGGTGCGTGTAGGTGGGCCATATTGATATAGGGGAGGTGCGTGTAGGTGGGCCATAAAGGTGTCTAATGGGGAAGCAAGAGGAATCAGGTGCTGCAAATAACGTGATTCAATGGTTCTCTTGTCAATGACATCGGGTGTCATTGTCAGCATCACACAAACAAACCTTCATGACAACATTCTACTACACTGAACAAACATAATTGGGGATAATAAACAATTTAGGGCATATCTTTTGTGAATATTTTGTGAATATTGTTGCGATCAGACTCCCATAGGTGAGCGAGAGACAGGGCTGTGTTGGACTGCATGTTGGGGATGTAGAGAGATGTAGTGATGAAACTGGGTTAGATGGGAGTACAGGTACACATATGCCCTCACATGAGCTTCTCGCCGGCTTCTTTTGATCTGTAGAAATCGCACGTGTGCAGCGGCCCCTCGTGGCCCTTGGCTTTACACATGGCCTCATAGAACTGGAACTGGACGATGAAGCTGATGAAGTAGCTGTGGAAGAGAGAGAGGGCGTGGTTATTTTACTTTACAACACTGTTCCTAGGGTGGGTCAGAGTTACACCACGGTGCCGGGGTGGGGTGGGGATGGACGTGTTCATAAAGACGCTTTTCATAACATGTACACAGGGTACACATCCAGCTCGGGGGCGAGGTCACACAAAGTTTTTACATCACGTGTACCTAGGGAGGGTTAGAGGGTTAGAGTGACAACTGCAGCTTAAGGACATGGTCACACAAACTCTGCTCATCACGTCTGCTAAGTGTGGGTTAGAGTGACACCTGCAGCTTGAGGGCGTGGTCACAAAGACACTTTACATCACTACTTCGGATGGGTTGACGAAATGGAACAATCCTAAGGCTCCACGTTTGATGTTCGTAATTAGCACTCGACAAATACATCACTAAATCTAAACACACGCGGTATTGTGGCTGGTTTTCACAATAAGAATGAGTCTTTACTTCCGACATTAGACATGGCTGGCCGTAAGTTAGACATAAAAACTGTTGATATCACAACAGAAAAGACAACAACACCCCACCCCACACACACACACACGCACACACACACTCACGCACGCACGCACACAATTTAAAAACCCGTTCCCTCACCACATATATGGTGAATTGGACGGTACGTGGTACTTGGCGGCAGGGTCGAAGTCTTTCTCCGACCGCGGGGTGGGTGACACAATACCCTGGTACTCCAGCCTGGAACAGATATTGGATGATATAAGTGAGTGCCTGTCAGTGTTTACACGGATATATACAGTTGTTACATCAGTAGATACCCTGTTTGTATGTTGTAAGAATGTCTTGAATTCTTTTAAAAATGCATATCATATTTCTGAATTATTTACAGATTATTCCAGCATTAACAGCGCGTGGGACACTAGATTTGGGTTTCACAAATTGTACGTTTTAACCGTTACGCAACCCAACTTCTCCTACTTGCTGGAATAAAGTAAATATTTGTTCCATAAAATGCATTAAGAACTACTACATCAACATCAGATCGCTATTCACAGCATTGACAAGACGAGTTCTGATATTCAACTTATGTACCGACCCACAGGGGCGTGTCACGCCTAGAAACAGCGTTAGAAAGACATATAGGTATATATACCCTACCCTAGAACTATGTAAAAGGATATATAGTACTAGGATAGGGTCTATATACCTATATGTCTTTCTAACGCTGTTTCTAAGCGTGACACGCCCCTGTGTACCGACCATGGTTCTACTGGGATCACGAACTTAATAATTCTGTGTGTTAAAGTGAGTTTCGAGATGAAATGGTTCCTCAATCTATGACCGAGGACCACATGTGTGAGAAGACTGGGCCCTGTCTTACCTGAGCTTCCAGTACTCCTTGTTGATGTGCTGTTCGGGGATGTCTCCACTGAACACCCGCCATCGCCACTTGTCAATCAGATAGCCGTACGGCAGGAACGCCACCTTGAACAACGCAGTGGCCAGCAGGTCGGCGATGTCGCCTGGGAGGTAAGACAATATAGTATGACCAGAAATTATTGAGAATTTTAGGAATATGTTTAATTGGATTTCTAGTATAAACAACCTTGACCTGCTATCAAGTGCTTGGTTTCATTCAAGAGAGACGACTCCGTTAATCCTTTTTAATTAGTTTGTGAAAAGTATTCCCCTTTGTTTACTTGCTAGCAGAAGACATTTTCAGTGATCCTCAGTATGGATGATTTAGAGAAGAGGAAGTTTAGAGTATTATATTGCAAATGGATATGGCATTGAGCACCAGGGAGGCGCAAGTAGGCCCAGAAAATTGACTGTCGGTGACAGGAGGCGGCTTTAATTGGTATTCTTGTTTCTAAAAACAAACGAAGGAGTTTAGAAAACTTAAGGCTGGATATGATTGATAGAGGAACTGTGGCTGTCTGTAAGGAGACAATTAGAACTGAGCTGCATGCAATGGGTTGGCAGAAAAATCGAGGAATTCCATCACCGATCATGAAACCTGAACAAAAGGAGCGAAGGTTGAACTGGTGCTTACAGCATAGAAACTTTAACTGGGACAATGTGATTTTCTCAGATGAAAGTTCTGTGTAGCTGTTTCCTAATACACTGAAATTCTGGACCAAACAAACTGAAAAGCCTTTGTATCAGCGCCTAAAGTACAGTCCGAAATTTAACGTGTGGGGTGGCATATCTGTGTTAGGGGCAACGCCCCTCTGTGTATTTGAAGGGAATATGAACAGTGAGCGGTACACAGATATTCTCGAAGGGACATTTAGTTCCATCTGCTCACGTGTTCTATGGAATTTATTTGATTTTCCAGCAGGACAACGACCGAAAACATCGTTCAAAGCATTCACAGGCCTTGTTTCGGACCCAAAATATGACATTATTAGATTGGCTAAGCTATAACCCTGACCTAAATCCAATAGAAAATGTTTGGGGACTTATGAAGGAAAGTGTCAATAAGAAAAATCTGACAAATATTGCTGAAATGAAAGAAGAGGTGGTCCGATATTAGGACAGCATGGACCACGACTTTCTAACTTCTTTGATCAGTAGTATGCCCCGCCGCATTGAAGCCTGCATTGCTGCCCATGGTGACTTGACAAAATACTAACTGTTCACCTGTCTTTGAATCTGGAGTTATGTTCTGCTAATATTCGCATTTAATACGTGAGTAATGAGTGAAAATAATTTTAAAAATTACAATCTGTATATTCTCAATAATTTCTGGTTGTACTGTAGCTACCTTCAACAGGGACACTAGCCACACGAACCATTCGAGTGGGTGAGTGAGTTAGTGTGGTTTCACAACTGTGTTCATCTGCATAAGATGAAGTGAGGTGAAATTGGGTTTAACGTCGTGCTTGAGAATATTTCGCTCATATGACGACGTGCATGCGTGTGTATGTGTATGTGCGGCTGCTTGTACTAGCCCAGACTTAAGCTGGTTTTATAGTGCTAGCCCACTGAGATACCATACCGCAGTGAAGCCTGAATACCCCACTCAGACACATTATACTGACTCCGAGCGACCAGTCCTTGTTGTACCCATTAATGCCGAGCGCCAGGCAGGGACCAACAAGTACCATATTTTAACGTCTTTTGGTATGACGCGGTCGGGGATCGAACCCGCGACCTTCCGCTCTCCGGGCGGACGCTCTAACCACTATACCACGGAGGCGGTATCTGCATAAGAGCTGTTTTATTTCAGATAGTTAATCGTACCTGGGTCCGTGGTCAGTGATATATAACTGCATATTCCATGTTTCGTGCCACGGACAAATGTAAAGTTGGTAATGTTTTTCTACAAAACTATAATAGTGATGTTACTGTCGCACCAGGTGAGGGGGTGATACTACTGTCGCAGTGAGGCAGTGACTACATTGACTGCAGTCGACAGACTGTGAGAGGGGAAGTTACAGACAACTATAGAGTACACGGGTCAAACCTGCTTCGTCTACGTTTGCCTACCAGTACGGAGGATTCTACCGTACTAATTCAAAATACTGTAACATGAGAGATACTAGGTGTGTCACAAAACGTTTGAAGCTGTCTAGTCGTGTCAACATTCCCCTGTGTGTTAGTTTAAATGCACACATGTACATATTCATGTTTAACATAGCTGTGCCTTCCTGTAAAACAGCATTTATAAAATGTCGCCAAAACTGATTCCCTTTACTGTCGCCCAGCAACCCTGGAAGATCAGGGCACCTCATTATCCGTGGCCGTGATTGTTGTTTATCTGAGTTCGAACCATATCAGGATCTACCACTGTGGTTTGTCTGTACCAGTTATGACCATGGTCTACGTCACCTTCTTTCGTCCTGGTTGCTGTGTCGATGAGTCCGATGGAGTTAAGGTGTTCGCGGGTGCCGACAGACAACGCCATCGTGTCGCCCACGGCTTCGTGGAAGGCGGAGTTGGCGCCGGTACGGTAGACAGTGGACTTGTTGGAGTAAGCCATGAAGTACTCGATGTGCCCCATCTCGTGGTGGATGGTGTAGAGGTAGTCCATGTTCACCTCGCTGCACATCTTGATTCTGATAAGATAGGAGAAGACATATGAGAAACGGATTGAGGTTCTGAGGCTCACCTTCAAACAAACAACTCATCAGATGAAGTCAAATACCTAAAAGCGGGAATGTTTCCATAGCCAGACGTAATCTCTTCTAAAGGCCTACACGTCAAGACTGGTTGGACGTTTCTTTATGTTGTTCATAACGCCGCTGCTCTAAGTACTTATGCTAAATACGTCAGTCTGGGTAACATCGAGTCCAGACCAGACAATTCAGTGATTGACACCATGAGCATCCATCTATGCCTATATTTGAAGCCTGGTTGAATGTTGCTTTCTCAGTATAACGATGGTCTGGTAAAAAGGATTCAAGACCAGACCATTCAGTGATTGACAAGACGAGCATAGACCTATGCCGCTGGGGCATACATCAACCAGCTGTTTCACCAACCGAGCCCGTTAGTATCCTTTAACAGCAGGCAATGGTTTCTGAATTTCAATTCAAATCCAAATCACCACGGTTTCATGGCTGTGTAAACACCATTGACGAGTACATATTATTTCTTCCAGCTCGACCAACTTCTGTCCCTGGTGGAATGGTGAACCAATGGACAGAAGTGTTAAGCATTGTCCCAAGACCTGATTGGCGCTGAGCAATAATGTTTCCAAGAATATTATCTATTTATATTGTTTATTATCTATATTCAATATGAAAATAAATACCGGAAATCGTCCTTTGCAAACAGATCCGAGGCTGATGCGTGACACGTGACTTGTCTGTCTTCCGGCTTGACGAACATGGATTTCTCCCAGAATATGTCTGTCATTGGGAAGAGTCCAATGGATTCATAAAACTTCTCCGAGAGTTGAAATAGTCCCGTTACATTGTATCGTTCTTTGAGCTTGACCTCTGCCGCCTTGGCTACATCATTGCTGGGGTCTGTAGACGTCGGCAGGACGATGTCCGATATCATCTGCCAGTTCTGGGCCCACATATTGCCTGGAGAAGGAGGACGGGAGATTACATACGTGGGGTCCAGGTATGTCAGGTGGACACTTTCTGACGGCGGGATAGAGGACACAGATAGTGGACACACATAGAGCCTTGATAATAGGGATCACAAACAATGGACACACCTAATGCCTTGACATTAAGGTTCACGACACAGGTCACACATAACTGTATGGAGCATGGGGTGCCATTGACAATGGAAACAGTGGCTACATAAATAACAATACCAATGTTATAATTCTGGTAATACGTCTTAGTAAAGTACACATTCTTGGGTTTGATATTGTGTGCCATCCGGGATTCGAACGCACACACGCACACACGCACACTGATGCACCAACGTCAGTGATCTTATCGACAATGGCACAAAGTCTTCAACCGAAATGTCCGCAAAGTCCGACAACTGGGAGGCTTCACGTACTTTGTGTACCCCTCTGATACATGCCCATAAAGAGGGGACCAAAGGAAACAGTTAATATGTTTAGGATAACACTTTCTCCGTAGGTACAAATTCTAGTAATTCTTCAGGTTGAGTTCAATCCAAACACTCATTCAGCGGGCCTCAATGTGAGAGTATGTGTTCCAATCACGGACCTGGCGCATTTGTGTCTTATTAAAATGTATAAGTAATTAAATAGTCACAGTTCACTGTTAAATATGTATTCCTTGAAAAGGTAAGTGAAGCCGATGCTATGACGCCTTGACAAGCATTTACAGCGAAGGATAACACATTCTCATTTCAAGTACTGAAACACTCAAGGCGGTATTGTAACAAGTTTTGTGACCTGCTAACATATTTCAAGCAAATTGTATCAACACCTTTTTTCAACATATATGAATATTATTTTGCATGTAGATCATGTGTTACCAAGCAAGTGAGCAGGTATTGCTCCATTCGTTCCAACGATGTCTTCTCCGTAGAACTCCGTTAGTTTCCGGCGAACGTACGCTTGCAGCTGGACATACAACGGTTTGACCTCTGACCACAGCCTATCACAGAGTTGCTCTAGGTTGGGCGTCTCGTCAAACTGTGCATCTCGCCAGTAATCACCATAATCCTTATAATCTGGAACAAATGGATGACACTCAGATATTTACATATCTCACGTTCTTCTAACTGTGTTTCAGCGATTATTCACTGAGATGAAAATCTAGCGTTTTCCCGCAAGAAGTCTTCTGATCCTTTCCCTATATAATGTACACTAGCATCTGTCAGTATGTTAACATGTTGCAGATGTCGCTTCTTCAACAGAACAACCATGACGTGGAGAGCCGTCGGCGTCATCTGGACTCGCTGGATGCGGTATATCAGTTCAAACATGGGGAATCTCACACGTGTGTCTTCAGATACCAAAGAGAAGAGCTTTAAAGTTTAAACTGTTAAAACAATTGACGATTGCTGGTATATTTGTTATCAAAGAAGAACACGAGGTGAAATGCTATCAATGATAAACAGTTATTCTTACAGTGTTTTCACTTTGTAAGCTGTAACAATCAGTATACAATAGGACAGGTAAGAAGATTCAGCGGCAGAGAGATAACCGATGTCATGTGATTGTGACGTCATTGTAAACGATGACGTCTCAATCGTTAGAAAGGCATTGTGATGCTCCTTCCTTGTAGAGATATCTACTGGGTCGAATTATAATGCAGGCTGCAGAATAAAGTGTATGTGAAGATGTGAATGAAGTTATGCAGTGTATCTTCTCATTAGCGTATTGGGTAGAGTGGCTTTCCAGAGACAGGAAGGTCGGTGTTCCGACCCCCAGCCTCGTCATACCAAAAACAAGACCTAAAAATAGTGCGTGTTATCACCCATGGCGTTAAAGGGATGAAACAAGGATTGGTGGGCTCGAATGCAGTATCCTGTGGGTATCCATGATTACCTACGGCCAGGTATAGTATCGTGCTGGCACTACAAGAACCAGCATTAGTCATACTAAGAAAAGCAGACACGCGCGCGCGCACGCACGCACGCACGCACGCACACACACACACACACGCACACACACACGTACACACGTACACACGCACACACAAATACGTGTAACATAAAACAACAACAAAAAACCTCACACACAAAAGGTTATTTTGTCCGGAATGGTAACGCCCATAGCACAGCATCTCACAATATGACAGCCTACCATTCTCCATCGCTCCTTGGTTCAGTAGCTTCACGTACTGCAGATACAGAGGTTTGATTGGTGGGCCAGTCGCGTCTCTCCACCCATCCCACGCCCACAGTAGTTCAGCCGGGTCGGTACTGGTGGCCATCACTTGAATGAGTCCCGGTTCTATCTGTAGGCAGTCTTCCCTACTCCGACACACCCGGGCGGTGCTGTAGATCTCCGACATGCGACCCTCGAGATCCTTCTGTTTCCTAACAGGACGCCACAATACTTTAATACACAACATTAAACTTTGAGCATACCTTCATGGCGTGGATATAGCGCAATATAAGTGCCATTATTATTATTATTATATAAATGGCTACACGAAGAAGCATGTTGCTCAAAACGTACATCAAATGTTAAAACATCGATATCTTATCGTTATGTACGTCGGAGATGACAGCACTGTTCAGTTATACACAGTCCTTAATGATTGCTGATTGTGCGTGTTTGTTGCAAACGCTCGTCATTAAGAGTCCGAGATAATGTTCCTGAACTGTGGGTTTTACGCACCTGACGTCCTCCGGATCTTTCGGCTCCGCGTACTTTGTGAGCAGCCTAAGTTGTCTGTTTGTGTCGGGGTCAAGGTCATCGCTCTTCATCCACTCCCGGGCTTGCTCGAGGATGGAAGGAAACCATTCCGAGTACTTCGTCTCGCTGTTTGCAAACTGTATGAACAAGTAACGAGCTTTTACATGAAGCCAGATCGTGACGGGGAACAACAGAATTGTCTAATGTGACTCTACCCACGGGATTATAAAGTATTTCTTCGAACACTTATGGCGCTATAACTCAGGGGCACATCAAGTATTTCAACTGCTTCCATGACGGGAATCGAACTTAGCTGTAGCCATAATGAGGGAATAGTAAAGTCACTCATGCACCCCAGCTACTCCTTCACCCGGGAGAGCTAATTAAGTTTGGTCATTATATTAACGACTATAATCGCCTCCACTACAATCTAGTGAACAGGGTGACGTAAGAATAATATGAACCACAGAGCACCACGTGGGTACGGGGAATGATATAAGTACTAGGTGCTCTCCTGATCACTTTTCCAAAATATTCACATGATCAGTTACCTGTTCTCGGTTGTTGTCGGTGATGTTTGTGCTGAACACCCACTCTGCCAAGGACATCCTGTTGTTCCACTTTCTCAGCTTCTTGTTGACATCTTCAAGCCAGAGCTCGGCAGAGTACTCGTCACCCCGAGGCTGGTCCTCTTCCTCCTGCTGCTGGTCCTGCTGTCGCTTCTCACTCTCAACCTTATTGGAGTCTTCTTCCAGCTCTACAAGACACAGAGAGGTGAATGCTGGGCTTGCAATACCACGATGTGAAGGTTCAGGGTCGCTACACTGTCAACTCAGCAGACAGGATAATGCAGCAAGACTATACACATGGGTGGTCGGATACCTCTGGTTCCTCTCAGAGCTTCAGATCAGTCGAGATATAGGTTAAATGACTTTGTTACTTAACGAGAAACAGAGATAAAGATTCAACACTAGAGATGAACACATTCATTACAATAATGATACTTTGCATGGATATCAAGTTCTCTTTTTTCGTGAGTGCGACTTTTCCATATAGATTCTTGTACCCTGCTTTACAACAGTACAAGAATCTGTATCGAAACATCGCACTCCACGAAATTTACGAAGTCTACAACAAATGTCATTGTTGTACTTCCCAACTTCTAAAATGCCACTGTAGGAGGTGAACACACTCATGTCTGAGACTACTCATTTAACAAAAAGGGTGAACACATTCAACACTGAGGCTATGCAATCAACTCAAAGTATGGACACAAAGAGGAACTTTCGCCAGACCTAGGGACCTTGATCGTAAATCAACAAGGTCAACGCCTGCCGGCCCTCCAGCCTGGTTCCCTGGGTCTGTCGGAGCGTTAGCGCAGCCGCAACACACCCAGGGAACCATGCTGGCCGGTCCTCATTCATAAGATCTGCAGAATTTTGTTGCCTGACACCGCACAACGCTACTCATGCCATGTGACGGTGATATGAAAACAGACCAGACAATCCAGTGATACTTACCCATCAACTCAAGGAGGACTTCACGAAGGTCCGAGTCCATGTTGCGTTTGAGGCGCTGGGGTAAGGCCTTTGACGTCACAAGCAGGACCAGCAGGAGGGTCAAGTTCGTCATACGACCCATGATGTTAATCTGCCGACCTGAAGAGGAAGAAGGTGAAACTCATCCGAGGTGCTTTGAGTGGTGATGTGGCTGCCACAAACAGCCCAGTGATTGTTCCTTTCGCTGGTAGCCGTACAATAGTTGATGAGAGTCAGGGAACAATATGGCAGTAATGAAGACCGTTTGTTACGCTCAGTAAAGACCTCAATGAACACCAGCTAGAAACACCGAACACAATAGCAGTCGGAGGTATACAGCACCAGCTGCCGTACATACATGTCCATGTATTTCAATCAGCTCACATGCAAATACACACAGCAAAAAACTAGAGATATTATTTTAAAATTGACTAGAAGGATTAATTTCGGCTGAATATAGCACCTTGATTTCAAATATCGCTGTACCACCATTTGCTCCGTCTTTACAAAATTGGGAGACCGTCAGTTCGAGTCTGTAATTATCCAGTGTTTGTTCAGTTGTATCCGTTATTCACCGTTTCTCCAATTAGGAATTATCCAAGTATTCTAGCCACCATATTTCTTATTTCTTAGAACAACATTTCTATGGAGGAAGTGGAATCTAATCACGCCATATTTGATGTTTGTGAGTCCGATGACGAGTAATTAGTAGTTGATATTTAAGTAACCCCGACAGTCGACAAGATGGAATCTGTTTCCCGGCGCTCAGAAAGAGGATTAACGTGACGAAGATGAACTACAGTTTTGTCAATGCAGCGTGCGACTAATCGGCTGCCACGGCGGAGGCCATGGGTGTTCTCTCGCATACTCAAAACTAACTGGAGATATTTTGTGCCTTTGATAATCTGTGAGTGACTGAGTGAGCTTAGTTTTACGCTGCCTTTACCGATATTCCAGCAATATTACGGTGGGAACACTAGAAATAGGCTTCGCACATTGCACCCATGTGGGGAATCAACCCAGGTCTTGGGCGTGACGAGCGAACGCTTTAACCACAAGGCTACCCCACCGCCCCAGATGATTTGCGAATGAGGATGTGCGTACATTGTTATGCACCTGTGATTTAACATTGAAAGATGCGGATGTACGAATAACACATATATAACCGCCAATGAGCTGGTGGATTATACCCCCCTTTCAAAATACCCGGATATCATATTGATGATAAGGATAAGAACCGTTATGTCTGGTCAGTGCTGAACGAGTTTACTCAATGTACTTTATATACTGTCGGCCCACCAAAACTAACCTTCCCCTCAAATAGTTAAATCTATTATATCTTTGCATATACTTAAATCAAATATTTAAAGAGAAAATTGAATTTGTTTGGACTTAACTTTCGAAGGAATTTAAATTCACAAAGAATGATGAAATGTTAAGGAAAACATGGAGAGACGTCCAGTGACTGTGTCTGTCTTCCTTTATTCTTGACACATAGGACTCGTTAGAATTGATCCTCAGAAACCCATACTCGTCGTAAAAGGCGACTAACCGGAACGGGTGGTCACCCTCCCCTGTTTGGTTGACACAGGTCATCATATCCCAATATCTAGAATGATGCTCATGCTGTTGATTACTGGATTATCTTATCCCTCCTCGATTATCTAGAGACCGCCGCCATATGGCTGGAATATTGCTGGGTGCGGCGTTAAGCAACAAACACACCAATCAAATCCTGACACATAGAGACTGGTAGCAATACAACAGCTGAAACATCTCTGTGACACGGTGCATTTGTCGTTCAAAACGTCCCCGAATACGATTTGTGGAAATGAGAAGTAGGGCAGGGACTATGAATTATCTCAGAAGTATCAAAGCTTTAGAATTTGTTATGAAGTTGACTTTTACATTTTTGCAAGTTTGACAATACAGAATATTAAGCCAAAAGATGAAATTTGATAAAAGGGTAATCTTAGAGGATTTTAGGAAACGATTTCTTATATTTGAATACTAGAATATAGTTGAGATTTCCGCTACTACGTGTACTAAATAATTGACCATTTGTTGTGGGCCAAAATCTTTCCTGAAATGCTCACAAATAAAACTGAATGTGATTGAACGTGTAATTAAAACGGAAAACTGATAACTAGAAACTTTTAGCCGAGCATGTATGAGTGTTATAGACCTTCTGTCTCAAGAATAGACCTACTTTAAGCCAGTATGAATGTGGATTTAGTTCAAAGTCAGACCTTAAATCTTCCTGTCAATCTGTGGCACATATAATCCCCAGACGGAACATAACCAGATCTTTCATGAAATCCTGTGTAAAGAGCATTTGGGTTGCAATTTAAAAATATAGAAAAAATATACAATTCCCATGAGTTCCATCTACAGTCCTATTAAAACTGGTTCTCTGTAACTTTTAAAAGCAAAATTGAGTTATTGTCTTCTAAAAACTATAATGACCAACACGAATATTATCACGGTTGTTTTGTTATTGAGTCCACAGGTAATCATATTCTCATGCGACGCATAATTTGTGAAAACAAAAGAGATATATCAATCAAGTACAGAAGAACAAAGCCGGCGCATGTGTAGTGTGTGCATCACATATAGATCACACTTCAGCACTACCGACTGTTTTGCCAATCATCATCCTTACACAAATTAAACCTTAGCAGTAAAGCGTTCTCAGAATTACTGACTTCAATCAATACAGCACCATACTTTGAGGCTTAGAAACGTTAAAACGTTTTGGGAAGATAGATTAAAGCGACTTTTACACTACATAGCAGTTTAAAATTGACTAAATTGTAAGTTTTAGCCAGGCCAATCACCGATGACGTTTCACCGCTAACACAAACCGGATAATGACAGGGGCTCCATGACAGGGTCCTTTCTAGATACATGCAAAGATCCGTCGGTCGTAGGTTCTAATCCCGAATTAGTCCACATTCACCCTGATGTGTGGTCTGTCTGCACCTTAGCAGTGTCGCTACCTCGGAAATAAACCGTACACATGTACTTTGAAATTATTGCTATTTATACAATCACGCTAAATACAATGGCAATCCATCAAAGTGGTAATTTTCCATGCTGATTTTCGAAATAGATCAACATAGTAGGGGTAGGGCAAGGAAAGTAGGGTAGGGCAATGAAAATAGGGGTAGGGCAGGAGAGAGAGGCAGGAAGTAGGGGTAGGGCAAGGAAAGTAGGGTAGGGCAAGGAAAGTAGGTAGGCAGGAGACAAGGGGAAAGTAGGGTAGGAGCAGGAAAGTAAGAGACAGTAGGGTAGGGCAAGGGAAATTAGGGGAACTAGGGCAAGGAAAGTAGGGTAGGGACAAGGTTTGAGCTGGGTAGGCAAGGAAAAGTAGGGTAGGGACAAAGGAAAGAAGTAGGAGTAGGGAACAAGGGGAAAGTAGAATAAGGGGAAAGTAGGGTAGGGAGTAGAGACAAGGAGAGAGAAGTAGGATTAGGGCAGGAACCGAAGGAGGGAAGCTAGAAAATTAAGGCAGGAGGAAAGTAGGGAAGACAAGGAGTAGAGTAGAGCAAGGAAAGCAGGGAATAGGGAAGAAGGGTAGGGCAAGGAAAGCAGGTAGGCAGGGTTAGGGAGACAGGAAAGTAGGGTAGGGTGAGACAGGGGAGAGAAAGAATTGGGAGCGCAGGGTAGAGAAGAGACAAGGAAAGTAGGGTAGGGGATTGGAGACAAGGAAAGACAGGGCAGGGCAAGGAGAAGAGTAGGGTAGGGCAGGGCAAGGAGAGTAGAGTCGGGTAGGGCAAGACAAGGAAGAGCAGGGTAGGGCAAGTTAGGGTAGAGCAAAAGAGGAAAGTAGGTTAGGCAAGGACAGACAGTAGGGGGTAGGGCAAGCAAGGTAAAGTAGGGTAGGGAGACAAGGAAAGTAGGAAAGTAGGGTAGGACAGGGGCAGTAGGAAAGCAGGGTAAGGAGGAAGGGCAAGAAAAGTAGGGTAGGGCAAGGGAAGTAGGGTAGGGCAGGGCAAGGAAAGCAGGGTAGGGCAAGGAAAGTAGGGTAGGGCAAGGAAAGTAGGGTAGGGGTTAGGGAAATGAAAAGACAGTGGGCGCTGCAAAGAAATTACGATGGTGTTAGGGCAAGGAAAAGACACAAGTGTTCCGTAATCTGAGCGGTCACAGTCATCTTATAGCCTCTCCGCAGAATGTAGTGAGTGAGTGAGTGAGTATGGTTCTACTCGCTATCAGCAATATTTCGACAATATGATGGCGGTCGACACCACTAATGGGTTTCACACATTGTACCTATCTAAGATTCGAACTCAGGATTCTGGAACACTAGGTTCCACAATAAGGACCTGTCTTTGACAGCGTGCCGTCGTTCTCCGATGAAGCGATTCTGTTGAAGACTCTAGTGCACACAGCCTACATATTACACAGATTTATCACAACTGACTGACACGTTAAACAACATGCACTCCGTCATTGAAGTCGTAACGATTGACGTCATCTGCCATTATATGTACTGGAGAGTGCGAGCTTACTGAGACAACTAGAGTAACGTGTAGACGTCCATACTACTCAATGAAGTAAAAGAAGAACTGATTACATTGTGGTATAGTAATTTAAATGAATGGACGTTCTTTTATTTCCTTTGAGTGGTATACATGTACATGGGTTGTCAGTCATGACCTTATTCTCAAGTAAATACATGTTAACCAACATAGAGTGCCCCGACATGCACGACTAAAGGACAGTCACCACGTTACAGGTTATTGACGTTCAGCCTGACTACACCCATTCATCGTCACTGTAGATGTGAGGGGCTCCAACAAACACACGTCATTGCACTATACCAAAGTATCTTGGGTACAACAGTTAAGAGTGGAAACATTTGGTACATGGCACCTGCCCACCCCCACCCCCCAGACTATGTCATCCCAGACTGTGTCCCCCCAGACTGTGTCATCCCAGACACACGCGTTATATTTTAGCTTCACAAAACCATGACCAGTCAGAGCATAGCATAATTCAATGATAGTTATCAGATCTTTGTGTTTCGATGTGAAAGTGATTATTCTTATTTGGCCATTCATATCTGATCTGACAGAAGTCTGATCAAATAAAACCTGTGAATATCAACATGATTATTGAAATAAATAATATTGCCTCACTCACCCATCACGAAGTTTCGAGATTTGCTGTACTGTTACTCGGAATTTCTGCTGTCCCGTACATCAAATTATTTACCTGCTTCTGACAACTTAATCAATTTTGAAAATGTTAATATTACCTGTATGTATCTCACGATGACCGAGTCAGATACCATATGTATCTCTGATGGATGGTTTGAGAATAATGTATTTAGTTGACCCCAGCCGATAAATTAACGTCAGTTGTTCACAAACAAGGACAGGCTAATTACAACCCGGGTAATCGTGGTATAAACAGCCTCAGGGTGGTATAAACAATCAAGTCTAACTACATGCTCTTGTCGTTATCTACATTTAATCGGTATTACACCTCAGCATCATTGTGCCGACTGTTGTCGATGTAGGTTATAATGAGTCTTTAACAACAGCTGGGCCAACAACTATAATGACGCTAGCTTGTCGACATAGCCACCTATGATTGGTGCGGGTTCGCGTGAACAGATCTAAATATCCCCTGAACGTTTAATGTCAATATTAAATGTCCTTAACAGTGGCATGCTGGAACAGGAGACAGGGTTTGGGGAGTAATTGACTTTGGAAAAACAACAACATACAAACTGGTATAATCATATACATCCATGCTCTCTCGGTACAGCTGACGCATATAGACAGTCGGCTATGCCTGTGTTGGCTTCTGTATCACCTGTTGTCCATGGTTGTCACTATCGTCTACTAACCAAACATAGACCCAGGTAACCCGTGATTGTCCAGTTTTCACCCTTGTTTGAGATATTTCAATTGCTTTTTATATTTCGGAACATGGGGTACACCTATTTCACAGTAGTACCATAACAGAAAGTTGGAACATTTAGGATCTGAGAGATAACTCGATCACCTGTTATGGAAGAGACTATGGCTGGTCCAGCTATCAATAAACAATTTAGACATTCCAACATTAACTATTAAATCTATAAATGCATGTCAATTGTCACCGGCGGTTGTTCAGTTTGTCACTACAAGACCCATGTTCACATTATCAGTCACTAGTTTGTGTGATCCACTCATTTCCTTCGCAGGGGTTGTACGGTATGTACGGTGAACTATGACTTTACCTTAGCAATATTTCAGCCATAGGAATCTATTAGGATGTCAACGATCCTCGGATTAGGTTTGAACAAAATACTTGAACTGAACTGCAATGACATGTTTACCATATTGAAACGGTACGTCACATGTATTGTAGCGTCCTTCCGGTAGATGGTGTATGTGGGGCGTGGCAGGGTGGCGTGGGTGCTGTTTGTGGTAGGCCGCGGGTGGTGTTTGTGGTAGGCCGTGGGTGGTGTTTTTGGTATAGGGTACATGTCGGACGACATAGTAAAAATACTCACTGTATATCGACGTAAACTGTGCTTTTAGAAATCCATACAACGTACATGTGCTCGCTGTCGACGCCGTGTGCAGAGTGACAGCTGCACGTCGTACTCGGAGGTGATGCTGTTAGCCAGGGCTGGCTGTTTGGTGTATAAAACATACCCAGCTGTAGCCATGGGTCACTACTACCTATATCACATAAAGTCCAGCAGTCTACTCACCTACCCGGCTTAAACTGTGGTCAGTTGGTGTCCGTCAAGTCATATCCCCAGGCAATGTTGTTGTTTAAGTTTACAAGTTTCCTCTCTCCTCGCGCAACCTGTTACTGACGATTGTGAACCCACTCAAGCGTGGGTCTGGGCTAGTTTCAACATTGCTCAGTAATTGTTAAGATGTGGTTCTGTCCGACGGCAGTTGCTTCCCTTGTTCTGTAAAACGGTGTCTGTCACGGGTGACAGGTTGCTATAGCAGGACATGTGAGGTAGGGGAAGCAAGTGGTGTCCCCCGCCGTGATATTGCTGCAATATTGCCCAAACTGGCGTAAAACTAAAGTCACTCACTCAATACATTGCGAATGGACAGGAACTGTTGTATTCTTCAGACTCCTTAACTCAGCAGGGTTTATCAAACATCTATTGTTTTTTCTCTCAACATAAAAGAGAAATACGCTAAGTGAGTGAGTTATTGAGGGTGTGACTTGTTGAGTGAATGAGGTACTATTGGGCGTATTAGTGAGTGATTGAGGCATTGAATGCGTTGTTGAATACATTGTTGAGCTATTATGCGACTGAGCTAGTGAATATGTTACTGAATTTGTGAGTAACTGATTTTGTTTTACGCTGCACACAGCAATTTTCCAGCTATAGGGCGGTGGTGTTGAATTAGTAAGTAAGTTAATGAGCGAAGGAAGTAATATAATGAATAGCTGGGCCGTGCTGTGAAACAGTTTTACAACTATTTGAATGCACTTTCTAAATGGCATTGTGTAATCAAAACTATTTGAATGTATTATCGTTATGTTATAATTCAGTGTTAACATCTACATTCGTCCGGGTTAGAATATTGATCTTCAGTAGCCCCATTCTCTTCCCACAGAGGTTACTTGTCATATCTTCCTACGAACCTCTGTTCTAATACCAAACTCAGTCTAATACGGCCATATTTCCCGGTTCTCGTAAAATCCCCTAGCGGCAAAAGATCGCAACACAATCTCCATTTATCTATCCAATCAGAACACGTGTTACATCGACTTAGATTCAACTTGACTAACACAAGCAAATGTGGGGCCACAAATATCCCCCATCTGCCGGGGACTTGTGTTGATGTTAGACACAAGACGTTTAATGGCTAGCTTGTCCGTTGTCAACGGGGGCGATGGAGACGCCACTGATCCGCCATAACATGACTGAGTTCTGTCTAGAAGAAACGTTTGCACATCGCGCAGGGGAAGAGGTTTAGTTTTCTCGAAGCATACGGAAATTACCGAGGCCTTGCGAATGATCACTTTTGAAACAACGTCGCTGATTGCACAACTAAATCTGATTGCCTCCAATCACGAGTCTTGAACGCTCACACCATGAAAGGGCCGTATTAGAACAGAGGTTACGTAGGAAGATATGACAGGAGTAACCTCTGTGGGAAGAGAATGCAGTAACCCATGCTTGTCGTAAGAGGCGACGAACGGGATCGGGTGGTCAGGTTCGCTGACTGACTTGGTTGACACATGTCATCGGTTCCCAATTGCGCAGATCGATGATCATGCTGTTGATCACTGGATTGTCTGGTCCAGACTCGATTATTTACAGACCGCCGCCATATAGCTGGAATATTGCCCAGTGCGACGTAAAACTAAACTCACTCACTCACTCACTTACTATCATCTACATTCTTAACAACGCAACACAAACACATTTCTACAAGACATAAATCAAATATTGTTCACATATAATTGTAGTACCTACTTTGTTAGAATAATCCTGGTCTTTTCTAATATTGAGATCTGATATTGCTAGCTCATACATTCCGCGTTATTCGTTCACCTTGACATCCCAATACACGTTATCAATCATCTGCACATCCTTCTCTCAGAGAAAAATACCTAACAGTAGAGTATCCTACTGTCCCATCTCAGTCTGCCATGCCGCTGTTGTTGCCGTTAAAGTCAGTTCAAGGTAAAGTCGACGTCTTTAGGATATTACGTGCCGCCAGATGGACATTTCGTCGCGGGAAGGAATCGGTCTTGGAGATGGACAACGCGTATATGACGTCTTGAATGGTATTGCCACCACACGGGTGCTTTCGCTCCTGGGATGCCGTCTTTCTCACGGCTCATGGCCGGGAAGGCTAAAATCGTGACGCTACTCGGTTCAATGAGCGTAGCCTTCCCGGTACTTGCAATGCAATGTTATGGCTGAATGAACACGGCGCGCCTCACTTGGAGGCTCTGACAAATTACAAAGAAAACAGGATTAACGGGGACCCTCTTTAATTTGGGTACATATAAAAATATAAATAACGTTTACACATTTCACGTCTATTCTTCATTATACATTTTCTTTAATTCAACATTAGAAGGTTCATTTTGAGGGGTCTTTCCTAAAAGATAAATGGATATTACGAGTTTAAATCTTTAAATATGTTTCTGCTTATGTATGCTGATGCTCTTGTAGTATTTTCTGAATCTGTTGAAAGGTTGCAAACACAGTTGAATTAAATATTGCTAGAAAAAAGATAATGGTCTTCAGAAGAGGTGGTAAAGTTAAATCGTCAGAACGTTGGTTATATATAATGGTTGTGTCCTAGAGGTTGTCGATACGTTTACATATTTAGGAATATTATTAAATATAATAACCGATTCTCAAAGGCACAGCTGGAGTTGTCTGACCAGGGTAGGAGGGCCCTTTTTTCAATTTACAGTCATATCAGGTCGCTCTCTCTCAACCTGGAATCTCTTTTATTTGTCTTTGATTGTTATGTTGGTAGTATACTATCGCATGTGTCTGAGATATTTGGAACGCAGTGGAAGCTGGTAAATTACGTAGTCAAGGGACAACAGAGCACTTTTCTGTAGTTTTTTACAGTTTTATTCCCAAGAGTTTATAATCCCCAATATGTACAAATATATTTACAGAAATTATGATGTGTCCAATTATGACACAATATGTGTCTCCAAATATTGACACTATAAGAGAGTGTCCAGATATGACACTATAAGAGTGTGTCCAAATATGACACTGTTCAATGGCGTGTTCACAAATATGAACTTTACAAAGGCGTGTCCAAATACGACACTACACAAAGGAGACACCAAATGTGTGATCTCTAATGCGTTCAATGAATTCTTCAATAACTATCAAATTTCAAGTTTCTCAAATAATGTCTACAAATTAGACACACAATATTCAAAAGTTACTTCAAATTCATATATCAGAAAGACACACAAGGAGACGGTCACCAAAGTATGACTGCTCTCATACAAGTCAAGAACCGAAGTGTAGCAACCACGTGCTAATCTGCACGATGCAGCAGCAAAATGTCAATTTCAAATGCGCGTTCGCTCGAACGTTTTAGAATGTCCATGAACGGGAGGTGTTCGGGCGAGTCCTTCTGTCCACATAGCGATTTGCTGTAAGATTGCCGTGAACCACTACCAGCTCTGATCTACCCGTGTAGGACATGGCTCCCCACACCATGACGCATTTCGGCGCAAAACGTTTGTGTTGATGTCGATAGACACATTGTCTCGCATCCATTCCCATCGTTGCAGGAGGAAACGCGATTCATCGCTGAACCAAACACGTTCCATGCGTTCCCCTGCAGGTTCAAGGCCTGTACCCTGTTGCACCATTGGACATGTCGATGTCGGTGTAGTCGTGCCAGGACAGGTCCTACTTTTGGTCGATATGCTTGAATTCCCACTTCTCTCAGACGATTTCTGATGGTTTGGTAAGAAATTCTTCGAAGACCAGGCACCTGTCCTGCAGTGTCCGTTGCTGTAGCAAATCGGGGACGTATGTGAAACACCCGGATGAATCGGTCCTGAGCAGGAGTGGTCACTCTTGGTCTTCCACTTCTGGGACGATTTTGGGTCGAATTGAAGCGGGTATATCGATGTCATAATCGAGATATGGTGTTGTGGTGGACGTTGAAACGTCTTGCAACGGCAGAGTGAGACTCCCCTGCTTCCAAACGTCCAATGGCGATATTCCAGTCAGTAGCATTCAATCTTGGCATTTTTTATCTTCGTTTACGTCGTAAATTTCGTAATGAAATGAGGAATTTGGTTTGGCCTTTTATAGTCGATGTCTCTACTCATGTGGCCCAGACATTGCACGTGCTTCACGTGGAAAACATTTCCTGCATGCACTTTTCATGTATTGTTTTCACTTTTTATGACAAACGTTTACAAACACATTTTGGGATGCGTGTGCGCGCAGTACATAACAATCACGACATGATTAACGGGATTCGAACAAAGGAATTGTCTTAATAACGATTGCTGCCAAAGTATGTCGAAATGAACTGTTCTTGAAACGTTTCCTTTTTTGAAGAGTGTACTAGCTAGTATATGATTACATACATAGCTCTACTGATCATAAAGAATACATTCAGAATGGTATTCATCATAAAGGCTGCACATAAAGCGGCAACGATCACTAAGATTACATGCTGGGTGGTATTATTCATTTAGAATTACACACATATATAGACTATAGAAATAATTAATAATAAATGTGCACAGATGTTCACTGTGAAGATTACAAACACACCTGGCTTGATCGTGAACATACGGAGTGATAACAATAATGAATACAGATTGACCATGAGGATTACATACATGGTGTATTGATAACAAATTTATATATAATGCGGTAGTGATCATGGAGATATATTGGCCATGAAAAATCCGTTCTGTGCGAGTTAAACTGAGCCAGTAGAAACAGTCCATCATGGAAATTTCCAAGGTCTGGCCCTGATGGCTTTACAGAATACTGTCGGATGAAACGAACGCAAAGATATCCAAGTTAAATACGTGACAAGTGACAGGTGACAGGTGACAGGTGCTGACGTGTGGACCCATCACTATGATGGGAAAACGGGGAGTTCTTGAAGCATAAACACTCCCAAAACCGATACGTATTATAACCAAGACAGTTCTGGCTTCCTGTGTCTGCTACGGGTCTGTTTCCTGCCTCATCCTCTTCTGTCTGATTATATGCGAACAGCTTATATCAACGTATGCCGTACTTTGAAAATGCTTCAAATGTTATACTCAGCATCAATGTACTCACCAGCAATCACACCCACTACAAGATCAGAAAGCTACTAGAAGCCATTCACATCAAGAGACTCCAACCGGCCATGAACAGAGAACAAGGATATTACATCCCCACTGCCTACAACCAACTCATTACGAAGCAATCTTAATCATATTATTCTCCTGTCTGTCAAATCACTGGCTTCCTCCCTTAATCCCCCCCTTAGCTTACTTTGTTTGTGTAACTATTGGCCTCTTGTGTAAACATCCACCACCCTGTACATCTACCTCATTAATTGTGTAAACATCATCACTTACTGTTCAACTTTACTATGTATATAAATATACCTTGCATCTAGTATTGTACATCATTTGCTTGATAACGGTGTTAGTAGCTACACCGAAACGTCGCTCAAATCATATTAGAGAAGGTGTATATCCACAGAACTCTCCTTGTTGTTCTTGTTGTTATACTCTTGGGAATAAACACAAACATTCAGTCTGATGTTAAAAGACAGCGGGCAGCAGGTGGTTTACTGGGGTCCTCCTACTTGTGAAGCACCTCGTGTTATATTTACAAGCCACTCGTGGTCACGGTAAGACAAAAATGGGCAAGGATCTGGATATAACCCCGCACGTACATTTCCCAATACGGACAATGACCCTCCGGACAAAACTCTACGCCTAGTAAGACACTATTCCCCATCCAATTATTTAGTTAGGTGTTTAGAAAAGTGGGAACAATTACTCTTATGACATTGTTGTGTCGGTTTTTTTGACACTTTAGGGATAGAGGCCATGTGTTAGGGGAGAGGGACCCCTTGTACTGTTTCTACTTGTGGCGGGTGTAACCGTTTCATGTCTAACCAAGAGGAAGCAGACTCTTTCAAAAAAGCCTACCTTAAAATAATTCTGCATAAATGACGAATCAACCTGGTTTTGTCGATCAGTCACCATAGTGAAAACATCCGTCAGCACAAACCCATGGCAAAACGTCATCAGCACAAGTCAAACCAACCTTTCACGTTTTCATAAAACATAGCTAGCAGCTAGCTAGACATACAACAACATAGCTGGCTTGACATACAGCAACACAGCAACATAGCTGGCTTGACATATTAGGTGAACTGCATATAGGATCCACAGAAATAGTTGGATACGGCTGTTGTGTTCGTCAATGCCACAATGCAAAAATATAAGACCTTGGCAATCGTTATAATAAACTAACTGTCAGTGTATGAAGTCTGTTTCCGTCATCCCAGTCGACGCGGCTGCCATGGTTACAAGAGACGGCAAATGCCAAATGATACAATTGGTCGGGAAGATATGATACCTCTTTTTGAAGAACCGTTTGGACTGCACACATTACAAATTTTTACTTTGAAAAGAAAGCAATTGAACACCTAGCAGTTCTATTTCTTAACACTTCCTGGGGGTTCGAACCCCACTTTTGAAAATGTGTGTGTGTGTGTGTGTGTGTCTGTGTGTGTGTGTGTGTGTGTGTGTGTGTGTGTTAGTGTAGGTAAAAAAGAGATATTCCCCCCAAAAGTTATCTTTTAAAAATCTAAGCTGTACCTTTTACGAGTGCTTCGAACTGGAGATAACTCTTGACTCAGTCGACCACATTTCAAATCTTATCAGGTCGCCCAAAACATTAAATTTTAACTACCATCATATTCTATTTTAACGGACTTATTAACATGTTAAATGTAGAGAGATATCTAAATCTATGGAAATAGTAAAGCATTTCACAACCAAACCGGAAGTGACCTCATATTTACTTCGGTACTTTCCTTTACCCAAATACACGTGAGGCTTTTGCAACCCAAACAGCAAGATGTCTCACTATAATTTCAAGAAATTAACCGTTGTTCCTTCTTCAAAGGTGAGGATCAGTTTTGTTTGATTGGAAATAGACACGGTTATTCTCGTCATGTCAAAATCTGATGAATGACGCCTGTGATGTTGTCATTTTTGCTTGACAAAGTCGATCGACAGTGTACTTCCATGCAAAACACAACCTAACTGTTAACTGACTTTGATCTTCCCTAGACTTTCTCTTGACCATGACATATGTATAAGTTACTATAACCATTTACGATTACCAACAATGCACATGAATGAATAATAGAGGTATTATCATGCTGCTTTAAACTATATAAAGTACATTTCACTTCAGTTTCATGCCATAACTTGCATTTCCTGGCATATTCCATATTCACAAACTTGTATTTGTAATGGAAAGATATATATGTATAAATACAATGAAATCACCCTCTAATCGAAACAGCAGTCATATAGCTGGAATATTGCTGAACCAACAAACAATATCACTTGTTGTAACCTAAATTATTAATGGCATGTGACCTGACATTAAGTGACAAGATTGGAATATGCTGTTGACCTTATTGAGGCTGATCCTGTGAGTGCATTTAGATAAATCACTGTGTATCTACTATGTCAGTTATGTCTGTAGTACTAACATATGTATTTTTCTCCACTACAGGACTTTGTTGACATCGTCCTTTCGAAGACCCAGAGAAAGACACCAACTGTTATTCACAAGAATTACAAAATCTCACGGATACGTCAGTTTTACATGCGGAAAGTGAAGTTTGCCCAACAGACTTTTCATGACAAGCTGTCGATGATCCTTACAGAATTTCCCAAACTTGAGGTAGGAGACTGGTTACTACTATCACTTATCCTGGAAATCACAATGGGTGGCTGTTGTTTTCAGTGGACTCAATAATTCATCAACATGATCCAGGCTGTTCACCCCTGCTATTAGTGGCAATGTGTAAAGTATGGGATTTAGCTTCTAAGTATGCCGAGAAAGTAGTTTAATTACTGGTGATTGCTTGGTGCAGGGTCAGTAGTTGTGGCATGATCATCTGGGTCTTGAAGGACAACTGAGAAAGTTATTCTTTCACCTGGACATGCAATTGTAAAACTTAAATGTTAAGGTTTGTTATGCTGAACATGCTGCTAAGAGCTGCCTGGTGTTTGTAACATTAAACATTTTGATAAAAATGGCTTGGCATTTTCTCAGGACATTTGAGAACACAGAAATGTTTGTGACAGTGTGTCAAGCGCTTTCTAAAGAGTCCACTGATAAATCAACATAATGGGATGTGGAGACCAAGATGAAAACATGTTAAACACTGTTTATGATGTTGTGTACTGAAGAGCTCACCGATTAAATTCATGTCCGCTATTGTAGACCTCATCTTTGTATCTATGCGTTGCAGTGGTCACATCACATATTATAGCATTATAAAATATACGACTGTATCAGTTACACTGAGTCACAATGCAGACATTTCCATATGCAGGCTGCCTCAGTATCTGTACATATTCAAATGAAAGACAACAGCTTATAATCAGTGATAATGCAGATGGAAATGGGTATTTGTGTTTATTCTAACAAATGATGGTCACTGAATTGTGCTGGTTAGTGGTTCCATGTCAATATTGAATTATATAATAATGTCTGTTGCATATAGTCACTTCTTCAACTTCGTTGATATTGAGGAGTACAAGAGGCTAGATTTAACAGGGAAGGTATTGGATCTAACAGGGAAGGTATTGGATCAGACAGGGAGGGTATTGGATCTGACAGGGAAGGTATTGGATCTAACAGGGAAGGTATTGGATCTGACAGGGAAGGTATTGGATCTGACAGGGAAGGTATTGGTTCTGACAGGGAAGGTATTGTGTGTTTCCAGGACATCCATCCCTTCTACGCTGACTTGATGAATGTGTTGTATGACAAGGATCACTACAAGCTAGCCCTGGGTCAGATGAACACAGCTCGACATCTCATCGACAAGTCAGTGGCTCCCATTATCTTTCATTTAATCATATGCTGGAACCTTTCTCAGGAGTAATATCTATTAGATAAGAGACTCATTTCCATCATTTTATGTTCATAGTTTCAAATGGCATTTTAGGCAACAAGTTCTCTAAAAAAACAACAACTGAAATTTGTCTGAAAACACATAATGTTATTCCACTTAAGCTCCATAAGTGAGCTGCAGCATATTAAACTGAACCATCTAAGTTACCTTTATAAAGGAAGACATTAATCTGTTAAACAATTAGAGATATAGCTCAGCTATGCATGTGGTCCAGTGTAATAACTTTGGTACAGTGGACATCTCAGGCAGTGCCGGTGTTGTGTAGAATCCCATAGCTATGTTGACTATAAGTATAATGTCATTGTCTTGTTTTCAGTGTTTCAAAGGACTATGTCCGGCTCATGAAGTATGGCGATACTTTGTACAGATGTAAGCAACTGAAGAAGGCTGCTTTAGGAAGGTAAACTGCTTGGCTTCACTTCAGGGTTTGGGTGTCCTGTGTATATAGGGGAGCAATGTAGTGGATGTAATAAGGATATGGATTAACTCTATTTGTATAAACAGAGGGGTCTTATATACATATTCTTCCATGGTTTTGTCATGGTTTTAATTAATGGTGAACATTTTAGACTTAGTGGATGATGATGAACCAAACTTTTTATTTGAAGAATATTCACACTGTTATGAAGTGACTGTTTGAAGTTAAATGTTGAACTCACCTACATTACTGAACCGACATAGTGTCAAATGTTATTCACAACCATAGTTTTGATAAACAGTTATGGACATTTTATGGTAATCGTTTACAACGAAACGCTGACTTCCATCTGTGATGTGTGCTGAACAGTATACCACCTTGTTACCCACTACTGCCCTCTCTCCCCTCACAATTACCTCAGTCTCTCCCACCCTAACACGGCTCACTGATGCCTGTCTGTCTGCAGGATGTGCACCATCATGAAGCGACAGAAGCAGAGTCTGGAGTATCTGGAGCAGGTGAGGCAGCATCTGTCCCGACTCCCCTCCATCGACCCCAACACTCGCACCCTCCTCATCTGCGGCTTCCCCAACGTTGGCAAGTCCAGCTTCATCAACAAGGTGGGTAACTTCATTGTCACGGTTTGGTTACATATGCATGTGATCAGTGCAGTATAGGGAAGAACGTGGATGTATGCTACACTGATGCCTAATGAACAGTGCAGACTATGTTGAAAGTCCTGACTGTTGTTGTACAGGGATAGACGCAGCCACTAGTTCAGTTGCACACATTGTGTGTGTTTATGTGTTAGTCAGTCAGTCTATTAGGCCAGTGTGTCTTAACTGTTTAAAGAAATGTAAGAAGATAAGTAATGTATTCTCTTGAATAGCTTCATTGGACGACATTGAATCGATTGATGTAGAGAATCCTGTTGTGTCACTGTGAGTGTGAGTACATGTGTGGGGGTTGTTTGTGTTCATGCTGTGAGTGTGTATTCTGTATATGTAGATATGTGTACATACAGGTATGTATTACTGGTTCCAGATAACGAGAGCTGATGTTGAAGTCCAGCCCTATGCCTTCACAACCAAGTCCTTGTATGTGGGCCACACTGACTACAAATACCTCCGCTGGCAGGTAGGTTTCACTGAACATCCAGGCAGGTTTTAAATGTTATCACATATACTATATGAAAACATCATGGGGAGATGATTTGTCACAGTGGGTTAAGAGTAACATTTGGCTTGTCATTATGTAACAGTAGTGATCTAGAATCCCATTTCACTTAACATCTTTAACTACCTCAGGTGCTGGACACACCTGGTATTTTGGATCACTCCCTGGAAGACAGGAACACCATCGAGATGCAGGCCATCACTGCCCTCGCCCACATCCGTGCCGCCGTCCTGTACGTGATGGACCTCTCTGAGCAGTGTGGACACTCCCTACAGGAGCAGGTAAGACTTGACACAAGCAGGTCCAGCATGTCATCTCTGTGACAAGCAGTTTACTCATCACTCATCTCTGTTTTCTTTGAAGATCAACATACTTTTTCTTGAGCAATTTTCAAATCTCATATCTGAAGTTATTTATGATTGCGTTAAGTTTCGAGACTATTGAGTGTATGTTTGATAGTGGTTCAGTACTGTTTCAGTCCATGTGAGTGCCTTGTATTTTCATTCCTAATGAGAAGTGCTTCCCTGCAGGTGTCCCTCTTCAACAACATCAAGCCTTTGTTCGCCAACAAGCCCCTGCTGGTGATAGCAAATAAGATCGATGTAGTTCGACTGGAGGAGTTGGATGCATCTAAGAAGGTGAGTCGCATGTACATCATGAAGTACCTCTGTGAAGCAGACTTGAGCTGCACCAAGGGGTGAGGACAGTGAGTCAGTCCCACAAAAAACTATTGTAATTTGGGAAAGATGATAACAATGAAATATGCCCCAGCCCTATATTTCCTGTCTAAAATGGCACTGTGGTGAATGATTTGTGAGTGATTGTACCTATAATGTACTATAGGTTTGGCTGACCCTGATTGAGGCTTGAGTGATGAGAAATTGAGAATGTGGCTTAAGGCCTAAAATCATGTGGTTCTGACTGTTTCCCTTGCAGAAATTCTTCGATGAGTTTGAGAGTGAGTCTATCCCTGTGCTGTCCATGAGCACTCTGACAGAGGAGGGGGTGATGGATGTCCGGGCAGAGGTGAGTCTGCTCTTCCTCCCCTGTGGATGGACCATGTCGGCTTCTGGAGGAGCAGTTATTGCTATTAAAGCAGACAGAATACTAGCTGTAATGTCATGAACTTGAGCTGCCTACTTGTTCAAACTGTAATTTACCATAATATAATCAATTTAATCATTTCTGAATAACCCAATCCAGTGATTTCATTGGAGTTCATTTTTCAACACAGATTATGGTTGTTCTGATATTTTCACCTCATTTGTGTTGCCATGAGTCAGAGGAGCTGTCTTAACAGTGACTTCTTTAAAATATTGTATGTATTTTTGTGTAAGATGTTTGTTGTAAATTGTCCATTATTGTACTCATTGTGATTGTATTGTGTGTGTTATCCCTGAGTTACCTCCCCTTGTTGGTATTTAGGCATGTGAGAGACTGCTGGCTCATCGTGTGGAAACAAAACTGAAGACCAAGAAAGTTGCTGATATTGCAAACAGACTGCGGGTGGCCTACCCCTCACAGAGAGATGGCAAGGTAGGGAAGTACACCACTACAAGACTTGTGAAACTTGTGACAACACAACTGGCTGTACATTGGATCATTGTTATTGTCTGGAAACTGTCAACGTTGCTTCAAGCACACACTGTGGTCAACACTGTCACGTTTTACCATCATATGTCTACCACAGATGTCATGATTGAAACATACAACTCACAACAATGAAACACAGAATTTGCGCCCCTTGTAAGGAGAGTTGTCTCCCTTGTACTTTAGGCCGCCATTCAGCCTTGCCTTGATCTGCTCAACGTGCATGATGTTTAGGATATAGCACTCAGCATACATGTCTTCCTGTTGGTAATTATTTAATGTTTGGATGAAGACAATTCGTGCCTGTCTAACATGATCAAGTTAATATGTTGGGTCACCTGACACTGACATGCAATTTTTTTATAATGAACTTCATTGTTTCATTCAAAACTGTTGTCATGGTTACAGGAACGGCCACCTTTCATTCCTGAGTCAGTTTTAAAGAAGAGAGCAGAAATGGATACTGATTCTAAAAAGAAGAAGAAGCTGGTAAATATGTTCATGTCGTTAACTGCTTGATTCTCAAAACCTCTGAGCTTTGTTGCAGCTCTACTTTATAGTTAGTCTAGATTTCTGTCACGTATTCAGGTGTTTGCTTGGAAATTGTTTCACTTAAATCTAGGAATGTCAGGATTCACCAATACACTGATGATATTGATGCTCTGATAATATTGACCCGTGAAGGCCCGGGTTAGAATTGATCAACAGTTACCAGTGCTTGTCGTAAGAGGCGACTAGCGTGATCGGGTATTCCGGCTCGCTGAATCCAGGCTCAATTATTTACAGACCAGCCATATAGCTGGAATATTGCTGAGTGTGGCGTAAAACTAAACTCACTCACTCTAATAATATTCTCAGATATGGTTGTATTGTGACATCCCTATTTAAAGTTCACAATATCAGCTCAGTAGACTGAAGTGTTCTTGTGGCCATTACTGGCTGTTCTCTCACATTAACTTGTCACACAAAGATCTAACTAAAAGTCTGTTAAATATAAAGTTGATCCCATTTATTTGTCATACTTTGTTTATTTATTATCTCTTTTCTTTGCAGCTACGAGAGGTTGAGCTTGAAATGGATGATGAGTACATTCTAGATTTAAGAAGTGAGTAACTAACTCATGTCACAACATATAGTAAGCTACTGTCAGAAGCAAACCTTTTCGCAACTGGTTGAACTTTAGTAATACTTCAGTTACACAATGAATATGTTACAGTGACAGCTGAAATGAAGTACGATGTAACTGTATTAAATATATACCTAGTACTTGTTGCCATGGTTACTGATATTGTTTGTTGTTGCAGGGGAGTGGGACTTGCGGAATGAGGAGGAAAAGTATGATGTGTTGCCGGAGATCTGGGAGGGCCACAACGTTGCCGACTTCATCGACCCAGACATCATGGAGGTAGGAACTAGTCCTGTTTATTGTAGGAACACACTGCCCAGATTGTGGAGTAGTAGTGTTCCAAGAATTTGTTGCTTCCAAGTACACTATTGTGGTGTATTCTTGTAGCTTCAAATTATCAGTGGTTACCATGGTTACTTGGTATGTTTCTAGAAACTGGATGCCCTGGAGAAGGAGGAAGAGCTGAGAGAGGCTGCTGGTTTCTATGCCAGCGATGAGAGTGAAGAAGATGAGGAGATGATGGAAATTCGAGAGAAAGCAAGCAGGTAAGGTAGATAACTCCATTATTGGGAGGCAACTCTTATCACAGCTTCCAAACACTTAAAACATGTATGAAACTATGCCATGTTGTGTACTCAGGGTTCCAAGAGAAGTTGGGTCTCAGTTGAGACTGGACTGTCAGGATATACGTTAATGTTTTCCTCAGGATCAAAATGAAATTCTCCAAAATCCTCGATCCCAGGGCAAAGAGTTAGTAGACAAACTGCTGGTCTTCCTGTGGCTTGAGATATAATGTGAGAAGAGAGGCAAGAGTTAACTCCACTTATATACCTAGGGAAAAGGCGCTAGAAAATTCTACACTAAGGCAGATGATTCTGGAAAAAGCTCCTTTTAGCTCTTTCCAAGTCTCTCTGTCTAAATCTAGTACATCACTGCCTCTTACTGAATATCACTTGTACATATTTATTATGCTTGGAACATTGTTACACAGTAAATATCACTGTCCCATAAGAAAGTTGAGACTGTGGACTGAATATACTAAAATGCGTCCCCCAGGATTCGAGAGAAGAAGGGCATCATGATGATGGAGTCCCTGGAGCAGAGGGGTGCCAACAGGTCCCGACTTCCCCGCACAGGGAAGAAGGTGGACAAGAGCCGTCTGGAGTCGGAGATGGAGGCGCTTGGGGTTGTGATTGACAACAAGTCAGAGGTGAGTCTGCCATGTAGCAAACCTAGGCACCTAACTGCCAGCATAGAAAGTGAGCAATCTAACCCACTCAACCTCTGCGGCTTCCACAAGATTCAAGTCAGACAACTGATAGTCTAGATCAGTTTGTGTACCCTTCTTACCAGTGTAACAGCTCCTATGGCTAAAAGCTATGACTACACAAAGCCTTTTAGAAAGTGGTCAAATCTGTTGAATCTGTACTTGACCAAGAAAGTGTAGCCCCAAATATGTTACATTTGGCACTGTGTATTCCCTTTAGCCCAGTGTCCAAACGTTTTAGTCTCTGGAATCAGTGAGAGGATTAAACTTTTGATTTCTGTTTCAGACACATTATGCCCGCAGCAAAACAAGAAGTGCTAGCCGTAAACCACTCAAGAGGAAACGAGATGAATCTGAAGATCCAAGCAGAAGTAGGTCAAGGTCAAGAGCACGTGACCTGTCTGGCGTCAGAGATACAGCGGTGAGTGTCGACACTTGACTTATCTCTTTTCAGAGTTACGTCCCTTGGCATGTCAGAAACCTATGAGTGTTGGTCTAAATCCAGGTTCATCCATGTTAATCCAGATTAATGCCAATTATGTTTCCAAGTTTGTTGGGCGCTGGGATTGCCTAGTGGTTAAAGGGTTCGCTTGTCACACCGAAGACCTGGGTTTGATTCCCCACATGGTGACAATGTGTGAAGCTCATTTCTGGTGTGAAGCTCATTTCAGGTGTAGGGGCGGTGGGGTAGCCTAGTAGTTAAAGCGTTGGCTCGTCACGCCGAAGACCCGGGTTCGAATCCCCACATGGGTCAATGTGTGAAGCCCATTTCTGGTGTCCCCAGCCGTGATGTTGCTGGTGCTAAAAGCGGCGTAAAACCAAACTCAGTCAGTCATTTCTGGTGTCCCCTGCCACGATATTGCTGGAATATTGCTAAAAGCGGCGTAAAACCGTACTCGCTCACGCACAGTAAAGTGAAAACGTTAGTACTTGTTGTTACAAGTGGATCAACATTAAGGAGTTTAAACAGGGACTGGTTGGTCAGTTTAGAGTAAGTATGCTGTGTCTGAGAGAGGGTATCAGTGTTACAGTATCAGAGCAGGGAAGAACTGTACAATATAAAATCAACAGAAATCCTATCGCTTCTATTCTGCTATATATTAGATATAAATACAATAGTCTTCACCTCATCAACAAGTGACTTGTGTTGCAGATGGTGACCAAGATCGAAAGATAGCCAGGAAGGCCCAGAAACCCATGGCCCACCAGGCCAAGAAGGGAGAGGGAGACAGGGTGATCCTCAACATGATGCCCAAACATCTGTATTCCGGCAAACGCAAGATGGGCAAAACCAGCCACAGATAACCTGCTCCACCATTGCTTTAATTCACAGACACCTGGTGTCGCAGACATGCTGAAGATCATATTTACCTGTCAACCATCACTATATGATTGATCAATGAATGAGACTTCAGCAGTGAACAGTGTTGCATCTAGCTGCGTATTTAGTGTAATTTATGTGATTGTTATGAGATAGGAGCACATTTGTTATTCCCTGGGCCATTCATGATGCTGGAAATAATGCATAATTAACTAAAATATGCATGGACATTTTATTTTCAATGTATCGAAGCCAGTAAATGTACAGAAATTTGTTTACGCTGTCGCTCCAATGCCATTAGACAGGCATGAAAATATTGAAACGGAAGCATTCTTGTCATAAATTGTAGCCAGAAGCAGTGGTCTACAAGGCCACATCTCCTAGATGCAACACTGTAAGGAACACTGGGCCAGACTTTCACCGATATGTGGCGACAGAGGGATGATGATCTGGTTTTTATCTGACATCCTGAAACCCATGTCGAGGATACCTCTATTGGTATTACAAACCAACATAACCAAATCCATATTGAACCAAGTTGGGGCTATGGGGAGGAATGGTACTCCCTCGTCGTTATGTTATCTTTAGTTGAAGGAATGTTGAGAGATTTGTTATGGACTGGTTGGTGAGCATGTTGAACAGTTTGTATCACAACATGCACTGTGTGGTACATTGTGTGTGGAGGCTGTGGGCGTATCACCATAGCAGACATATTGCCGTATACTGCTACCTGTATAGTGCATACAGTGAGTGCCGTGAGACAGGCCTTGTCATCTGGGCTATTTTCTGGGCCGGGAATAAACGGTTATTTGAGAACACTCTTCCTGTTTTATATTTATTTCTATTGGAACAGTGGTAGAAGTAGCTGCCTTTCTATTAGTTATCCACCCAACCTGTTTGTTCGTAATTGAGTTTTACTGAAAGAGTATGTGCTCAGTACACTTGTTTATGTGTTTTTCTGAATTAGTCCAAAGTACCCAGTCTGTGTGTTTGCCCCAATGTCAGCTCTGTTGACACGACCCATTGGGTGCTTGAAACTTTAAAGGCCAGGGTTCAAACCTTTACACAAATGGTGTGTGGCCATGCTGCCTTGTCAAAACTGTCTGTCGATGCAATGTAAAGCAGTATTCAAGTACAGTCCATGAAATATCACAAAATCGGTTCATGAGTATAAAGAAGTATGTTATGAAGACTCACTGCAAAAAGTATTGATGTAGACTGTCTACAAGACATACATTTTGAAAATATATGTTTCTTTTTGAATTCCCCCTACTACTTCCCACTATATCAGTCAGATGGCCAGAGGAGGCGCATTTCCATAGCAACAAGTCTGCTAGTTGGAGGAAATGTTTCATTCAGGGTTTCATGTTTCCCTTTCTTCCACCAGGCACATCAACATGCAGAACATTTTCTTCTCCCTCCACTGGGTGATATTTGTTTAGTATTTTTCTTATCATTATCAAAACTTTGACCAATTAAATTAAGTTCTTTAAAATATGTAATGAAAGGGTTTATTCTAGCAGTAAATTCCAAGCTTAAACATTGATATCACCAGGCACGCATAGCTGTGACAGTTCTGTCACTCGTGGGCAGATAAAATCTACACTGCCGAGTCGTAGCCAATGGGAGGCTGATCGGACACCCATGTGACTTTTTGAAGTTTGCACTCCGGCCTGTATGATAGCCGGGGCACGACCTATTCCAAAGTTATGCAACACTGAGCACTTTGGAGGTCACCTGTCACGCGATGTGGTGAAGCACACTTAGTTCATGATGCATGTGTTGAAAGGGAAATGTTTAGACCATTCAGACAAGGTTGACACCGCTGCTAAGTTTGCATGTAAACAACACCTGTCCTTGTTTATAGACAGCAGGTTGACCCAATATTTACAGGCTGACATGAAACAGTTTTATGTTAGATGACTATAGTGTCAAATAACGCGCCTTCACTCACAGTTTATTAAAGAACCACTTTTGTTTTGTTACTCTTTTGTTACATATGAAAGATTTGTGGTTAGTCTTATGCGGAACACCAAATTTATTCTTTAAAAACTTGTGGTTAATTAATACCGAGCGATTAAAAGTGGCCAAAAAGTCGCCTGCTTCCCTCTCGCCCGCCAATGAAACCACAGACAGGTTACGTAACTCTGTCGCCAGAGCACTGCAGTGACGTCATATGAGGAACGATTTTCAGTTAGTTGTATAGAAAGTGTGTAGCACGCTCATCATTTTGATGATTTCTCGACATGAACGACGACATGCCGAATCGTTGCTTTGTCGTCAATTGCTCCTAGGGTCGGGTGATGGTGTCACCATGCACAGATTTCCACAGGACCCGCAGTTCGTGCTAAATGGGTTATGTTTGTGAGTGCGAAGCGAGCGTTGTGGAAGCCTGAAACGATATCTTACTTGTGTTCAGATCGCTTCACGGAAGTTAAAGAATCAAAACTACTTACTAGTTATAGTAAAATATGTATATGATTGATTACCATAAAGATTTTCCATAACACAACTTGTAACATAACGATTTCTTCCTCGGAAGTGAGGTTGTGGTCGAAGTAACAATAATATTGTAAGTAGTATTATATTGACACCCACCTCGCTGCCAGGAGAGAGAATTGTTATGTTATACGCTATGTCATGCAAAATCCTATTGGCCATCAATAAAATACATATTTTACTACCAGTAGAAGTAGTTTTGATTTTTGCTAACTCGGTGAAAACAAACCTAAATAGCATTTATCCACAGACTGGCGGATGTTCCCGACAGAGTGTCGCCGCCATTTTGAAAATCGTAAAGTCTGTTAGAATTAATGAGATTATAGTTTGTTTTCATCAAGTTAGAAAATCAAAACTACTTTCTACTCGTAGTTAAATATGTATTGGAATCATAACCAAAAGGATTTTGCATGACACAACTTATAACATAACGATTTCTTCCACGGAAGCGAGGTGGGGTCGAAGTCACAATACTGCTCGATAAATTTCTTGCTACATTCACATGGTTAATGTCCACTCACCAGTATGTAGATACTAGTCAATGTGCGTCTTTATATTTGGTCTTATAATCCTAATTAGTTTATTATCATACTTTTTATGCATTTTGAAACTAAATAAAAAGCAGACGATCTGCTGATACTTATAGTGAATTTAAAACAGAACTGTAATATCTAGACATTTTATAGTTTGCCAATGTGAATCATAATTCGCACACACACACACTAGTGTATGTTGTCTGTCTCATTACACTTCACGGCGAAAACAATGATTCTGTTGAATGCTACGACAAATGAATAAAAACAAAATGCAAATATTAAAATTAAAACAGATTAAAGTTATAGGAACAATATCAGGCCATTACCTTGTTTGAGGAATGTATCCATCAATATCCACAAAACTGTTCCAAATGATGTGTCTTTTAACAGTTTAATATACGAAAAAAGTGATAAATCTTTTCAGGTATTGGTGTATAGTCTCATTGGTCACCCAAGATAGCACACCTGGCAACTAATTGCATAATGTCCGCCTTTCATTAAAAACAGTAATTTAGTTAGCCAATAATGGGCAATCAATCAATGTATTGCCGGTTAATCCTTTGAAAGAAGGACGTTGTTTTACGCAGACACCGACACGGCAGAGTGTATTCAGTATAGATTAGTAAATCTACATACATAAACACTACCTTTTGACAAATCCGCTGTGTAAGATAAAAGTAATTAATCAATCAGCGTGTTATCGGTTAATCCTTTGATCGATGTTTATAATGTTGAATATTTACTCCAGACACAAGAAATGCCAAATGGGAACCTTTGTCCGGGTAATCTAAGTGTGTTACCACTAATTATACCTGTTATAAATTCATTAACTGACCATCAAGTGAATGATGACAAATAACATGTGTAGGTTTATACCACCTAACACGGGTTACAACAAGGGAGTATTAACTGCATGTGAAAACTTATGGGCCGACACTGTTTTGAGAATACAAACAGATTTTTACATGACATGATTAAATATCGAGGTAAAAAACACACAGAAATGGGATCAATTTGGATCAGTCATTATACAAATAGGGCCTAACGACACCAATCAATTGTGACAGAAGCGTCTATGAAACAAGTTGTAACTCGGAAACTAGGCAAAGCAGGAGACAAAGTAAATGGCAGTAGATTGTGAGAACATATAGCTTTCATTTTCCACAACAATTGTCACGATTTCAGGTTTATACAAGCCTGTAAACAAGATAATTTACCCCCTAAAATGTAGATGAATTCTGCATCGGCCCTCAAAGCTATTCCTCATATGACGTCACAGAGTCGCGCCGCTCTGATTGGTTGAAATTTCGTTCGCGGGTGAGAATTGTGCACTGTTGTCAAAAAGGTCGATTTAAGTCAATTAAAGGTCGAAATGAGTAGTTTTAATGACACGGTTTTATTTATAACGATGCCAGTTAGTGATTTATGTATTTTAACCCCCTAGGGTTTATGTGACCTTTAACTAATGAAGTAGAGGAGTATGTGTAATGCGTACAAACGATGTTTAGAATTGAACTCTTTATTATAAAGTGTAAACATGATTTCAATACTAGTCATAATAAGAAATAATTACCCTGACAGAGGAATGATAATGTGTATACAGGCATGGAGATTATGATAACAAATATGATATGTACAAGAGTCGGAAAAATATACCAGTACGTCACACACAGTAATACTGTTCGCCTAAAGTCAGTGGTTATACGCTAAAAGTTGTTATACAAAAGGGTTTGGTATACATTTTTTTTATCCCAGCAGTAATTGAACTGATAGCTGTCTACCTTACTGTCCAGTATATGTCGTAATCACATCATTGAAACATGACTTACTCGACTTAAGTCTCTGATTTTTAGTTTTTAATAATGTACAATGACACATGTCTGTCAATCAGTAACTGATTTGCATAATCATAATAACATGTTCACATCTGATGGTCCTGATAGGGTACGCTGCATTGTCATGATTTTAACGTAACAATAGTAATATTTCTCTCTTTGAAAGATCAATTTTTAATGTAAAAAATAAAAACATAGATCTAACAACACGAAAGAAAACACGGACTGCATCTATAAAACGAAAACAGATACAGATGCCCCAATGATTACCAAGAAACTGGCGACTGACATTCGCATGGAAACGATTTCGTTTTTTATATTCAACCTGACAGTGCAAAGGGTTTTTCAACTGGCTATTAAGAAAATGACTTAAGTCACAAAACTTCAGCGGTAAACATCCCACCATTTCCTCTCCCCATGAAGACCGTCAATATAAGGAAATCGCTACAGGAGAAGCCGCCATGGTTCCAGAGACAGCAAACTGGTTGTAACAACTGAACGGAAACAGCACCGGTCACACTGTTATATGTGTGTTGGGGAGGTGGAAGTCTTCAGATTGCTTGGAATCACAATTGGTTTGTAAACGCCTTCCTGTTTGCAGGGAGAAAATCACAGGGCCCAAGCATAAGGCTGCTGTTGCACGTATCGGTAGAATGGAGGGATTGTCAGTAGATGTAGACTGCCAGTACATATAGATTAGGTCGGACATTTGACAATACGCAGGCCACGTGGTCACTAGGAGTGTGTAGGTGAGCAGAAGTCGACATGCGATGACAACGGAAGCATAGCAGTGTGAAGATCAGCAGAGGATGGTGATGTAAAGATCATCAGAAGACGGTGACCTTACGATGACAACGGAGGCAAAGCGGTGTGAAGATGAGCAGCAGAAGAGGGTGATCTTGCGTTAACAACAGAGGAAAGCGACGTGTGCATGAGCGAATTATCCCGACCCGGAAACCAGGAGGACTGCAGCTAAGCAGGATCCCAGAAGGAGAAGTGAGAGGCTCAGTCCTTGACCTCCTGCCATTATTTCACTTGTGATCTGGTCGTATCGCACTTGGCCACCTACAAAAACGGAAAATAATTTAAGCCATATATTAAACAATATCATCATTTGCAGCAATAACTATCATCTCTCTGGGAACCTGTTTGGAGTGAGTGAGTTCAGTTTTACGCCGCTTTTATCAATATTCCAGCAATATCACGGCGGGGGACACCAGAAATGGGCTTCACACATTGTACCCATGTGGGGAATCGAACCCGGGTCTTCGGCGTGACGAGCGAACGCTTTAACCACTAGGCTACCCACCGCCCCCTGTTTGGAACAAACCTTTGTGAGGTAATTGTCAAACCTGTTTTACCAAATCACGTGATGCCCTCTCCTTTAAGAAAATGCAGAAGCTACGCTTGCAGTAATCCCCTTCATTAATAGCAAGTTTATGGAACTAAACATGCCCGTGAACTTAATGTTGAACTTAATGGTGGACAGTTTCATCTCTTTGGCACACCACAAGCCTATGCTGGTTGGTTCACTCTGTTTATGGTTCTAGTCAGCGCCACAGCCGGGCATTACTTCAGGCTTTCCGTCTGCATTTAGTTGACGCGCTGAAGACTGCTTAAAGTGACATTAAACCCAACTCATCCACTAGGTGAAATAGTCCGTTTCATATTAATGTTTTGTTTATTCGTCTGTAAGTTACTAGTATATGACTTTATGATGTTAGGTTTATTTGGTGACCTATCTCACATCCTCCGACTCAAGGCCCGTGAGGGGCGGTGGGGTAGCCTAGTGGTTAAAGCGTTGGCTCGTCACGCCGAAGACCCGGGTTCGAATCCCCACATGGGTACAATGTGTGAAACCCATTTCTGGTGTCCCCCGCCGTGATGTTGCTAGAATATAGCTAAAAGCGGCGTAAAACCAAACTCAGTCAGTCAGTCAGACAAGGCCCGTGAAGGTCCGGGTTAGAATGAGCCTTCAGCAACCCATGCTTGTCGTAAGAGGCGACGAACGGGATCGGGTGGTCAGGCACGCTGACTTGGTTGAAACATGTCATCGGTTCCCAATTGCACAGATCGATGCTCATGCTGTTGATCACTGGATTGTCTGGTCTAGACTCGATTATTTACAGATCGCCGCCATTTAGCTGGAATATTGCTGAGTGCGGCGTAAAACTAAACTCACTCACTCAATCCTCCGACTCGATCAATTCAGATACTGTTTCGCCCATAGCCATAGTTGTTAAGTGAAACATTTTCACATTTCATCAAAATGTATCAACATGTTCACATGAATTAAGAAAAGCAGTCCTGTATTGGTGGGCGGGGACTGACCTAGAGTGAAGTACACGGTGGGGGTCTTCTTGCCGTCCCCCCCATAGCTGAAGCCCATAATCCTCAGTTTGTAGATAACCCCCTTCTCCAAGTGGGGGATGACCGTACTGTCCACTTTGCCCACGATCACGCTCTTGGCCGTCCTGATGTCCTCCCCAGTCTTCCAGTAGATCAGCTGCAACATCGACAACGTAATTGCAGCAACGGTCACCACAGTATTTCCAATTGTCACGTGTACATGGTCGTGAGTTGAAATCGTTCTAACCCTCTGTTTGATGATGTACTTACTTTATGGTAACTTGAATATGCATTTATTTATTGGTTCTTCGGTGGTGTGGTGTTATTGCTGTTGGGTACGTGGTCAGTATTGCAATGTACCTGGGTGATATATTTGAGTAGTTTGAAGTCGTGTAGTTGTGTTGGTCGTGGGATAGAGTGGGTTTGGGATGGGTGGGTATATGTTGTACTGATGACTGATGGGTAGGGTACTTAGGTAGAGTACCTTGTTTGGGTTTTTGGGTAGGGTACTTGGGTTGGGTACTTGGCTTGTGTATTTGGGTTAGGTACGTGGGTTAGGTACTTGAGTAGGGTACTTGGGTAGGGTACTTGAGTAGGGTACTTGGGTAGTGTATTTGGGCAGTGCATTTGGGTGGGGCAATCGGGTCGTGTACATTGAGTTGGGTAAGGAAGTGGTTTAGTGTATTGGTTGTGGACGTGGCAGTTGGTGGTTGTTCCTGTGTGAGTTGTGAACGCCTGCTGACCTTGTAGCCTCGGATTGACTCCTCGTTCTGCGTCGTGCTCACTCCTCTCCACGTCACGTACGCGCTGTCAGGGCCGTCACTGTTGACGGTCACGTACTCCGGGTACAGCGTCGGACCTGGGACACAATGTAACAACTGAGTGAGTGAGTGAGTTTAGTTTTACGCCGCACTCAGCAATATTCCAGCTATATGGTGGCGGTCTGTAAATAATCGATTCTGGACCAGACGATCCGGTGATCAACATCATGGCATCGATCTACGCATTTGAGAACCGATGACATGTGTCAACTAAGTTAGCGAGCTTGACTACCCGATCCCGTTAGTCGTCTCTTAAGAGAAGCGTGGGTTACTGAAGATCAATTCTAACACGGATCTTCAAGGGTTGTAACAACTGAACAACAACTAGGCGCAACGTAACAACCGAACAACATTTTGGGGATACTGTTTGTGACAGAGGGTACTGGACACCTGGAGGAACAATGGGATACGATTATGACCACCCGATCACTCAGCTGTGTCACCAGTACAAGGGTTTGAAATAGACACGAAGCAAACCGAGTCCCATTCTAATCGTTTCTGGCAGAGCACTGGAGTCTCGGTTACGTCAGTTATCTCAGTAATATGTCCAGGAATGAAGTTCAACAACGTACCTTGATAGTAAGTTGAGAACCACCAGTTTTCACTCTTCGGGCCGAGTCCCGCGCCGTTAAAGACGTTGACGTTGCACCAGTAGTCGGTGTTTGGTTCCAGACCAATGATCATGCCTTTTGACATTTGCCCATAATGGCGGACAAACAGCGCGTCGTTGTAGGTCTCCCCGTCCAGCCAGTAGTTGATCTGGCAGCAGAAAGGGGCAGTACAGTACGTACACACGTGACAATTACAATTAAACAAAATCTGTGGAGGTTTTTGTAGAAGAATATGGATCAAGCAGATTGCAGATGAGATTTAGGTTTCATAATTTTACAGTCAATATAAGAATTACAGACACTAAGAACTTGGTCGTTCACTTCTGAGAGAAGCTTTACAAAGCATGCCCCGAATGAAGCCCATGAAGGTCCCACGTTGCGTTCCAGATTATTGCGCTTACATTGCTACGCCCTGATATGCCAAGGCAAAAGTAAAGGCAACATGACTCTTCTGCTGGATATAATTTACCTGGTAACCCATTACACGCCCCTTCATGTGGAGTCGGTCATCGGGGACAGGGTTCCAAAACACCAGAGCCGACGTCGAGTTCTGTTCCTGGGCGTAGACATTAGAGGGCGTTCCAACGGGCACTGATGATAGAAGATAGTAGTGCATGCTAACAAATCGATACATATTGACAGGGTTCCCCTCTCGATAATGCATGATAACAACTCGATACACACTGACAGAATTCTCCTGTTGATAGTGCATGCTAACAACTAAGACACACTGACAGTTCCCCTCTCGATAGTGCATGATAACAACTCGATGACAGAATTCCCCTGTTGATAGTGCATGCTAACAACTCGATAAACACTGACAGTTCCCTCTCGATAGTGCATGATAACAACTCGATACACACTGTTGATAGTGCATGCTAACAACTAAGACACACAGTTCCCCTCTCGACAGTTCCACTCTTCCCCTGATAGTGCATGCTAACAACTCGATACACACCTCTCGATAGTGCATGCTAACAACTCGATATAACAACTCGATACACACTGACAGAATTCCCCTGTTGATAGTGCATGCTAACAACTAAGACACACTGACAGTTCCCCTCTCGATAGTGCATGATAACAACTCGATACACACTGACAGAATTCCCCTGTTGATAGTGCATGCTAACAACTAAGACACACTGACAGTGGTCCCCTCTCGATATCTCCCTGTGTATCAACGATGTATGTACACAGGACAACTTACTGTCCTCCGCAGAGAACACCACTGAGATTGAGGAGTTGGGCCCCGGTCCGAAGTCATTGACTGCTTGAACTTTGACCTCGTACTGTCTGTAGAAGTTTGTCCTGGATCCGACCACCGTGACGTTCTCAGTCTTCGTGCCTGGAACTTTGGCCTGCGACAAACATAACATCTGTGAATAACTACATAACTACAGAGGGTGTGAATATGATGCTATTCATCCACGTTTTATGTGAACAGTATGATTAAATTTGGTAGAACTGTGTGTCCCGCGTCTATGGTCTAGTTTCAGCAGCTACAAAAGTCTCCATGGTTCTGTACACTCTATAGGTATGTTGTTAGTTGTGTATAACAGTTACTATTTACTGCTACATGGTTACCTTGATCCAGTTGTCACCTTGACCCCTGGTTGAGAACAGACGATGGAAGACGTTATAGCGGAGACCCCGACCACCCCACTCGTTCCTTGGGAGAGCCTAGGGAGGAAAAGTCGTGATCAGTCGTTTATAAAGTGAGACTATTACCTTCACTGGCCGAGGGTCAGGAATGGATCATATTAGTTTACGTCATGTTTTGAACAAAACCTCTAGGAGACCGTGCGAGAGCCAGACTATGTCGCCAAGAAGCTTACATTGTCAGTAACGGTGTTATATGACTGGTGTCTCATCCAGTGGGAGACCTTGTGTCTCATCCAGTGGGAGACCTTGTGTCTCATCCAGTGGGAGACCTTGTGTCTCATCCAGTGGGAGACCTTGTGTAAAGCGAGTTATTTTTTGTTGAACATCACATTTAACAAGATTCCAGCTTCGTCATCACGGTCTTTCAATAACAGTATGTAGACAAACCAGTGGTTGACATTATGACTAGCACCTAGGGCCATCGTGGCACAAACACACAAGCCTCAACACCAGGTCCAATTTAGACACCTTTTTCTGAAAACAGGATACTGGGGCAGTTCTTTTCCCAAATTCCTATATATGGCGCAAAGGAGAAACTGCAACATGTTTCAATGCTCGCCTGCCTACTGTACGAAGAAATGTGGCGAGGTATCGTTATTTCCTTTTTGTTGTAAATACTTCAGTATTGCCAGTCGAAAGAGTGAGTGAGTGAATTTAGTTTTACACCACACTCGGCAATATTCCATGGGACAGCTATATGGCGGCTGTCTGTAAATAATCGAGTCTGGACCAGACAATCCAGTGATCAACAGCATGAGCATCGATCTGCGCAATTGGGAACCGATGACATGTGTCAACCAAGTCAGCGAGCCTGACCACCCGATCTCGTTAGTCGCCTCTTACGACAAGTATGGGTTACTGAAGGTTCATTCTAACCCGGATCTTCACGGGTGCCAGTCGAAAGACAAGTCAGGTGTATTTAGGCCTGCTGCCTCAGTCACCCTTGGCTCGGGAGAACTGAAGATGAAGGATTTCCGATGTCCGATGTTCCGATAAGTGGTCTTATGTCTGGAGGGGCGGTCGGGTAGCCTAGTGGTTAAAACGTTCGCTCGTCACGCCGACGACCCGGTTCAATTCCTCACATGGGTACAATGTGTGAAGCCCATTTCTGGTGTCCCCAGCCGTGATATTGCTGAAATATTGCTAAAAGCGGCGTAAAACTAAACTCACTCACCCACTCTTATGTCTGGATTAGAGATTAGGGTTTGACAATTCGGTCCTCATGTACCAATGCATACCTGCCATGTCATCTTGAGCAGACCAACAGCTCCCCCTCCACCACCAATATTAGCAGGAGCCACCCTCGGAGCGGCGGAGTCGATGTGGTACCATGCTGCAACACCAGATGAAAGTCAGTTTACGTCATTATTCCGAGATAGGATAGGACCCTTATTGGTACCGTACATCTCAGTACATGACAAAGCTCGTGAGTGGCACTCAAGACAACTTACCTGAAGGATAGCTAGGCTCGCCCCATCCGAACCTGTTCCTGGCAATGACTCTGAACCTGTAGCTTGTGCCGGGAGCAAGACCAACAATGAGCGTCCCCCTCTTGGTCTGGTCCTCCTCCAGGTTCGTCAGTACTGACTGGCTCTCCTGCAACTCTGGAGGAACATTGTCACTCAGGTTCACGCGACTAAACCATTGATATAATCATATGACATGTACATTGTTCAGATCCGACTGCTTACTGAAGATGCGTGTATGAATCGCTATACAATATTGATGACACTAAGTCATGCGTATACTGCCTCGATGGTGAAACCCTTTACAAGCACATGCAGGCGTAAGTCAACAGTTCATCTGAACAAACATGGGAACAAGTCTTATGGGGAACTTCAGCGGACGTAATTATTCGAAATCTTATTTAGAAATCTTCTCATGTGAAACATTAAACCTTTTGAAAGCCTTGACTTGTGTAACTCTGAGCATACACTATTTACGCGAGCGTTGTTGGACGTTCTATAACATCACTGGGAGAGCATGTCCGATCACCTTGAACGTGTGGACTTTAGACGCCAAAGGCTGAAGTAGCTAGAAGGACCAGTTGGGCAGGTTGAATACATTACTCCTGTCATACAGAGAGGATGTATTTGCATACAGGGGGGATCTATTTGACTTTGAGCATGGATCTCCATGTGAAGCAGAGGAGGCGTTCTCAAGGTTCTTCTATGTTCCTTGTTCAAGTGGATGAATCAGTAGAGGTGACTAGGCTAACTGACCATTATTCTGCCATATCAGATAATCGACACGTTACGGTTCAGTGAAATGAATGCCAAGTTCCTATGTTTTGATTTTGCAAATCACGATGGAAACTTCGATTAATATGCATTATTCGCTACACATGTACAGTGGGTCTGCCATGGTGACCTACCACAGACATGACAGTAAACCAAGTGTACGGTGCCCACCTTTGACGACGGGGATCCATTCTGAGTCGTAGGTGTTTGTAGCCTCTACCCTGTAGGCTTGTATGATGTCCCCGTGATCCTCTCCCGGCGTCCAGCGTAACGTCACTTCCTTCCCCTTTGACCCGTCCCTGGAGTACACCCCGGCCGGCTCCCCGGGAGGACCTGCATTTCAGGCATACGTCGTTATTACGTTATTATTCGCAGAGTATATACAGTGTGCGTGCCTGCGCGCGCGTTTTGTGTGTGTGTGATATATTACAGAGTGTTAACAGTGGCGTGAGAACAAGCGTACCCACAAGTGTTTTGTTAAGGAACATGCGTACCCATGACTGTAAGTACGGCATCAATGTCAAGAAACATACGTACCCATGACTGTAAGTACGGCATCAATGTTAAGAAACATGCGTACCCATGACTGTCAGTACGGCATTAATGTTAAGAAACTTACGTACCCATAACTATCAGTACGGCGTCAATGTTAAGAACATTCGTACCCATGACTGTCAGTACGGCGTCAACGTTAAGGAAGGTATGTACCAATGACTGTCAGAACGGCGTCAATGTTAAGAAACATACGTACCCATGACTGTCAGTACCGTGTCAATGTTAAGGAACATACGTACCCAAGACTGTCAGTACGGCATTAATGTTAAGAAACATACGTACCCATGACTGTAAGTACGGCATCAACGTTAAGGAAGATACATACCCAGTACTGTCAGTACGGCGTCAACGTTAAGGATCATATACGTACCCACTACTGTCAGTACGGCGGCAATGTTAAGAAACATACGTAACCATGAGTGTCAGTACGACGTCAAAGTTAAGAAAAATACGTACCCATGAGTGTCAGTACGGCGTCAATGTTAAGAGAAAATACGTACCCATGATTGTAAGTACGGCGTCAATGTTAAGAAACATACATACCCATCACTGTCAGTTCGGCGTCAATGTTAAGGATCATATACATACCCATGGCTGTCATTACGGCGTCAATGTTAAGAAACATACATACCCAAGACTGTCAGTACAGCGTCAATGTTAAGAAACATACGTACCGAGGACTGTCAATACGGCGTCAGCTGTAGCAGCGTCCTGAACCGTCTGGGCCATACACGTGAATATTCCCTCGTGTCTGAACTGGGCGTTCCTTATGTATAAGCCCCTCAAACCATCGCGGACTCCCTGCGGAGAGAAATAAAGTAAAGAAATAGAGCTTATCAGTTGACGCCCACGTGCCACCCTCGTTTCATCCTTCCGTCTGACATTATATTAGTTCATAATGAGAGTGTGAGTGATTAATGTTTTACGTTTCGAGGAATCAAGATTGCCCATGCTGGTATCGGATGGGGTGTAGTCAGTTTTAGGTGAGAGGGACGCTCACCTGTACGAAGTCGGGGTCGTTTGCAATGTCGATGGTGATCTCGTTGTTGAACTTCCACACATAAATCAGGTCCGTCGTGAGCTGGTTGAAGGACGCCTCGCAGAACAGGAAAGCAGTATTGTTGACTATGACGGCGGTGTTGGTAGGGGGCGTTGTTATAACAGTTTGCGCTGGAATCAGATATACAAAAGGTATACAATCAAAGGTATACAGAAGGTATATAATCATTTGTAAATGTTGATTAACAGATAAATCACACATGAGTGAGTGAGATTAGTATTACGCCGCAATATTCCAGCTATATGACGGATTCACACATGACAACGTCACTGGCTCCAAGAAGTTAAGTTCAAGGTCATTGCATGATCTTGCGCAGGAAATGTATGTAAAATGATTCTTACTGACGATGTTGAGTGTGCCCTCAGACGACGCCGTCCCGATGTCGTTGGTGGCAGTGCACCTGTAGCGTCCCGAATCCCCCTTTGTGAGTCCATTGATGACTAGGCTCCCACTTGGAAGTAGGGCCAGATGCCCAGTCGCCATTATCTTATCAGCTACAGTGAGACCAAGGTCACGGCCATCCTTAGACCACGTGATGGTCGGAGTGGGAGCCCCTTCCGGTAGGCAAGGTATGGTGATGTTGCCACCCTCGGTGCCGAGCATGGTGTCATGAAGGGGGTGCTTGGTAAACATTGGCTGGAATGCTGGTGACACAAAGGTAGAAATACGTGGAAGCTAGACACCTGGCACATAACTGGATGTTCCAGTGTGTAAATGAATTGAACATGGTTTGCCTGATGCCACCACCAAAACATGCCTCGTGTGGTGTTGTCCATGTACGTCGAACGTGATGTCTCTACAGTCGGCAACCCGAGTGGAAGATTGTGCAGATAACACTAATATGACACTACTTGGTGGCATTACACACATCTTACAATGCATGGACCTTATGACATACACGACCATCATACACATGGTCTTCAGACAAATGACTCCCTGGAACCTACAGTCCATACTGTACCTGTACTATGTACATTTAGTGTCTAAATAATATCCCGGGGTGGCTGTATCTCGCCCAGCATATCTAATGAGGTATTATGTTCTTTCAATAACCTCTGAATTGATGCAATGTTAACACATATATAGTATTTGTAATAACTGTACTCTCCGTAACCAGTGGAGGAAATAAAGATCATTCGATCATTCAATGTAATAAACAGCCAAAAGAACACGATACGCAAAAATACGCGAAAGGACGGCCGGCCTTCCGTCCACGTGGTGTGTCTACTTACTCAGCACCTTGAGCTGGCCACTTGTCAGGACCTTGCCGTACTTGTTTTTCGCCACACACTGGTACATGCCGTCATGCCGGGTAGCGTCGGCGTTGTGGATGGTCAGCGTGTTCCTGTAGATGTCGATATCCCCGGGGGTGGGGAGAAGCACCTTAGTGTCCTTCAGCCAAGTGTAGGTGGCGTGGGGGACGGCCACCGCATCGCACCTCCACGTCAGCTGACTCCCCTTGTCTACAAACTTGTCCTCCAGCGGGAACAGGAAGTAGGGTTTGGCTAGTGGAGGAACGTGTTGTGAATCACATTTAGAATTTTTAATTATTTACATTTACATGTTGAGATGGACACTGACATTGAGCCTGTCTGTCTGGTCCATGCACTGAGAAAACATGGCGTCAAACTAAACGGGACGTCCATCTACAAATGTACAAAGCTTCCAGGACCAAGGTTAATATTCTCACACAACATGCTAAGGCTGACCACATCAAGTAGTCCATGTCTATACATAGGAATAATTCCTGTCAACTCACTGCGACCGCTTAACCAAACCAAGAAGTCTGGTCATGGGAGCAAGCAGATTTCATCACATACAAGGTCACTTGCCACTTAGATGACCCCAGCGAGGACAACACAATGGCGGCCTACACTTCAGGGAGACACTCAATATATTTACTATAGAAACGTCCAAGTATCAAACCAAACCATATGCCTCATCAAACGTGCTTAAATAAAGATGCTGACGTCATAAAATTAATGTAAGTAGTTAAGTTACATGTATTGTTTACATTTCATCTTCCTTGACTCGAAACTGCTTAAATAATGTTTTCTGTCTCTAAAATATATTTCTTCACTGAAAGATATGCTTTAAAACATCATCGATGGAAATGCCAAGAAAAATTCCAACAACCCGTTCTTTGAAGTTAACATAGTAACAATATGGTGTGTCAGCCAGTAGTGGAACCCGCCATTGTGCAGTCCTTGCCGTGGTCAGTGACGCGCATGCGCAGCATACGCAGGAACCAAGGTTTACAGATAAATGATCACGAAGATCAGTGTCCCAAATGCGAAAGAAACCTACATATAATTGATAGATGCAGGCTCTTGCTGTCGGAGGCGTCGCCGCCTCGTCGGACGAGGCATGTGTAGTTGCCGCTGTGCTCCAGCTTCACATCCTTGATGATGAGAACGCGGTTGAGGTTCTCCATGTGAGACCCGGAGGGCGGAGCCCCGCCATTCCACTCCCAGGAGTAAGTCAAGGGGAGCCTGAAGATGAGGAACACTGGTACAGTGGCCACACACCTGGGTAGAACTAGCTCAAATTTCCAGGTCTCAATGGATTTCTTCCATCATATGATTGTAGCATGTAATATACTTGTTGTAAAGGACTGTTTAGATATCCAACTTACCCAACTTGTCACTACATTTGTAAAATCTGCGTTAAATTTTCATTGCGTAAAACTGCACCATATCTGCTAAAGTTGTAAAATACGAGATTTGTAACGGTAGTACTGATGGTAAAGTACGTCAACTCATCCCTACACCGCAGGGTCCTTGGTTCCGTTCAATCAATGTATCAACGCAGCTCATAACAACATCACTTGGAACCCATGATCTGGTTACAAAACCTACTCAGTCGACCCACCTTCCATAAGCTAGACACTCCAGGCGGATGGTCTTGCCCCTCTGCGGGGGATTGGGAAACACGGCTGGGAAGTCGTTGTGGATGGTCGGCCCAAAGTCGTTGGCGTCTGCAAGGTGCGATGGAAAGAATATTTTAATTCTCACCTGTCATGAACAGTGGTGAGTGTTCTGATCTGTTTCAAGCAACGTGACCACAACGTATAACAACTTATTTTGTCAACAGCTGTTTCGGCGTTTGGACATCCGTCAGTACATCACTGCATAACTGACAGACAGAGATTATAGATAGGTAGACGGTCGTCATAGAGTAAACCGGGGCCTCTCTTTGCTTTAGCGCCGACCCTTTCAACACTACCGACCTGTAGGTTTAATGTGCCGGACAAGTTCCTGAAAATGGCGTCGTGACATTTCTGCACACCAGTAACGTGTAATATAGCCATCTCGGTACGCTGGATATTTTACTAACTTTGCCCGGTGACGTCGAAGCCGATGGCGAGACTGGTCTTGCTGGGCGGTTGCTTGGTTGCGAGAATCTCGTCGAAGGGAGCGGCCAGTGTGACCACACAGTGGTACTGCCCTTTGTCGGACGACTGGACCTCGGAGATGTACAGACCGCCGTTCTCCGACACAAATGTGTGGGGGTTGAGGGTGGGGCGGATGAAGTGCCTGGCGTCGTTCTTGTACCAGGCGTACATCACCTCTGAAACAAAGTTCCCGGTGAGTATAGAATCGACCGTTTTATATTTAGGACAGTTACCAGACATCTGTACAATGGGTTGAAATGATTCTGAAGCGGATGAAAATATTACGAACATTAAGGTGGGAATTGTTTAGAGACAAAGAAGGAACGAATATATTTTAATAAAACACATTTTCAAGACCCCCAGCTTGCCAATTGAACACTTGTGTGTATATGTAGCATTTGGGAATGGTCTGAGATTCACCCAAACCGTACAGTCCGTTTGATTTTATTTGAGACCGATGAATTGCTCACTAACACAAAATCTAATAATTGCAACAAAGCCAAACCTGGCACAGTCACATGAAAATCGACAGACCAAGTTTGATGATTTGTCTCATAATTGTAGACACCCGAAAAATAGTTGTTAGACAATCGATCATTATTTTGTTGTAACTTTTCGCTATTTTTTACGAGGGAGGACCACTTGCTGGTAGAGCAGCCAGGTAATCAACAAGTGTGTGTAGTGAAACTTCAATTTCATAGGTGCAACTCGCACACCTGGCTGTTCAGTGTTGGTCTGTCGCTTTAATGTGACTGTGCAAAGTTTGATGTTGTAGCATTTATCAGATTTTGTGTTAGTGAGCAATTCATCGGTCTCAAATGAAATCAAACGGACTATACATATAAAGACTCGCCTTCAACAACTATCACCAAGACGAACACATACACACTTTCCGCGGGTTAGTTCAGGTTCGTGTGTTATGTACTATGTAGGACCAGATGTTGTAAGTGCATCTGTAGATACTGAATTTGAAAACAAATGTGACTGCAATGATCTCATGTGTTCACTTACTTGGCTTGAAGTTTGGCGTGTTGCAGTTGATGACTGTTCCCTGGTAGAGAGGAGCACTCAACGTGCCCACTGGATCATTGACGAACTGGTTCAGGACTGGAACGGGTGTGGAGTGACAGTGAACAAGGTGCGATAAAGCTGCTTTCATAGGTATTTATTGATTCAATTTAGTATGTTTTATCGAAGCATGGAAGTACAAAGTTTTCAAAAGCAAAACATTGCTTGGAAGCCATCAAATACCGTAGAAAAACACGGACATCGTTTAGTGAGTGGGTGAGTGAGTTTAGTTTTACGACGCACTCAGCAATATTCCAGCTATATGGCGGCGGTCTGTAAATAATCGAGTCTGGACCAGACAATCCAGTGATCAACAGCATGAGCATCGATCTGCGCAATTGGGAACCGATGACATGTGTCAACCAAGTCAGCGAGCCTGACCACCCGATCCCGTTAGTCGCCTCTTACAACACCCATGGGTTACTGAAGGCTCATTCTTACCAGGACCTTCACGGGTCGACATCGTTTAGAGGACAACAGTGATTTCATACTTACATCCTTCTGAAATCGTGACGGGGTCGCTCATGATGGAACCGATCGTGTTGGAGGCGATACACTGGTAGTCCCCGGGGTCCTTCTGCAGGTCGGGGTCAGCTATGGTCAGTCTCCCGTTGGTCAGTGTGTAGCGAGTGTCGGTGGTTTCCGTAACTTCCATCTCTTTTGCTGTGCCCACATTTCGGATCCACCTGTTATAACGACTTATTATCAGTAAATATAACATACATGTATTGTCTGTTGATTACCACCGCGGCTAGAAATCTCCCAGCTATATGTCGACGGTCTGTAAATACTCGAGTCTGGACCAGACAATCTAGTGATTGAAAGCATGAACATTCATCTACGCTATTGGGATACGATGACATGTGTCAACCAAGTCAGCAAGCTTGTCAACCTGTCCCCTTTGCCGCCTTTTACGACAAGCGTGGGCTGCTGAAGACCAACTGTCACACAGTGATGTGATGTTCATAGGGCGAGAGTGAGTGAAGGCTAGTAGGGGGTTGCAGTGTACACGTGTTACCTGTATGTCGGGGCTGGTATTGCATCTGCTGTGCAATCGATGAAGGTGAGTATTTCTCTCCCAGCAAGAACTATACTCTTTGGCTCATTCGTGAACACGGGCCCTCGACTGATTTTGTTCAGGTCAGTGGTTTCCTGGCCGTATGCTGGAAACAAAGAGTGAGTGAGTTGGACTTATTTCGGCGTGTCTGCTTAATGTGGGAGAAATCCCGAAGTGATGCTGGTTTCAGACGTTTACAAACCGCGTGACGAGCACAATGTAACGTTTCTGGACAGTCCAATGGACGCAACTCTTACCAGCGAATTGCTGCGTCTCACACGACTGGAAACAAAGACCGAGTGTGTCATAGGGAACAGGAACTACGTCAACACGACTTGAGTTGTCAAATATCCATATGTACTCTACTTTAACCTGCTGTTAAATAATCAACAAGGGCCTTGTTTCTGGGTGCTCTTGACCTCCGGTGTTGAAGCTAAATGTCATTTGCTCCACTTTTACGTACTGTCTACGTACTGCCCTATCATCAACACTCAGACAGCAGTAGGGTAGTGGGGAGGATGAGGTTAGCAAGATTTAAGGTCACTTACTGAAGTCCCTTTGAGGCCTGTTGATCCTGAATGCCTCAAGCTTGCTGATCTCACAGATGTACATCAACACCTCCGTGTTGCGCACCTTGGCCCAGGCAAACACGTTCTTCGAGGCTGAAAGTAGACATGCTTGCCTGAATGCATTACTAAATTACTTCAATAGTTTATGTGAAGGTATTAAACCGCAGTGTGGATATCCACATCCTTAAACTCCCCATATGCTGTCTCTCTCAAGAAGGGTGTTTTCTAACTGCCGATGCTGAATGTTCATCAGCATGTCAGTGTTCTGCGGATATCTGAATATTCCTTATTTCGAGCATATTTTCGTATGTGCTCCCAAAAACATTTAACACGTGTTATGTCGCAGTGACATTCATCGTGTAATGTCCCACGTGGGATACACTGTACAAGTGATATTCAGTGAGAGGCAGTGATGTGTTATATACGGAGTTCTGGAAGGTCTACACAGTACTACCCTCTTTGAACTATTTTAGCCAAGGGATTTAGATAATGTTCTTTCATGGTTTTCTTTAGATATGTAAAGGGAGTTAACTCTTGCTTCTCACTTCACCTGACATCTCAAATAACCAGATTTCCAGCATTGTGTGTGGCGATCATTATACCCTGCAAGGTCTATTTTGCAAAGTTGGGTGAGTGAGTGAGTTTTGTGTTACGCCACTTTTAGCAATATTCCAGCAATATCACTACTCTTGTACTATATCACCTTTGAATTTGTATTGTCACGCCATTTAGTACTACCATAGTGAAACCTTTCTATTGATTTGTGAACTCAGGTAATACATTTGTTTGTTACATCATATTTCTTTTTGGGTTGGTTTTACATCTACTTCCTTTACGGAATGTTCCCCGGTAAATTGTTTGAAACTTGGAAATCAACACACATAACATATATAAATTCTGTTTATCCTTAAGGCAAGTCATTCTGTACCTTACTATAATTACCCAAATCCGTGGCTAAATATTATTGTCCAAACGGACCACAAACCTGTGCGCATACACCCTCCCTATAACACACTGTGTCACTCTGCTCACCAGAAAACACGTAGACGAGGTTGGGTTTGTTAATGGGCTGGCCAGTACTGTCGGGCGCCATGGCGTCATCGTCCCAGTAGTCGCCTGTCATGATGTCGGTGCCGTCTCCCTGCCACTGCCACGTATCGCCCATCTGAACGCCGCTCGTGTACCACCTGTCTCGCCTTGAGGAGAGCATGGAAAAGACATCATTACATCAAGGAATATAGGGATAAGTTATGGTTTGTACCGCAGAACGCATTGCGGACAAACATCGTGTTTAAATCGTGGATATATTGTTTTTCACAGATTTTAGTGAAAACTAACCCTAAACAAACTTTGTTTTACTATTGAAACTATTAAAGTAATTGAACGAAGAGTCATATTTCACAAGTGTTGACATGACGCCAATGATTAATGAAAATGAAAAGTTCAAGATGCGTTGATACACCTGGATAATGTGCAACAATGACACACCTGTTGATGTCGTACTGCGTCAAGTAGTTGGTGATGAATTGGTGCTCCGCATCGTCATTGACGCTGACGAGAGTTGCTCCATCAGCCTAGAGGTAGACATATACGGCAAGACATATCACACACAAGAGTGAAATATGCCATTTACGTATGATTGCAAACGCACTATACATGATTATATACTCACTGGAAAGACGCATATTGTTTGCATTTTGTATATGCATGAAACGTGAAGCACAAATGCAATATATTAATTAAATGTTGTTAGCCACATGTTTGTCAACTTGTGTGGTGCAAACACGCAACGTTTGTAGCTTTATACAGCAACTTTTACCATTCCCCCTTCTTGTACGTATATGCCTTGCGACGAACACAGGACAGGAATATTGTCATTATCTCTTCAAACCTTGTGGCTATCACCATGCTAAGTTTCGTTCTGCTTATTGATTAATTATTAATTATTCAATCAATCAAAATGATTTTTTAATGTGCATATACCCTTGCACACACAGACATTACAGGTGTCTATTTTCCCGTCATTTTGTGTTTTACGTGAGGCTTTACATCGTACGCGTTCTATTTCGGGTAATTTTCACGGTATGTGTAGGTTAATCACCCTTATAAGGTAATTATTTAAATAAACTCTCCGAGGGCTTTAAAAATAGCTTTATTGTTTTTTAATAGAAATAATTGCCCCAGGGCAGTTGATCAATTATGCTAGTAAAACACTTCCAAGAACTTCCCTAGTGGTTAAAGCTTGATTAACGACTGTTCATTCAGATTACATCTCTAAAAACCTCGACTGTCTTGCTTATATTTTTTGAATTAGATGATGTTGTACAAATGCATGAAGTTCCGGTATGAACACTCACATGAGATATTTACAATATGGTATAACGTTGCAATATAATGGCATATGCATCTATATATACTCGGCGTCATTAATGAAGGGTCAAGCTATCGGTTACACTATTTCAATGTGTACACAGCCGATATGACGTCATCATACCATAATGTATGTGACTATTACGACGTTAATATTCCAATGAATACACAGTTGATATGACGTCACATCAACACTGACCTGACAAGCCGTGTCCGCCTCCACGTATGGGCGTGGCGGGTGGAACACAAAGTGATAGCAGTGGTCCATGTACTCAGCCCAGTTCAGAGGGCAGTCTGAAATCAACAAGAAGGGATAAAATGCTGTACAGGGCAATTTTCAGGTTGCATCAACCCGTGTTTGTGTGAATTTTGTCGTGTTGTAATTTCGGACAAACTGTGTCTCCACAATCGGTTTCTTCTGTGATTTCTAAAGACTTCTGTCCCGACTCTCTTAACCGAATCTAGAATATGTATGAAATAACATAAATGGAGCGAAAGGTTGCAGTTTACTATGAAAGACATTATACAACGTGTGCCACTGAATGTTATGCGGATCTAATACTTGAGAGGGATACCTATTGACACTTACTGCAGGATGCTAAACGATTTCCAATACTTATGTCTTGTCATCACACAATGTACATAACATGGGCTGATTTATCATCGCCTGGAGACGATATATATTTTCTTAGAAATCCCAGAATATGACAAGAAATACGTTGATGCTCTGGTCTAGGTGTGTAATCACAGCGTTATCTGCACTATTTACTCCAGGGTTCCCTCCCAAAGGCATGTGCTGGACGTATAGGACAACAACGAGGGGTTATTGAAGAACTCAAACTTTGGTGCCATGCTTGAAGTGGTCTGTGACTTGGTCCGTGCCGTGTATTGCACGCAGAGTGTACATTAGTGTTAATGGTTGAATATTAGTGTTCAGTGTATGCCACTAAGTGTCTTTTTGTCCACGAGCAGATGCAAGAAACCGGACATCTGTAAACTGTACCACGTAAATATCATCACCTGTGGTTGTTTGATCATGTGAACACATAAGCGTGTTGAAGGAGAGAATTCATAATAAAAACACCAGCGTACATTCCTTTTCAAGGGTCCCGTGTTCCTTATTCAAGTCTCCCGTGAATAACGATTGATCCAAATTTGTTACGGACAAAATTCTTACGCAAGAAGCTTGTTATATTCGTCTCTATATTTTGAGCAATTGTGTTTGTTATAAATCTGTTGTTGTGAAATGGGAAAGAAATGTCCCTGACACATCGTTACATGGAATAAAAGACCTTGCTATTTATGAATATGTGTCGTGAAATGTTACAGATATCCTGTTTCAAAAGATACATGTGGACTTACAATAGACTTACCTTGACCTGAACACAAGCAGACAGTTGCCATGACAACCAGGAGCCATTTATGAGGCACCATGGCAGCGTTTACCGTTGGTGATATCTAGACAGAAATAATTGATATTTCAATGCAAAATGTCAGGCAGTTTTATTTCCTACTTTGACTGCTGTAATCTGGTATTTGTCTTCGGGGAAAGTGATTACCTGTGTTCCAAGTCAAATGATAAGTAGCTGTAAGCAAAGATCATAAGTTGTTTAAATAACCTACCACTGTTGTTGACCATACGGTTGTTCAAAGAGCATAACGCTGTTTAATGCGCATATAATGATTTTAGCAAACGTACAACGTTACATATAGCTCATCCTTGTTTAAAACCATACCTTTGTTTCCAAAACATAACGTTTTTAAAATACATACCCTTTATTTACATTAAACATTTGTAAAGAGCATACCATTGCGTAAAGAACATTCATATCCCAATGTAAATAACGTACCATTGTACCAATTTAAAGAGCAAACCATTGTTTAATGAGCATTCTATTGTTTAGAAAGCATACCTTTGTGTACAAAACTTATTACTGTTTAAGCAAAATACCATTGTTTCACCAGCAACGACTGTGTAATGTTGATACTAAATAAAACAACGTCAAGTGGGGATGTCACGGTTTAAGGGTATACATGTATACATCAAAAACTTAGTTAAGCTCCCCCTGACATATCTTACAATTGAATGAACCCCGACCCTAACCCTTTGGAACTTATGGGACATGATTGGTCGTCGTGTGCAACAAAGGGATCCTCCTGTACAGAACCTGGCCCAATTGGAAGCTCCTATACACGAGGAATGGCGTAGACTGCCCCTTCAGAGGATCAGGAGGCTGACAGGTGGTATGAGGAGGAGAGTGCTGGCTGTCATACAGTCGCATGGAGGTTACACTCGGTATTGACCTTGGATCGTGTAAGACCCGCAAACTGACATTTTGAATGTTCACATTCACCAATAAATTCAACATTAAATATTCCAGGGTCATACTTATACATACATAGTTTTGTATGAAAATGAGTGGTTGTTTTTAATGAGCAATTAGCATCATAAAATCATGGATTCCAATCATTTTGTCGTTTTTATAAGCCAAAGGATCATGCGAGTCAGAAAAACCCCATCGTGATCACCACGAGAAGTTTCATGTACGTTTCATCATTGCAAAAATACAGAGGGTGCTTAATTAAGTTCTTTGTGTATAGTACTTGTGACAGGGTTTAACCGAAGTAACATTTTTCTCCTTTTAGTCAACACATACTAAAATGTGCGCCATATATATCAACATCATTTTTACGCTCAGTCAATCGTTATGTCGTTTCTTAATTCGTATGTCTTCAACTTGACAACTGCCCTGTCAAAACAGTTCCTGACAAAGAAACTGTAAATGTGTCACCACTAAAAACGTGGCTCTTTTGTGTTTCGCAATGAATTGTAACGAACAATGCTTTTCCAGAATAATAGTTTTACAGTCCTAAATGCTTAAAGCTGAAAATAAACCTCTTAGCAGCTGGAAATAATGGACCCGGAATTCATTGGAAGACGGATTATTAAATAAAACCACCTTTCTATATTTGATCAGGTCAAGCCTTTCTCACATGCTCAATTGGACAACCTCGCGTCCGAGTATGGTTACAGAGTTCAGTACCTGGTTGATACGGGAAGGGATTTACGTCGCAGATCCCGTGTACGGTCACCATGGTGTGGATGGCATTTCGCTGATAACGTCCACAGTATATGCATTCCCAGTCAAGCAGTGGAGACGGGTACACGGGAAAACCCTGTACAACCATGTTTAGGCGTAACCGCTCCATAAACAACAGCGACATCATCCGTTACAATACATATAGGGTCACCATTATCGTTTATATCATTTCTTTTCAGAAAGAACAATACATCGGATTTGACCAGTAAACTTTTACCTAGATTGAGCTAGCGTGTATACACCTTGGTTCCGTCAAAAATACCCGTAAATGTTGTTTAAGCATGCATGTTCTGTCGGTATATTGATGAAGCGGTTGAACTTGCATGTTCTGTTTATACATTAGCCTCGTGGTTGTTTAGCTTGTGTATTTTTGTAAATAACATCTTCGTGTTGTTTGAGCATGCACGTGCTGTATGCGTATTGCCCTGGTGGTTTAACAGTGCGTTTTGAAGTGAAGTATCTGAAAGTCAGGGGATGTATAGTTGCAATTTGAAAATAGAGACAATTTCAAGTCGGACCGTTATATTTCCCCCCCGCTGTGCTCCTCTATCCCACATGGCAAACTTTGGGTAACACGTCATTTCTCCTTAGTTATAACAAAACGAAGGGACCGCAATATGGCTACATCTTCGTCTTCAAAGGTTCAGTGTACAATTTGTCAGAATATGAAAGAAATTCCACCCTAAGTTTATTAAGAAAATATGACGTGCAATTTTAACTGATCACATCTATTTGATAATTTTGATAAGACATTATGTAAGAAGGAAAGCATCCTTCTAGACACCAACAGTGCTCTTCTAGTCGATCCATACCCGTGAAGATCCACGTTAGAATTGGTCTTCAGTAACGCATGCTTGTCATAAGAGGCGACTAAAGTAATGGTCAGGCTCTCCGACTTGGTTGACACATGTCATCTTATCCCAATGACGTAGATGGATGCCCATGCTGTTGATCACTGGATTGTCTTGTACAGACGTGACCAAGACGTTTAACCTAAGTTTCCAGTATATAGATGATCTGGTATTGTTCAGTAACAACCTGAATTAGACATATACACGACTTCTCCTGTTTTAGCTTGAGATCTATGTTTTAAGATTCAGACTGACTACCCACAGGGGTGTGCAAAGAGTGAGTTCAGCTTTCTAAATCATGTCGAGCAAAATGTCAGTTATTGCCTTTTGTGCTTACATGTCACAACTTGTGTGATATAATCGATCATGCTCTTTCTGCGAGAGTGTCATATCCTCTTTTCCCCAAACTGCATTGATCAAGGTTACAACACCCTAGGTTTCACAGACGTTATATAAAGTTCTACAAGTGAAGGGCATTTCAACAGTTGACGCATGTAAGTGACCATAAGTATTTTGCCATACGTTTCCCTGTCTGTTCAGGTAAACATTTGACTTGGCGTTCCATGAGTTTGACACAGGTTCCACCTATTACGTAATATGATTATTCTTAGTAGGAAAGGTTGAATTCACGAGTTAGTATGTAGACAGCCCATGCATGATTAAACAGCCACTAGGTCAATATGTGTTCACATCACCCATGATTAATACTTCTCTCTCAGTATGTACACATAACATGCACGTTAATACATGAATAAATAAGCTGTAGGTAAAATGTAGATAAATCGTGCTTTAAAGGGTTTAAATTGCAACAGATGCTTTGAACCTCAAACAGATATGAATCTGCTATGTGTGTCCAGTTGTCCGCTGTCCGTGTTTACACGAGATATTATCTTTCTATCAGCGTGGTCAGTGTCGGTCAGCGTGAGTAAACCATCACAGTCGTACATAGCACAAGGGTATACATGACATAGTCAACCCCTGAAATACATATGTTCCAGCATACACTTTAACGTTTCTACCAGTTATGTCATAGTGATATTACAACAAAGTGTACAATATCAACATCAAAGGACACCCAACTAAACAAACATCGGAAATACATGATAGTACCTAGCAAGCATTTTTTTGCAAAATTGTTCTGAACTCCGTTTGTGTGAAGGTCGACGTAAGTAGTGATTACCCCCAGTTACGTATTACTGTTGTACGGTGGAAGGGAGAGCCATGTTATTCCCCGGAAGTGACTCATATAACACAGGAAATCCGAGTGCTGTTTCTAGATGGTAATTTGAACGAAGTAACCTAATCTATATATTCTCTCTTAGTTTGTAGTTCCAACTATATATGTGATCATATATTTACCCATACATGGTAATTAAGTCAGACATCTATGTTTTCGATTCCTGATGTTAGTATCAAATCCTGTTGTACCTTGTCACGTGAGTCGTTCGTTGATAGAAAGTCCTCAGGGTGAAGCTACTTAGATCTCCGTCACGGGTAGTCCCCGGGTAGGTTCTGTCCAGGTAATAAGTCACAAAACTGAATATTTCTCAGCAAAATGGCGTCGCTACAATGCGATCATACCCGCCAATAGACTTATCAGTGTCCGACGAGCCCTTATCAGCACGGAGTAGAGTTACTGGACTTGCCTCAGTCGGTGTGGGAGGTAGGGAGTGACGATTGGCATGTATATCAGACATCGCATAAGCATACAATAAAAATGTATGTACTAATTTGTTTATTGTTGTTGCCGTTGAATTGTTTACATCCTCTGTTGTTCTCTGTCCGCATTCATACTTGACACTGGCATCAGATGGAGTTGTCACGATTTCAAAGTGAGTTATATCATGAGGATGTTGGTAGGATGTATTTTAACCGGTCCATTGAATTCACGTGGATGAAGATATTCTTGGATAAGTAAACATATTGCTTCAGGCAACAGTCAGCACCATTTCAGTTACATACATCTATATCCTGGTCTTGGAGGAACCAAGATGCTTCAGACAACGAGGATTTCAAAAGGTTTGTAATGCTTTTTTAAAATACATTTAATTGTGACAATACATGCACGAATATGTGTGAAATCATGAAAATGAATAACGAATGATCCTGGCCAAATGTATCCATTGGAGGGTGTAAACATAAACGTAAAAATTCAACAATCTATTATCCGTAATAATTATACAGCAAAATGGAGTTCATTGGCCGTACAAGGCAAAACAGTTGTGAAACAATATGTTGAATGGTCATTTAAGATCACTAATGACACGAGGTAATGAAAAGCACTGGGATTGTAACGTAGGCCAGGCTGTAGATGATATCCCGTGGTAGAAACAGACAGGGATCCAAGCAAGTTGTCACCAGGTTTTTTTGTTTACGCTCTCAGCAGAGGGGTCCGTCGTATGGCAAGCCGTTTCAACATTTATTGAGAAATTCCTGATATATTAAATTGTTATAAAATAAAACTTATTTTTTTTCTGAGATATCTTGAAATAAATTAAAGACACCTTGAATTGAATTGGAGATATCTCAAAATGAATTAAAGATATCTCGAACAGAGATAATAATAGATATCTACGATAGCATTCATGATATGGCAAAATGAATTTAGTATATGTTGAAGCACATTAATGATATCTTGAAAAGAATTGCTAATATCTTTCATGGATTTAATGTTTTTCATGATATCTGTAATTCAGTTCCTGATATCTTGCAATTAAATAAAGACATCTTGAATTAATTGAAGATATCTTGAATTGAATTGGAGATATCTTGAAATGAATTATCCATCTCAAAGGAGATAATGTATAGAGAAATTACTGATTACTGAAACTGTTTTAAAGATATCTTGAATTATTAAAATTTCATAAAGAGTTAAGTTCTGTTGTTCGTTCCTGTTACTTGTATTACAGACATCAGTAATTGATTTAGAGGTAACTTCAGCATTATTAATGATATCTTTAATTTGATTTTAGATAATACTATAGGCCAGAATTGAAGATATCTATAACTTAATTAGAGATATCTCTAATTGAATTGAAGATATATATAATGCATTTGTGGATATGCATAAATTATTTCAGTACATCCTGAGTTGAATTTAAGATATCTCTTATTAATATCGTAAACATATTTAGAGATATCACGATATATGATCTTGATATTTCAATAACATTTTAAGATATCAGCAATTCTATTTTGAATATCAGAAACTTATTAAAGATGTTTTCAAGTATTGACCGATATCTTAAAAACATGAATGATATCTTTACAGATACCTTTAGAACAATTGAAGATGTCTTTACTTTCTTAAATGTGGAAACGGCTTGCAATAAGATCGGCCTTATCATTGCTGTACTTCACATGCTCAATACTGATTCCTGTCTCGGTTCACCATGTCTCGGTTCACCATGTCTCGGTTCACCATGTGTTTGTGCAACATGTGCACCATAAGGCATGCCCTGTGGTATAAAGACAATATACTACTCAAAAGAAGTCAAGGAACACCCGAATGTGCCACATTACTAATACTGTGACAAATTCACCAGAGTAATACGAAAACATCGGCTGTTCTTTGTCTTCTTTTCAGTGGTGTATAATATTATGTAAGAATATAGAACACGTGGACGACATGATAAACTGAGGACACAATACAGATGATAAAGACAGAGTATACTTCCTACTGCTAAATACATTGAAGCGTCTACTTGTAATCGTGTTGTAGATAGTGGTGTAGATGATGATGATGTAGATGATGTAGTTGTCTCATTTGCGTGATATCACAAACTGATAAGTATCACAAAATTCACCGAAAGAGGACAACTGAATTGTAATGATTTAATACAGATGGAATTAATAGAAAACGCATAGTCTTTACATGTGACACCTTCTAAAGGTAGACTTCAGTGAATATGAGAAGTTATTGGTTATTAGGGACGGATCATAAATGTTTCGTTTATACCACGGAATATTCACTTTTAACACATGAATGTTTATTCAAATTTGAAAGGCTCGAAAGAAATATGAGAGTCAATCGTCAATTATCATTTATACATTAATTTGTTTTTTCCCCCCAAAGCATACTACACAAAAAAAGTAAAAACACACATGAAAGTGGAGGGTTGTAGCTTGCAGTAACAACTATTCGTGACATATTAACAAAATCGTCTGTACTTTTCGGAAGTACATTTACTTTTTATTTTTCTGAGTGTTTTTTAAGCATTCACCCTAACCCATTCCTCCCAAATGATAAGAACTACATTTAGAGATTGAAACACGATGTTTTGAATAACATAAATATATCAGTCTGATACTCAAAACATTACACGAAATGCATAGCAAGAAACAATCTAAGCAAAAGTGAAGCATGGATTTCAGCAAAATGAAGACTTTATGATGTTTGATGTTTCGTTGATCAACTCCTCGTGATGAATCGACAAGGGAATCTGTAGCATGGTATCCATGTGTGTCTGATTCGGGTATCTCGGGTCACACTATTCACAGGTCACACTATTCACATGAAGTATCCATCCTATTCTCCCGGGTGTGAGAATATGAATTTAGTAGGAATAAACTTCACATCGATCATAACAGGCACGTCATCATCCACATCAATGCGCATGACAGCAAACACAATAGGGACATAGAGAGGTGACTTCCGCTTGCGACGATTATACTTGTAGTGCGGTCATATCGAACTTGGCCGCCTGCATAGACAAAAACAACACACAATAAAGAAACCAATTTGACACAGACTATATTATACATTAGCGGACCAATCACTATAGACACACAGATTACCCAAACTTCCATAAATCACTTTAAGAAAACAGTACAGGACATGTACCACCCACCAGGGAAACACAGATTCTATACACTAGCATACCTATCACTACACTAGAATACCACTCACTATACTAGAATACCACTCAATATACTAGAATACCACTCACTACACTAGCATACCTCTAACAAAACTAGCATACCTCTCAATACACTAGCATCTCTCACTAAACTAGCATACCTCTCACTACACTAACATACCACTCACTACACTAGCATAGGACTCACTACACTAGCCTACAACTCACTTCACTAGCATAGCACCCACTACACTAGCACACCACTCACTACACTAGCATACCTCTACACTACACTAGCATACCACTCACTACACTAGCATACAACTCATTACACTAGCATACCCCTCACTACACTAGCATACCTCACTACACTAGCATACCGCTCACTACACTAGCATACCTCCCACTACACTAGTACACCACTCACTACACTAGCATGCCTCTCCCTACACTAGCACACCTTTACACTACACTAGCATACCTCTCCCTACACTAGCACACCTTTACACTACACTAGCATACCTCTCCTACCATACCTCTCTCACTACACTAGCATACCTCTCACTACACTAGCATACCTAGTATACCTCTCACACTAGCACACCTTTACACTACACTAGCATACCTCTCCCTACACAAGCACACCTTTACACTACACTAACATACCTCTCACTACACTAGCATACCTCCCACTACACTAGTATACAACTCACTACACTAGCATACCTCTCACTACACATGTACCACCCACCAGGGAAACACAGATTCTACACACTAGCATACCTCTCACTACACTAGCATACCTCTCACTAGACTAGTATCTCACTACACTAGTATACATCTCACTACACTAGCATACCTCTAACAAAACTAGCATAACACCTCTCAATACACTAGCATACCTCTCACTAAACTAGCATACCTCTCACTACACTAAGCATACCACTCACTACACTAGCATAGGACTCACTACACTAGCCTACAACTCACTTCACTAGCATAGCACCCACTACACTAGCACACCACTCACTACACTAGCATACCTCTACACTACACTAGCATACCCCTCACTACACTAGCATACCGCTCACTACACTAGCATACCTCCCACAACACTAGTACACCACTCACTACACTAGCATGCCTCTCCCTACACTAGCACACCTTTACACTACACTAGCATACCTCTCCCTACACTAGCACACCTTTACACTACACTAGCATACCTCTCCCTTACACTAGCACACCTTTACACTACACTAGCATACCTCTCCCTACACTAGTATACCTCTCACTATACTAGCATACCTCTCACTACACTAGCATACGTCTCACTACACTAGCACACCTCTCCCTACACTAGCAAACCTTTAAGCTACATTAGCACACCTTTACACTCACTAGCATACCTCTCCTTACACTAGCACACCTTTACACTACACTAGCATACCACTCACTACACTAGCACACCTTTACACTACATTAGCATACTCACTAGCATACCTCTCACCTCTCACTACACTAGTACACTACACTAGCATACCTCTCCACTACACTAGCACACCCTTTTACACTACACTAGCACTACCTCTACCTCCCACTACACCCAACCTCACACACTAGCACACCTACTTCACTACACTCACACTAGCATACCACCCACCAGGGAAACACAGATTCTACGCACTAGCATACCACTCACTACACTAGCATACCTCTCACTAGACTAGTATCTCACTACACTAGTATACCTCTCACTACACTAGCATACCTCTCAATACACTAGCATACCTCTCACTACACTAGCATACCTCTCACTACACTAGCATACCTCTACACTACACTAGCATACCACTCACTTCACTAGTATACCTCTCACTACACTAGCATACCACTCACTACACTAGTATACATCTACACTACACTAGCATACCACTCACTACACTAGTATACCTCTCATCACACTTGCATACCTCTCACTACACTAGCATACCTCTCACTACACTAGCATACCTCTGCACTACACTAGCATACAACTCACTACACTAGTATACCTCTACACTACACAAGCATACCTCTCACTACACTAGTATACCTCTCACTACACTAGCATACCACTCACTACACTAGTATACCTCTCACTACACTAGCATACCACTCACTCCACTAGCATAGCACTCAGAACACTAGCATACCTCTCACTACACTAGCATACCTCTCACTACACTAGCATACCACTCTCTCCACTAGCATACCACTCACTACACAAGATACAACTCACTACACTAGCATACAACTCACTACACTAGCATACCTCTCACTACACTAGTATACCGCTCACTACACTAGTATACCGCTCACTACACTAGCATACCTCTCACTACACTAGCATACCTCTCACTACACTAGCATACCTCTCCCTACACTAGCAAACCTTTAAGCTACATTAGCACACCTTTACACTCACTAGCATACCTCTCCTTACACTAGCACACCTTTACACTACACTAGCATACCTCTCACTACACTAGCACACCTTATGGACAACCACTACATTAGCATACCTCTCACTACACCTAGCAATTACCAGTATACCTCTCATAGATTCTACACTGGCATAGCACACCTTTTTACACTACACTAGCATACCACTCACTACACAAGATACAACTCACTACACTAGCATACAACTCACTACACTAGCATACCTCTCACTACACTAGTATACCGCTCACTACACTAGTATACCGCTCACTACACTAGCATACCTCTCACTACTCTAGCATACCGCTCACTACACTAGCATACCTCTCAATATCCTAGCATACCATTCACTACACTAGCATAGCACTCACCACACTAGCATACCTCTCACTACACTAGCATACCTCCCACCACACTAGCATAGCACTCACTACACTAGCATACAACTCACTACACTAGCATACCTCTTCACTGCATTAGCATACCTCTAAGTAAACTAGCATACCTCTAAGTAAACTAGCATACCACTCACTACACTAGCATACCCTCTCACTCACAATGCAGCATACCTCTCACTACACTAGCATACCTCTTACTACACTAGCATACCACTCACTACACTAGCATACCTCTCACTACACTAGCATACCTCTCACTACACTAGCATAGCACTCACTATGGGAACAGAATTTAAAGACTAGCATTCTATTACTGACAACCAATGGTAGGAGGAATTCAAATGAACAATAACCCAAAGTGATTGTGAACACAACCAGTTGTAATTGAGGGAAAATCAGAAGGAAGATAACACATTCCATCTATAACACAATTAGACCGATAATCAGCCATCTCAGACCACATGAACAACTGCCCTAACCACAACATCAGCCATCTCAGACCACACGAACAACTGCCCTAACCACAACATCAGCCATCTCAGACCACGCAAACAACTGCCCTAACCACAACCACTCAGCCATCTCAGACTACTACCACGAACAACTGCTCAGACCTAACCACAACACCAGCCATCTCAGACCACACGAACAACTGCCCTAACCACAACATCAGCCATCTCAGACCACACGAACAACTGCCCTAACCACAACATCAGCCATCTCAGACCACACGAACAACTGCCCTAACCACAACACCAGCCATCTCAGACCACACGAACAACTGCCCTAACCACAACATCAGCCATCTCAGACCACATGAACAACTGCCCTAACCACAGCACAACATCAGCCATCTCAGACCACATACATGAACAACTGCCCTAACCACAACATCCAGCCATCTCAGACCACACGAACAACTGCCCTAACCACAACATCAGCCATCTCTCCAGACCACACGAACAACTGCCCTAATCCACAACATCAGCCATCTCAGACCACACGAACAACTGCCCTAACCACAACATCAGCCATCTCAGACCACAGAACAACCTAAACCACAACATCAGCCATCTCAGACCCATGAACAACCTAACCACAACATCAGCCATCTCAGACCACACGAACAACTGCCCTAACCACAACATCAGCCATCTCAGACCACACGAACAACTGCCCTAACCACAACATCAGCCATCTCAGACCACACGAACAACTGCCCTAACCACAACATCAGCCATCTCAGACCACACGAACAACTGCCCTAACCACAACATCAGCCATCTCAGCACGAACATCTCAGACCAGACACGAACAACTGCCCTAACCACAACATCAGCCATCTCAGACATGAACAACTGCCCTAACCACAACATCAGCCCATCTAACCACAACATCAGCCATCTCAGACCACACGAACAACTGCCCTAACCACAACATCAGCCATCTCAGACCACACGAACAACTGCCCTAACCACAACATCAGCCATCTCAGACCACACGAACAACTGCCCTAACCACAACCTCAGCGATCTCAGACCACACGAACAACTGCCCTAACCACAACATCAGCCATCTCAGACCACATGAACAACTGCCCTAACCACAACATCAGCATAAGGAATCTTATCAAAGAACCCAGTACTTCACCAGATGAAAACTGGCACAATGTTCAAAATTACTCAAGCCATAATTATAAGTAACCAGAGACCACGGATGTCTGACTTTACTCTTGCTTGACAACGGTATAAGAAGCTGTAACCGGAATGTCGGGTCATAATATAATGAAGTTGATATCCACAGAGTATTTTACATTTCGTGGATATAATCATTGTTAGGCCTGTGTACTGAATATACTTTCTGTTTGTGAAGTTACCAACCAACTGTACTGAACGATATAAGTAGATGCTTTTATATGAGAAAGGTTCAGCGTTTTTTAACATGAAAAATAGGCACAGTTTACAAATTACTACTACGAGAGTTATCGTTCGTGTTTGAAGCTCTCGTATTCAGATCTGTACAGCAATATGGAATCCCTCAAACAGGGCACGTGTCTTTACGTCTCAATGACACTGGGAACACGTGACATGCATTTCAACCTACCTAGGGTGAAATACACAGGTGGAGCTTTCTTCCCGTCCCCGCCTGCGTTGAAACCTGTTACCCTCAGCTTGTAGACCAAGCCCTTTTCCAGACCGGTGATGACACCCTGCGTCTTCTTTGCGTCTATAACCACATCAGTCGCATCTCGCAGGTCACTGTTGGCCGGCCAGTACCTCAGCTGAAACGTTTGGAACCCGGAGACTTGCTACATATAGTTGCAGCGTTGTTACATGAGGCTGTACAAAGTACAGATACAGTCTTACATACATGTCACACACGGCCATGTATATTGGCATATTGACACCTTAACGTCTGTATATTGGCATTTCCCAAGACACCTTAACGTCTGTATATTGGCATTTCCCAAGACACCTTAACGTCTGTATATTGGCATTTCCCGAAAAACACTTACCGTCTGTATATTGGCATTTCCCAAGACACCTTAACGTCTGTATATTGGCATTTCCCAAGACACCTTAACGTCTGTATATTGGCATTTCCCAAGACACCTTAACGTCTGTATACTGACATTTCCCAAGACACCTTAACGTCTGTATATTGGCATTTCCCAAGACACCTTAACGTCTGTATATTGGCATTTCCCAAGACACCTTAACGTCTGTATATTGGCATTTCCCAAAACACCTTAACGTCTGTATACTGACATTTCCCAAGACACCTCAACGTCTGTATATTGGCATTTCCCAAGACACCTTTAACGTCTGTATATTGGCATTACCCAAGACACCTTAACGTCTGTATATTGACATTTCCCAAGACACATTAACGTCTGTATACTGACATTTCCCAAGACACCTTAACGTCTGTATATTGGCATTTCCCCCATAAAACCTTAAAGTCTGTATACTGACGTTTCCCAAGACACCTTAACGTCTGTATATTGGCATTTCCCAAAGACACCTTTAACGTCTGTATACTGACATTTCCCAAGACAACTTTAACGTCTGTATATTGGCATTTCCCAAGACACCTTAACGTCTGTATATTGGCATTTCCCAAGACACCTGAACCTCTGTATACTGACATTTCCCAAGACACCTTAACGTCAGCATATTGGCATTTCCCAAGACACCTGAACGTCTGTATATTGGCATTTCCCAAGACACCTTAACGTCTGTATACTGACATTTCCCAAGACACCTTAACGTCTGTATATTGGCATTTCCCAAGACACCTTAACGTCTGTATATTAGCATTTCCCAAGACACCTTAACGTCTGTATATTGGCATTTCCCAAGACACCTTAACGTCTGTATACTGACCTTTCCCAAGACACCTTAACGTCTGTTTATTGGCATTTCCCAAGACACCTTAACGTCTGTATACTGACATTTCCCAAGACACCTTAACGTCTGTATATTGGCATTTCCCAAGACACCTTAACGTCTGTATATTGGCATTTCCCAAGACACCTTAACCTCTGTATACTGACATTTCCCAAGACACCTTAACGTCAGCATATTGGCATTTCCCAAGACACCTGAACGTCTGTATATTGGCATTTCCCAAGACACCTTAACGTCTGTATACTGACATTTCCCAAGACACCTTAACGTCTGTATATTGGCATTTCCCAAGACACCTTAGCGTCTGTATATTAGCATTTCCCAAGACACCTTAACGTCTGTATATTGGCATTTCCCAAGACACCTTAACGTCTGTATATTGGCATTTCCCAAGACACCTTAACGTCTGTATATTGGCATTTCCCAAGACACCTTAACGTCTGTATACTGGCATTGCCCAAGACACCTTAACGTCTGTTTATTGGCATTCCGCAAGACACCTTAACGTCTGTATATTGGCATTTCCCAAGACACCTTAACGTCTGTATACTGACATTTCCCAAGACACCTTAACGTCTGTATATTGGCATTACCCAAGACACCTTAACGTCTGTATATTGGCATTTCCCAAGACACCTGAAGGTCTGTATATTGGCATTTCCCAAGACACCTTAACGTCTGTATACTGACATTTCCCAAGACACCTTAACGTCTGTATATTGGCATTTCCCAAGACACCTTAACGTCTGTATATTAGCATTTCCCAAGACACCTTAACGTCTGTATATTGGCATTGCCCAAGACACCTGAACGTCTGTATATTGGCATTTCCCAAGACACCTTAAGGTCTGTATATTGGCATTTCCCAAGACACCTTAACGTCTGTATACTGGCATTGCCCAAGACACCTTAACGTCTGTTATATTGGCATTCCGCAAGACACCTTAACGTCTGTTTATTGGCATTTCCCTAAGACACCTTTAACGTCTGTATACTGACATTTCCCAAGACACCTTAACGTCTGTATATTGGCATTTCCCAAGACACCTTTAACGTCTGTATATTGGCATTTCCCAAGACACCTTGAACCTCTGTATACTGACATTTCCCAAGACACCTTAACGTCAGCATATTGGCATTTCCCAAGACACCTGGAACGTCTGTATATTGGCATTTCCCAAGACACCTTAACGTCTGTATACTGACATTTCCCCAAGACACCTTAACGTCTGTATATTGGCATTTCCCAAGACACCTTAGCGTCTGTATATTAGCATTTCCCAAGACACCTTAACGTCTGTATATTGGCATTTCCCAAGACACCTTTAACGTCTGTATACTGACCATTTCCCAAGACACCTTAACGTCTGTATATTGGCATTTCCCAAGACACCTTAACGTCTGTATACTGACATTTCCCAAGACACCTTAACGTCTGTATATTGGCATTTCCCAAGACACCTTTAACGTCTGTATATTGGCATTTCCCAAGACACCTTAACGTCTGTATATTGGCATTTCCCAAGACACCTTAACGTCAGCATATTGGCATTTCCCAAGACACCTGAACGTCTGTATATTGGCATTTCCTAAGACACCTTAACGTCTGTATATTGGCATTTCCCAAGACACCTTTAACGTCTGTATACTGACATTTCCCAAGACACCTTTAGCGTCTGTATATTAGCATTTCCCAAGACACCTTAACGTCTGTATATTGGCATTTCCCCAAGACACCTTGAACGTCTGTATATTGGCATTTCCCAAGACACCTTAACGTCTGTATATTGGCATTTCCCAAGACACCTTTAACGTCTGTATATTGGCATTGCCCAAGACACCTTAACGTCTGTTTATTGGCATTTCCCAAGACACCTTAACGTCTGTATATTGGCATTGCCCAAGACACCTTAACGTCTGTATATTGGCATTTCCCAAGACACCTTAACGTCTGTATATTGGCATTTCCCAAGACACCTTAACGTCTGTATATTGGCATTTCCCAAGACACCTTAACGTCTGTATATTGGCATTTCCCAAGACACCTTAACGTCTGTATATTGGCATTTCCCAAGACACCTTAGCGTCTGTATATTAGCATTTCCCAAGACACCTTAACGTCTGTATATTGGCATTTCCCAAGACACCTTAACGTCTGTATATTGGCATTTCCCAAGACACCTTAAGGTCTGTATATTGGCATTTCCCAAGACACCTTAACGTCTGTATACTGGCATTTCCCAAGACACCTTAACGTCTGTATATTGGCATTTCCCAAGACACCTTAACGTCTGTATATTGGCATTTCCCAAGACACCTTAACGTCTGTATATTGGCATTTCCCAAGACACCTTAACGTCTGTATATTGGCATTACCCAAGACACCTTAACGTCTGTATATTGGCATTTCCCAAGACACCTTAAGGTCTGTATATTGGCATTTCCCAAGACACCTCAAAGTCTGTATATTGGCATTTCCCAAGACACCTTAACGTCTGTATATTGGCATTTCCCCCCAAAAAACTTAACGTCTGTATATTGGCATTTCCCAAGACACCTTAAGGTCTGTATATTGGCATTTCCCAAGACACCTTAACGTCTGTATATTGGCATTTCCCAAGACACCTTAACGTCTGTATACTGACATTTCCCAAGACACCTTAACGTCTGTATATTGGCATTTCCCAAGACACCTTAACGTCTGTATATTGGCATTTCCCAAGACACCTTAACGTCTGTATATTGGCATTTCCCAAGACACCTCAAAGTCTGTATATTGGCATTTCCCAAGACACCTTTAACGTCTGTATATTGGCATTTCCCAAACACTTAACGTCTGTATATTGGCATTTCCCAAGACACCTTAAGGTCTGTATATTGGCATTTCCCAAGACACCTTAACGTCTGTATATCGGCATTTCCCAAGACACCTTAAGGTCTGTATATTGGCATTTCCCAAGACACCTTAACGTCTGTATATTGGCATTTCCCAAGACACCTTAAGGTCTGTATATTGGCATTTCCTAAGACACCTTTAACGTCTGTATATTGGCATTTCCCAAGACACCTTAACGTCTGTATATTGGCATTTCCCAAGACACCTTAACGTCTGTATACTGACATTTCCCAAGACACCTTAACGTCTGTATATTGGCATTTCCCAAGACACCTTAACGTCTGTATATTGGCATTTCCCAAGACACCTTAACGTCTGTATATTGGCATTTCCCAAGACACCTTAACGTCTGTATATTGGCATTTCCCAAGACACCTTAACGTCTGTATATTGGCATTTCCCAAGACACCTTAACGTCTGTATATTGGCATTTCGCAAAACACCTCAAAGTCTGTATATTGGCATTTCCCAAGACACCTTAAGGTCTGTATATTGACATTTCCCCCCAAAAAACTTAACGTCTGTATATTGGCATTTCCCAAGACACCTTAAGGTCTGTATATTGGCATTTCCCAAGACACCTTAACGTCTGTATATTGGCATTTCCCAAGACACCTTAACGTCTGTATATTGGCATTTCCCAAGACACCTTAACGTCTGTATATTGGCATTTCCCAAGACACCTCAAAGTCTGTATATTGGCATTTCCCAAGACACCTTAACGTCTGTATACTGACATTTCCCAAGACACCTTAACGTCTGTATATTGGCATTTCCCAAGACACCTTAACGTCTGTATACTGACATTTCCCAAGACACCTTAACGTCTGTATATTGGCATTGCCCAAGACACCTTAACGTCTGTATATTGGCATTTCCCAAGACACCTTAACGTCTGTATATTGGCATTTCCCAAGACACCTTAACGTCTGTATATTGGCATTTCCCAAGACACCTTAACGTCTGTATATTGGCATTTCCCAAGACACCTTAACGTCTGTATATTGGCATTTCCCAAGACACCTTAACGTCTGTATACTGGCATTTCCCAAGACACCTTAACGTCTGTATACTGGCATTTCCCAAGACACCTTAACGTCTGTATATTGGCATTTCCCAAGACACCTTAACGTCTGTATATTGGCATTTCCCAAGACACCTTAACGTCTGTATATTGGCATTTCCCCAAGACACCTTAACGTCTGTATATTGGCATTTCCCCAAAACACCTTAACGTCTGTATATTGGCATTTCCCAAGACACCTTAACGTCTGTATATTGGCATTTCCCAAGACACCTTAACGTCTGTATATTGGCATTTCCCAAGACACCTTAACGTCTGTATACTGACATTTCCCAAGACACCTTAACGTCTGTATATTGGCATTACCCAAGACACCTTAACGTCTGTATATTGGCATTTCCCAAGACACCTTAACGTCTGTATATTGGCATTTCCCAAGACACCTCAAAGTCTGTATATTGGCATTTCCCAAGACACCTTAACGTCTGTATAGACATTTCCCAAGACACCTTTCTTATTTTATTAGAAAGAACAAGTAAGCACAAAGATATTAAGAAGTCGTGCTAACACATATTCAGTCTAGGACGAATGAACCAAATTCAAGGGAATGTTTGTAAACAGATAACACGCCTTCACCCGCGCCCTCGGGACTTACAATGTATCCTTGCAATGCCTCCTCTATGATAGGGACGGTGGAGATGCCCCTCCAGTGGACGTACACGCTGTTGGGACCGTTACTGTGCACCTCCACGTATTCGGGGTAGGCGTTCGGACCTGCAGACACACAACTCAGGTAATAAGCTGTATTTGCAAGACAACATCTCATACTATAGCTTAAATCACAAATGTATAGCACAACGTGATGCGTATCAAATGTCCGAGCGTGATATACATGTAAACAGAGTAACTTTCTGCTCGTGTATCTCGAAGGTGGGTGCTTGATTCAAATGTGATCAGACTCCCACAACATCCAACAGGTGAGTTCTGGTCGGAGATGTACACAGACTAACCTTCTCCTGCTGTAGAGCCCCTGCTGATTTCGCTTTCTGGACCTAGTCCTGCCGAGTTGAACACCTGTACGTTAGCCCAGTAGTCATAGTTCGGGATAAGTCCGATGACAACAGCTTGACTCCGCTGCCCATAGTGATAGGAATGTCCTACAAACTCAGGCTCTCCCTCTACCCAGAAGTTCACCTACACCAAACATGCATTTACTATTGTCAAACCAACTCTTATAAGTTAGGATAATATATGTGGTGAGAAGAGTTTCAAATTTAAGAAATTCTGACAAGAGATTTCATATTGTTTTGTTCTATTTGTCTCCTGTGTAATTTGCGCTGACCAGTCTTTGTGTGTGATAAAAGCTATAGCATACCTGAGGTGAGGTGAGGTGAAATTGGGTTTTTCGTCGTGCTTGAGAATATTTCGCTCATATGACGACCCACATGCGTGTTTGTGTATGTGTGGCTGCTTATACTAGCCCAGACTTAAGCTGGTTTTATAGTGCTAGCTCACTGAGATACCATGCCGCAGTGAAGCATGAATACCCCACTCAGACACAGTATACTGACTCCGAGCCGACCAGTCCTTGTTGTACCCATTAATGCCGAGCGCCAGGCAGGGACCAACAAGTACCATATTTTAACGTATTTTGGTATGACGCGGTCGGGGATCGAACCCGCGACCTTCCGCTCTCCAGGCGGACGCTCTAACCACTACACCACGGAGGCGGTCAGAGAATACCTGATATCCAATGTGATAATAGCTATAGAATACCTGATATCCAATGTGATAATAGCTATAGAATACCTGATACCCAATGTGATAATAGCTATAGAATACCTGATATCCAATGTGATAATAGCTATAGAATACCTGATATTCAATGTGATAAAAGTTATACCATACCTGATATCCAATGTGATAAAAGCTATAGAATACCTGATACCCCTTGTGATAATAGCTATAGAATACCTGATACCCAATGTGATAATAGCTATAGAATACCTGATATCCAATGTGATAATAGCTATAGAATACCTGATACCCAATGTGATAATAGCCATAGAATACCTGATATTCAATGTGATAAAAGCTATAGAATACCTGATATTCAATGTGATAAAAGTTATATAATACCTGATAACTAATTTGATTAATCTATAGAATACCTGATATCCAATAATTTTCCCTTTGACCGCTTCCCTTGTGTCGTCCACGGCGTCGAAGTAAACAACGATGGCGGTGGCGTTGAAGGTGTCGATCCAGATGTTGGTGGGTGTGGCGTAGGGCACTGGAGGAAACAAAGAAAAAAGGGCGACCGTCGGCACTGGGTAAATCTAATAACACACACAGACAGCAAATAATCACTAGTACTGTCCACTGAAAACATTGTATACCACGCAACTAATACTATAAAATATAATGTGACTGATGATACTGTATTGTATATGTATTATGAGTTACATACGGCTTTCTGCTGAGTATATGACGGATACTGTGGAGTTGGGGCCCCGTCCCAGGCTGTTAAAAGCCTCCACCATCACCTCGTACTCGAGGTAGTAGTTTTTGTCCCCCACGGTGATGGTTGTGGTGCCGATACGGCCGAAGACGTCCACCTACAGAAGTACACACACATCATGGTCGTTGAAACTATTTTTGTTGATACAAAATATTTGTTAGATTTCCAAATTCAGTCGTCAATTTCGGCACGGCTGGAGATATTTCATACAACACATTTAGACTAGACCTATGATTTATAGAGTGACATTGTGATTTACATTGTTTCTTGAAAAATACGCGAGACAACAGCTCTTTCGTGGGAAATACAATGTTTACGTCTGAAGTCGCTGTGTTTACGTTATTTCCAACTCTTAATAGTGTTGTAATTCTATTAAGTATTATCTAAAATTGGTCATTGAGTTTAATTCAAGTCAGCTATGTATCTGTAACAGGAACCGTCGTTCACACTTGTGGTATGTCACTAGTTAGGGACGTGGAGACGTTAGCTGTTGCCGATTGTGTAACGTACCCGCTGCCACAAGCCGTGGCTGTTCGTCTTTTTCCGCCAGAACACATAGTACCCGATCGCTGGCCCGCTCTCGTCTTCCAACGACAGGGGCTGGAATACAAAGTCGTCAATGATGGATTACTCCCCTTGTCACAAGGACAGTCTCAGTGTCACGCCCTATAGTCACAGTACTGAAGAATATACGTTTATCATTATTCTGGCTTTATATTCTTGTTTTCTTTTCGCTGGGATACCCACCTGCCACGTGATGGTCAGCGTTCCCACTTTCCCTCCCCCACCCCCAACCTCCATGGGGACAACCACTGGGGCGGCACTAGGCAGATGGTACATGCCTGCAAAGAGATGAAGGCATAACTATGAACACCCGTGTAGCAATGAGATGAAGACTTGACATCTATAACCACGTAGCAATGAGATGAAGACTTGACACCTATAACCGTGTAGCAATGAGATGAAGACTTGACACCTACAATGAGATGAAGACTTGACACCTATAACTATGTTGCAATGAGATGAAGAACTGTGTAGCAATGAGATGAAGACTTGACACCTATAACCGTGTAGCAATGAGATGAAGACTTGACACCTATAACCATGTTGCAATGAGATGAAGACTTGACACCTATAACCATGCAGCAATGAGATGAAGACTTGACATCTATAACCACGTAGCAATGAGATGAAGACTTGACACACTATAACCGTGTAGCAATGAGATGAAGACTTGACACCTATAACCGTGTAGCAATGAGATGAAGACTTGACACCTATAACCATGTTGCAATGAGATGAAGACTTGACACCTATAACCATGTTGCAATGAGATGAAGACTTGACACCTATAACCGTGTAGCAATGAGATGAAGACTTGACACCTATAACCATGTTGCAATGAGATGAAGACTTGACACCTATAACCATGTTGCAATGAGATGAAGACTTGACACCTTTAACCGTGTAGCAATGAGGTTAAGACTTGACACCTATAACCGTGTTGCAATGAGATGAAGACTTGACACTTATAACCATGTTGCAATGAGATGAAGACTTGACCTATAACCGTGTAGCAATGAGATGAAGACTTGACACCTATAACCGTGCAGCAATTAGATGAAGACTTGACACCTATAACCATGCAGCAATGAGATGAAGACTTGACACCTATAACCGTGTAGCAATGAGATGAAGACTTGACATCTATAACCACGTAGCAATGAGATGAAGACTTGACACATATAACCGTGTAGCAATGAGATGAAGACTTGACACCTATAACCGTGTAGCAATGAGATGAAGACTTGACACCTATACAGCAATGAGATGAAGACTTACACATATAACCACGTAGCGTAACCACGTAGCAGATGAAGACTTGCTATAACCGTGCAGCAATGAGATGAAGACTTGACACTTGACACCTATAACCGTGTAGCAATGAGATGAAGACTTGACACCTATAACCATGTTGCAATGAGATGAAGACTTGACACCTATAACCATGTTGCAATGAGATGAAGACTTGACACCTATAACCGTGTAGCAATGAGATGAAGACTTGACACCTATAACCATGTTGCAATGAGATGAAGACTTGACACCTATAACCATGTTGCAATGAGATGAAGACCTGACACCTTTAACCGTGTAGCAATGAGGTTAAGACTTGACACCTATAACCGTGTTGCAATGAGATGAAGACTTGACACTTATAACCATGTTGCAATGAGATGAAGACTTGACCTATAACCGTGTAGCAATGAGATGAAGACTTGACACCTATAACCGTGCAGCAATTAGATGAAGACTTGACACCTATAACCATGCAGCAATGAGATGAAGACTTGACACCTATAACCGTGTAGCAATGAGATGAAGACTTGACACCCATAACCACGTAGCAATGAGATGAAGACTTGACACATATAACCATGTAGCAATGAGATGAAGACTTGACACCTATAGCCGTGCAGCAATGAGATGAAGACTTGACACCTATAGCCGTGCAGCAATGAGATGAAGACTTGGCATCTATAACCACGTAGCAATGAGATGAAGACTTAGCACATATAACCACGTAGCAATGAGATGAAGACTTGACAGCTATAGCCGTGCAGCAATGAGATGAAGACTTGGCACCTATAGCCGTGCAGCATTGAAATGAAGACTTGACACCTATAGCCGTGCAGCAATGAGATGGAAGACTTGACACCTATAACCATGTTGCAATGAGATGAAGACTTGGCACCTATAACCATGTTGATATGAGATGAAGACTTGACACCTTTAACCATGCTGCAATAAGATGAAGACACATATTTACAACCATGTTGCCGCGATATGAAGACTGAATTCCCCCATTATAATAATTTTCAACCTTCCTATGATAGGACCGTTTCATTTCCAAACGGTGTTACAATGTGTCACAATGAGCACTACCGTGGTGCTACCACGACCTTCTCACGTACCTCCTACAACTAGCCCTGACGATAGTGCTACACAATGCACGTATTCCTGTAGTGTTTCCTGACTTACTGGGGTGCACACTGCACCTAATTCTCCCGCGGTGGTCAATGGCTTACTGAGTGCACACTGCACCTATAACCAATCTCCTGTGGTGGTCCCTAACTTACTGGAGGCCATACTGGGGTCCCCGTGGCCGAACATGTTGGCTGCCAGCACCCTGAATCTGTACCCTGTGCCGGGACGGAGAGAAGAGAGCTTGGTCGTCCTCTTGTCGGGGTTATCTTCATCAACCGTCTCTGGCACACCCAAACCTGCAGGCGACACACCTTGCTTTAACTTCCACAATTATTATCAATAAAGTTCTAACTGCAGTTGTGAATAACTATGGCTCCGTTTTCTCCTGAATTCAACATGTCTCCATCCTCCTCCCTGCATTACGTAAACTGCCTGACGGTATTTGTCAAACAATGAAGCATACAACTTTTGACTCACAAACTTCTAGAATGCAGATCAAACAATTTGCCTTAATTTGTCAATATCACGGAGACACGTATAAAAGAGATTTATCAGAATTGATGAAACAGTTAAGCATGATTTGCATATACGGTGAACACCCACTTAACTAGAAACCTGTATACATGAGAGGCTCCAGCACAATACCCCTGTGTTTACATGTAGGTTCACACCGATGTGTGATGTCAAAATGCTTCTTGAAGGCATGAAGTATACGCACGTTGAATCATGACTCTCCAGTCGCTGTTGAAGTTGGTGTTGAACTCAATGATGTAGTAAACAATGGGGTTGCCCCTGTCGGCACCGTCTGTCCAGTCTATAAGTGGCTCCATTCAATCAATAACAGTTGGACTGGTGCCATCAGGCTATTTGTTATTCTAGAGTGTGTCCTCAGATTGGACAGATGGTAGCGATGAAATATTATTTATTGTTCATAGCACCAAATATCTCTCTGTCTGGACCTGCCTCTCTCTAACAAAATAGGTGTTGTGACTGATGTCACAATAAACACACACACACACACATTATATGAACACCAAATGAACCACACACATCGAAGTAAGCACAAGACCTTTCCCACACATGTTGCACGTACACACAAATGCACACATCTGATCAGGTACGTACACACAAACCCACACACATCAGGTACGTAGTCGGGTTTAGGTGCTGCCTCGGGGTTGCACACATTAGGTATTTACAAACACACATCAGGTACGATTAAAACACATTTTATAAAACCCATTGAGTGTGTCCTCAGATTGGACACATTTAGGTATTTACAAACACATTAGGTACGTACATAACACCTTCAGTTCGGCAGTACTGAAGGACTTCCCATGTAGGTTGATCGCTGAGCACTGGTACATTCCATTGTGTTTTTCGGCGTTAGCGTTCTTGATGGTGAGAACGTTGCCGACGATCTCAACATCGCCTGGCGTTGACGTCAGTAGTTCCGTGTCTTTGTACCAGGAATATACTGCTGGTGGAATAGCAGTTGCCTGGCAACGCCATGTCATCTGACTACCAACATCCAGGAACTGGTCTCGCAGTGGGAATATGAAATATGGCCTCGCTGAAAACGATGAAATGTAACACTACTAACCCTCGTGTGCTTAGTCAACAGATAGCAGCTGATGTACAGGCACATATATGGGCATTGTGTTGAACCTTACATATTCCTTGCTAACATCATTGGCGGATCCAAAGGGGGGGAAGGGTCCGACCCCCCCTTTTTGAAAATGACTTAACACCACATTGAAGATTGGCTCAGTTGACACATGTCATCGTATCCAATTTGCGTTCATCAGTGCTTAAATCGTTATTCACCGGATTGCCCGGTCCATATTCGCTTACTTACAGACCGACGCCATATAGCTGGAATATTGCTTCGTGCGACTTTCAACAGCAAACAAACACAATCTGGATGGACTTGTCTATGATTTGTTGGGTACAGATATAGGTACATCGGTCACTTGTCTGCCAATGTCTGCCACACGAAGACTCACATTCAATATTGACGAAGAAAGATTTAGTGTCCGCTGCAGTAGCGCCTCTGTTGACGTGACAGGTGTAGTTACCGCCGTCCTCCACCCTGACGTCGTCAATCATGAGCACGCGGTTGTGGTCTTCGAGGTGGGAGTTGTGGGGGAGGCCGAGGTTGGTGACGCCGTCACCCCGAGTCCACGAGTAATACAGAGGTAACCTGGGGAGGGGCACAGCAGTGAGGTGGTGTTGTCATTCAGTTGTACTCTATTGTGTCCACGATATGATGTATAGTAAATATGTTTAACTGTTATATACTTATAGCACACATCTCACTGTGGAGTATATATATATCATGCTTACAGCTCACGTGTTACTCTGTATATTATATACTCTTGGCATTGTGTACCGTGTATAATATATATGTATAGAAGATATATTCTGTTCATATTATACACATTACATGATTTAACACGAATAAATATTTTATATTTTTTGCAATCCATATCAAATACGTTTATCAATGTATATTGTCTTTATGAGACGTGCTGTACTAAATTGTTACACGGTCTTTTGCATAGCGCCAAACTTTCTACTGTGTATCGTGAGCATGTTTTCCTGTGTGTACTGCAATAGGTAGTGCACAGACACCACGCTGCTCGGTGTATAGTATACGTGTTGCACTATGTTGCACTATGTGTAATGTACATATTGTACAGTAACAGTTTATTATGGACATGTTTAACTGTGTTAAACAAAGTGAACATGCTGTTCTGTGTACAGTGTACCTTCTACTGTGTATGTTACAGCATGTTGTATTTTGTGTGTGGTGTACATCTGTACAGTATATACACGACCAGTACTCTCTTACTTTCCGTATGCCAGACACTCTAGTCGGATGTTCTGTCCCCTCAAGGACGGGTTAGGAAACACTGCCGGAAAGTCGTTGTGGATGGTCGGCCCGAAGTCCATGGCGGCTGAAAAGGCCATGTTTAGTTCACATATACTTGTTAATAACAATGAGCTTCTTTAAGTTAAATGCAGTTAATAAGGAATCTTTATAAGCTATATATATATGTGTGTATACACACCAAAGCATATATTTATATACACTGATACAAATTATCACACAACACATTATTGTCCTTTCTTACAATAGCTCAAATTTTGTTACCAATCAACAATACACATTTTGGGGATGCAATAATCTGGCTCTTACTTTCTCCTCCCACCTTGAGCTCTATGCCAAGGCTGGTTCTCGATGGGGGTTGGGACGTTGCTAGCACCTGCCCCGAGGGCACGGACAGTGTGACCACACAGTGATAGTAGCCAGCGTCCGACTGCTGGACCTCGGACAGGTACAGGTTCCCATTGTGGGATATGAACTGGTACTCATTCAGCTCGGGCCGGACGAAGTGGGCTGCATTGTTCTTGTACCACTGGTACGTCAGGGCTGGATACAAATACAAACACCTTTATTATGTTAGCATTAGACACAACACACAAACACCTTTATTATGTTAGCACTAGAATCAACACACAAACACCTTTATTATGTTAGCACTAGACACAACACACAAACACCTTTATTATGTTAGCACTAGACACAACACATAAACACCTTTATTATGTTAGCACTAGACACAACACACAAACACCTATATTGTGTTAGCACTAGACACAACACATAAACACCTTTATTATGTTAGCACTAGACACAACACACAAACACCTTTATTTTGTTAGCACTAGACACAACACACAAACACCTTTATTATGTTAGCACAAGACACAACACATAAACACCTTTATTATGTTAGCACTAGACACAACACACAAACACCTTTAGTATGTTAGCACTAGAAACAACAGACACACACCTTTATTATGTTAGCACTAGACACAACACACAAACATCTTTATTATGTTAGCACTAGACACAATACACACAGACATTTATTATGTTAGCACTAGATACAACACACAAACATCTTTATTATGTAGGCCATAGATTAGCACTAGACACAACACACAACATACATCACTTACGTGGGTTTCAATAATATACAACATATTCTTGTGTTTTAGGAATGATGTGTGACATATATGCGTTGTAAGCGTGATCTATCACATGTTTGTGTTTCAGGACTGATATATCACATGTTTGTGTTTCAGGACTGATATATCACATGTTTGTGTGTCAGGACTGATATATCACATGTTTGTGTTTCATAACTGATATATTATATGTTTGTGTTTCAGGAGTGATACAACACATGTTTGTGTTTCAGGAGTGATATATATATCATATGTTTGTGTTTCAAGGAGTGATATAACACTTCTTTGTGTGTTACAGGAGTGATATAACACATTTCTGGTGTTACAGGAGAAATACAACACATTTTGTGTTAAAGGAGCGATGTAACCATTTTTTGTGTTACAGGAGTGATATAACACATTTTTGTTTTACAGGAGTGACATAACTCAATTTTATGTGTTACAGGAGTGATATAACACCTTTTGTGTTTCAGGAGTGATATATCACGTTTGTGTTACAGGAGTGATATATCACATCTTTGTGTGTTACAGGAGTGATATAACACATTTCTGGTGTTACAGGAGTGATATAACACATTTTTGTGTGTTTCAGGAGTGATATATCATGTTTGTGTTTCAGGAGTGATCTAACTCATGCTGGTTGTACCTGGGTTGTAGGTGGGGACCTTGCACGTTATATCAGCTCCCTGGTAGAGTGCGGCGTACTGGAACCCCGGGGGATCGTTGGAAAACTCGTGCAGATCTGCAATAGGCATACTCAGGTAATACATCAGGCATCAGACCTCTGCATAATTTCTGCAATATGATGCCACACGCTTGTAACGTAGCGTCGCGCATCAAAATTTAACATTATCTCAGTAATTGTAACGTCACATTTCATCATTCTAAATACTCTCTGCAATTTGACGTTATCCGTCACGAATCTTTGTATCAGATGATCCTCCATTAAAATAGTGTTTGAATTTGACGTTTCTTTGAACAACATTCCAGTTACCTATTCCTGCGCTTTTAGCATGCACTACTGTGCGGATTATAGCGCATAACAAATCGCCATTATTATTATTATTACATCACAACGTGTCAGATTAAAACTGAAGAGGAGGATGGAAGTGCTGTGGGTCTCAGACGTTAACCCACGAGCACGCTATGCTGCTTACAAACCTTGAAACACAATCATAAACAGGCGAACCGAGATTCCGGCCCAAAATACTAGCTTCCCCGCGTGCCATCAAGACGCAACCCTACACAGCTCATTACGACACCTCAGAAAACTGGTCTGCCTGTTTCGCCCCATCCCCTACAACTCATAACTCAGAAGAAGAAGACTGTCGAAGACCGTACATCCAAATGACACCTGAATAGGATCACTGACGATCGTCCCGATAGAGTTGGTAGCCGTGCACTGGTACATCCCCATGTCCAGAGTTGCATCCGGGTTCTGGATAGTCAGCCTGCCATTGGTTAACGTGTAACGTTCATCCACCGATGACGTCACCTCCGATTGGTTAGCAGTGCCATAATACTTGTACCATGTAAATTTCGGCTGCGGAGAACCGGACGCACTACACTCGATGGAAGCGGTTGGATTACGTCCGGCGATCACTATGTCGGGATTACGGTTTAGGAACTTGGGGCCACGTGGAATGAGGCTGGGATCTGTGATGTCTTGGCCATAAGCTAACAAAAGAAACAAGTGAGTGAGTGAGTGAGTGAGTGAATCACGAGAAACATCTTTTCTGAAATTTCATGATTTCCTACTCCAGATTTACTTTGCTCTTATTTAGAGCCGAGCACTTTAGCTTAAAGTTCTAAATAAACATGTTGGTTCAAATACAACAGATATTACGTGAGTAGTGTGCCCGTAGTCTTGACTAGTTTACAATAATGGTTAAAAATAGTATTTATAAAAGAAATATCCTGCAAAGATATATGTTATAATATTGTGTCATCCTGCTGCATATTTACACTGTTTGACTCAAAGAAATCATTTCTTGGAAATCCATGTGCTGATGACATCTCACATTGTTTGGGTGACAGGTTATGGAAATAGGGACAGATACTTAACAAATCTATTTCTCCAACGAGATGGAATGTCCTTATAAAAACAGATTTCACCATGTATATTAAGCTCTGTTCTGATGTCAAATAAATGTTCCAATGGGTTATCGACGTTCATTGTTTTCTGCATCGATGCGTAGATTGATGTATTCATACTCACGGTTTTCGTGTTTTTCCACTAGAACACCCGGTGTCATCGATCATATTTAGTGATACTTTCAAATAAAATTGTTTTGCCTTTTGCTCCCAACGGAATTTGTTTGGGCACCTAACAGAGAGTGATTATTACCTAACGTTGACGAAGAGCCTACTGACTGTAGTCTCGAACAACTACTCACTGTAGTCTCGAACAGCCTGTGTTATTCTGAAGGCTTCGTTCCTACTGATCTCACAGATGTACGAGAGGACAGCACTCTTCGGAGATCGACTCCAGCCAAACTCTCCCAGTGGAACTAAAAGCGGAACACAATTGTTTGTTAGTGTATAGGAAATATACAGTATACCGACATAGAATGGTTCAGTAGTATCACATTTTACATGGAAAAAAATCTTCAATAGATTACAATGTAGTATACTGTTTGAATGCATTAAATAACTGATTGCAACATATACCGGAATATTTATAAACAACGATCTGATTGGTCAGATTGTAATCGGTCGTTTCCAGCCACCAGTTCTGCCCCAGCTGACTGACTGACCCGTCGCCTTCCCACTTCAGGTTCATCTGGTCTCCGGTCCCGCTCGTGAACCATAGGTCCTGTCTGAAACCGACAATGTCCTGCACACCTTATATGGTCATGAGTATCGAACGGCGATGTCATTCTGAATAATTGAACAACAGTCTTTCAGTTTAGAAATAGCTTACATACTGTATCTGTAGAGTGCGAGAGTGAGGTAATACTGCTGAAACAAATACATGTTCATAACATAGTCAGAATTGTTTAATCGACTCTGCATTTAGCAGAGATTCCTCATGGATGTGAAAAGGGTTTTGTCGCTTCTATATTTACAAACGGCTTTTACAGAATTTCCAGAAGGGGGGTTGCCCAAAGTGATTCAGGTCAAGAACGGATGTAATGCTTGGATTGGAACTTGAATCCCCTGCTTGCGAATCCACTCACGGCTGAGGGACACGACTCGATTATGCAACCCCTCTGACTATAAAGAGCTTTTATAACTCTGATATAGATGATTTAACGTTAGTTCTGACTTTAAGTATAGATATGTAATTAATACCCGTGTATTTCTCCCCAACACTCACACTGTAATATAGTAACCCCTGAGACAACCATAGTCAAGCCATTATCAGAGTCATGCTCCAGTTTACTGACAAGATCCATGTCTCGATTAAACTGGGAGAAGTGGTCTAACCTGTTTCCGTCGTTTTTGGTCAGCCACTGGCTGATAAACCTGTGTTCGCCGGCGTCGTTCACACTGACCAGACTGGCTCCGTCAGCCTGAAGAGAGACTCGGAACATGGGTGACCGACAGATACAACATAGAACATGACAGTGTGTTGTTTCTTTGACACTTTACAACACGACAGTGTCTGTTTTCCTCAAAACTTCACATCATGGTAGTGCGAGATGTCCTCACCCCTTTACATCTTCACATTGTTTGATATAATAAAAACTTTACCACACAACAGTGTCTGTTTTCTTCATGCATGGTGGTGTCATATTTCTTTACACCTTGATTTTGCTTGATATATTCTAAACAATTTAACACGAGGTATTTTGGTTTAGAATTTCAACACTTTTCAACATCACAATGTCTGGCTTCTTCAGTTCTTCACAGCATAAGAATGTCAGCTTAATAATATCAGATTTCCTCAAGTGTTTACAAAAAACACCATTGTATTGAACGCGTACATTTTAATTGGGTTAATCATTTTTATTTGCATTTACATGTCAGCTATCAATAGATCGATGTTCATTCAGGTGCAATGTTTTTGAAGAAACGTCTTGTTAATTTCAATGTATCTGATACTTGATACTAATTTGATCAGTACGAATCATGATCAGTTTCTATTGCCATGGGAGAACACTGGGGACGAAGTAAATACATAAAGCATACAGAAAACAGACGCTGTGACCACGTGTTGAGTCACTTCCTGGAACACTTTATGTTTCTGTGAAGAAGCATGATTGTACCTGACAGGCTGCCATTGCTTCTGCATACACCCGGGGTGGGTAGATCACGAAGTGATAACACTTCTGTCCATATTCATCCCATCCTAGGGGGCAGTCTGAAACATCAACATCAACATCATCATCATCATCATCATCATCAACATCATCATCAGCATCAACATCAACATCAACATCATCATCGTCAACATCATCATCATCAACATCAACATCAACATCAACATCAACATCAACATCATCATCATCGTCAACATCATCATCAACATCAACATCAACATCAACATCATCATCGTCAACATCATCATCAACATCAACATCAACATCAGCATCAGCATCAACATCAACATCAACATCATCATCGTCAACATCATCATCAACATCAACATCAACATCAACATCATCATCATCATCAACATCATCATCATCAGCATCAGCATCAACATCAACATCAACATCATCATCGTCAACATCATCATCAACATCATCATCATCATCGTCAACATCATCATCAACATCATCATCAACATCATCATCATCATCATCATCATCATCATCATCATCATCATCATCATCATCATCATCATCAACATCATCATCATCATCGTCAACATCATCAGCATCATCAGCATCAACATCATCATCATCATCATCATCGTCAACATCAACATCATCATCATCATCATCGTCAACGTCAACATCATCATCATCATCATCATCATCATCATCATCATCATCATCAGCATCATCAGCATCATCAGCATCAACATCATCATCACCACCACCACCACCATTATCATCAGCAGCATCAACAGCACCAACACCACCATCATCACCATCATCTTCATCATCATCGTCATCAACATCAACATCATCATCACCACCACAACCATCGCTACCAAATTATTCATGACAACATCAACAGAGGATCAGTACAGGAATATCGTCACGTGTTTGAAAAGACAGTGTCGTATAGGTTTAAACAGGATGCAAGTAACAGTACCCAGTACAATCACAGACACCTACACCATTAGGTGTATCTCGGCTATATCTACCTCTCAACATTAATTCAAGATTGAACAGTGAAACAATAGTAAGTGAGATAGTAGCACTGAATTGGTTCTCGGAATACGTTTTCAAGGTAAATTTCAAATTATTAACTTTTAAATTATACACTGCCTCTGATATTCCGATCAGCAGCTGATCACGTGGCAGTTTCGTGGGTGCACGTCGACGACTTACTACACACCGTGGGACAGACAGACCACCGTGACCTGGCGTTTTCTGTCCTCACGTTGGAAAGTTCGTGGGTTAACTGCAGTTCAGACGTTAGGGCTCCTACTGGCATTGATAACATCGCGTCACTGAAGTTAGTGAAATCAGTCAAATAACGCTTTTCGGTGAAACAAGTCAAATATCCTCCTTTGGTTAAAAATGTCAAATAACGCTCTTGGTAAAATGTGTGAAATATCCCTTTTTAGTGGAATTTGTCAAATAACGATCTTTGGTGAAATATGTCAAATATCCTTCGTTGATGAAATATGTAAAATGACGTTCTATGGTGAAATATGTAAAATATCGTTGACTGGTTGAAAGAGACAAATGAAGCTGGCTGATTAACGTCGGCTCCAGAATATATCATCTAATGCGCGCTGATGGTATATGTTACCAAAGCCTAATGCTGCCACTTTTGTAGCATAAATATTTTTTTTCTGCTACAGTTCTCGTTGCTTCGAATATTTACTCGTTACTTCGAGTATTTTCTCGTTACTTCAATAATTTTCTCGTTACTTCAAGTTTCTATCAAAAAATTGAAATTTCGAGTATTTACTCGTTGCTTCGAGTATTTTCTCGTTACTTCAATTATTTTTTCGTTGCTTCAATTAATTTCTCTTGGCTTCGAATATTTTCTCGTTGCTTCAAGTTTCTCTCAAAAACTTGAAATTTCGAATATTGACTCGTTGCTTCGAATATTTTCTCGTTACTTCAATTATTTTTTCGTTGCTTCAATTAATTTCTCGTGGCTTCGAATATTTTCTCGTTACTTCAAGTTTCTATAAAAAACTTGAAATTTCGAGTATTTTCTCGTTGCTTCGAGTATTTTCTCGTTACTTCAATTATTTTTTCGTTGCTTCGATTAATTTCTCGCTGCTTCGAATATTTTCTCGTTACTTCAAGTTTCTCTCAAAAACTTGAAATTTCGAATATTGACTCTTTGCTTCGAATATTTTCTCGTTACTTCAATTATTTTTTCGTTGCTTCGATTAATTTCTCGTGGCTTCTAACATTTTCTCGTTGCTTCAAGTTTCTATCAAAAAATTGAAATTTCAAATATTTTCTCGTTGCTTCAAGTTTCTCTCAAAAACTTGAAATTTCAAATATTTTCTCGTTGCTTCAAGTTTCTCTCAAAAACTTGAAATTTCGAATATTGACTAGTTGCTTCGAATATTTTCTCGTTACTTCAATTATTTTTTCGTTGTTTCGATTAATTTCTCTTTACTTCAAGTTTCTATCAAAAACTTGAAATTTCAAATATTTTCTCGTTGCTTCAAGTTTCTCTCAAAAACTTGAAATTTCAAATATTTTCTCGTTGCTTCAAGTTTTTATCAAAAACTTGAAATTTCGAATATTGACTAGTTGCTTCGAATATTTTCTCGTTATTTCAATTATTATTTCGTTGCTTCGATTAATTTCTCGTTACTTCAAGTTTCTATCAAAAACTTGAAATTTCGAATATTGACTCGTTGCCTCGAATATTTTCTCGTTATTTCAATTATTTTTTCGCTGCTTCGATTAATTTCTCGTTGCTTCAAGTTTCTCTCAAAAACTTGAAATTTCGAATATTTTCTCGTTGCCTCGAATATTTTCTCGTTATTTCAATTATTTTTTCGCTGCTTCGATTAATTTCTCGTTGCTTCAAGTTTCTCTCAAAAACTTGAAATTTCGAATATTTTCTCGTTATTTCAACTATTTTTCGTTTCTTCGATTAATTTCTCGTTACTTCAAATTTCTATCAAAAACTTGAAATTTCAAATATTTTCTCGTTGCTTCAAGTTTCTCTCAAAAACTTGAAATTACAAATATTGACTAGTTGCTTCGAATATTTTCTCGTTATTTCAATTATTTTTTCGTTGCTTCGATTAATTTCTCGTTACTTCAAGTTTCTATCAAAAACTTGAAATTTCAAATATTTTCTCGTTGCTTCAAGTTTCTCTCAAAAACTTGAAATTTCGAATATTGACTAGTTGCTTCGAATCTTTTCTCGTTATTTCAATTATTTTTTCGCTGCTTCGATTAATTTCTCGTTGCTTCAAGTATATTTCAAAAACTTGAAATTTCAAACATTTTCTCGTTACTTCAAGTTTCTTTTCAAAACTTGAAATTTGAAGTTTTAATCGTTGCTTCCAGTATTTTCTCGTTACTTCAAGTTTCTAAAAGAAAGTTGAAGGAACGAGATAAACACTCGAAACAACGAAAAGGGGATGTCCTAAAACTCGGGCCGGGCCGAGCCGGCTCAAGGATGGTCAAGTAAAACCATGTCTACAATTAATTAATCCAGCTTACACCCATGACAATATGAGCAGCAGGAACCCAACACGTGTGTCATAATAACCTTAGTACGAGTAAATCGCTTAAAACTCAAAAAGGCGAGTGGCCTGTGAAAGTGACTAAGCAAGGTTACGTCTAAAAGAGAAGTCGTGAAACGAAACAGGATTCAAAACGTACACATACTTCAGTCAATCCCGATATACATTTCTGTCGGCCCGGAAAGGTTTTTACGAATACTATCTCAAAAGTTCACTGTTCATCGTATTTAAAGCATGCCCACAGGTAAATGATACGATCTTTTCCCACACTTTGACAATTGTTCGGTTCTGTTTGGCCCGGGCCGTCAAAAGCAGCATAGATCTCACACATGTATCTTGAATTTTGTTTAAATCCATAAAATAGTATTTTATCTACCTAAATATCATTTTCAATGTTACAAAATGCCACATGTAAAGATAACTGTGTCCGTTAAAGTGAAGCCCGTTTCCCTCTCCATTCCAAACATATCCAGCCTCTATCAAAAGTGTTAAGTCTATGACTTGTCCCGGGCCATCAAAATCAACTTAAACATCACACATGTATCCTGAATTGTACACATATCTAGTTATATCTACCTTAAACCTCTTTATGAAGTCTCAGATTGAAGTAATTTGAACGATTGCGTTGCTCAAAGTGGGGCCCTTAGCCTCATTCTCAACATGTCACAAGTCATCGGACCACAGTCATATGAATCCCCGTTCTCATATTTGTTTGGTCTGTAGCAAATATCAAACTGATACCCATCGAATGTTACCATTTAAAAAGTATGCCAGAAACACAGGCGAACAACCTGGCTTATATAAGGTAGTATTGTTTTGTTTTTATTTTTAACCCCTTTTACGTATGAATCAGAGTACTATGTATCATTCACACTCCGATATGTTTGTCAACATATACATGTAGTATGGATGCACCCAGTTCGTCCGTTGCGTCAGTTTTTAAAAGTAAAGAAAGAAAAGAAATTCCCCACGCAAACGAACCACATGAAATAATAGCGACAAAGCCCGTTCCATATCCATTAGAAATCTCTTAGAAAAGCAGAGTCGATACTAAACGTTCCGACTATATTATGAGCATTTGTTTTGGGTGTTGTTTTTTGTGTTGGTTTGGTTCAAGTGTGTGGTTTTGTTTGTTGTTTAACGCCGCTTTCAGCCATATGACTGTAAATATCGAGTCTAGACCAGACAATCCATTGGTGGACATAATGACAGAGCATATGTTTATGAATCACTAGATACCAGGTGTTCTCGAAAAGGTATGCGTATCCTGTCCCACCATATGGACATCCTAGGGAATTGTTCACCTAGGAACGATTAGGGAACGTATGGTACAAGTCTAAATAGGGAACTGCAACGTGTACCATTTGTCACTGATGCAACACATTTTGAGAATGTTGCTACCTTCTGTGTTGCAAGTATCTTACCTTCACCGACTGCTTAGTGGTGGCAGATAAAGCAGCTGTCAGTTGGGACAGAAAAGAAGAAGATATGGTTATAAGAACAAATCAACATCA